GTGAGAGTGAGAGTGAGAGTGAGAGTGAGAGTGAGAGTGAGAGTGAGTGAGTGTGAGTGGCTTGGGTGGAACCACACCAGGTTCACCTGCAACGAAAAAGGCATAGACAAGTAGAGATCGCTCTAGATAGAAACCAAGCTGTGCCAAAACTACCCGGTGGAACCACGCCAGGTGCGTCGGATAGAAGAATAGCTGGGTGTAACCGCACCAAATCGCTCTTGGTGTGCTGATCAGTCTAAAGAAAAGCACACACATGAGAACAAGCGTCAGACCACGCAGCGCTTGAGTGAGTGCGCGAGTGAATATGAGCGTGAGTGAGAATGAGAAACCATATAAGTGAGAGAAGCGTGGGTGTTCTAAGTGCGAGTGAGAGCGAGAGAGTCAGAGTGAGAGTGGACGTAGTCAGCGTAAGAAGACAGAGGTCAGATCACCAAATTAAATGCTGTGCCTGCCACGAAACCTGTACTTCGAGGTTCACCAAGTACGTGCTGCGCCTGCCACGAAATCTGCACATCGAGGATCACCAAGTGCTGCACCTGCCACGAAATCTATACTTCGAGGGTCACCAAGTGCTGTACCTGCCACGAAATCTACACTTCGAGGTTCACCAACTGCTGCACCTGCTACGAAATCTATACTTCGAAGGTCACCAAGTGCTGTACCTGCCACGAAATCTACACTTCGAGGTTCACCAACTGCTGCGCCTGTCACGAAATCTGTACTTCGAGGTTCACCAAGTGCTGCACCTGCCACGAAATCTGCACATCCAGGGTCACAGAGTGCTGTGCCTGCCACGAAATCTGCACTTCGAGTGCTGTACCTGCCACGAAATCTGCACATCGAGGGTCACAGAGTGCTGTGCCTGCTACGAAATCTGCACTTCGAGGTTCACCAATTGCTGCACCTACCACAAAATCTGCATTTCGAGGTTCACCAAGTGCTGCACCTGCCACGAAATCTGCACTTCGAGGTTCACCAAGTGCTGCGCCTGCCACGAAATCTGCAATCGAGCCACATGTCCAAAAGTCACGATTCACTGCACCTGTCACGAAATCTCAGCTCCTCGACGATCACCACCATGTCCAAAGCGCTGCACCTGCCACGAAAACTGCATTTCGAAGTAAAACAGCTCCCATCCCTTGCACCTGTCACAAAAAGTCGACACGAGGTTTCCCTTGTGCCTGCCACGAAAAATGACCACCATGTTCCGAAATGCGCACGACACCACAACGAGAGCGCAGTCGCCTGAAGCACCCGCCGCGGACACCCAGATTCAGCGAGCCTGCGCGGTCGAAGTGCACATGGACGATGTCGAGAGTCATGAATGTACTGTAAATAGCAGCGAATTAGCCGGACACGCCCGCGCGGAACAGCGATCTAAGCACACCTTCCTTTCTCCTACCGTAAGAACCCCTCAGTGTGCCCACACTGTTTGGGGAAAAAATGTATAGACCATTTCTGTTTGCCTTTGTGTTGTACTATATATAATATATATCTATACGGTCTATACTGTACAATGCTTTTATGTGTGTTTTTTGTCAAATTCTCTTTTGGGGGGTGAGTTCTTGGACTTGGGAAAGAACGTCTGGACAGGTACAGGTATGAGAAACCATGGATTCAACCCTAAGAACCAAGCCCGACCTTATGGAAGGGGCTCCTTGCTTATCCTTGGTTGTCGGTTTGATTGTTTGTGCTTGCCATCCAGCAACACATGATGACGCAGAATCAGAAATTGCAAGCAGGATACATCAGTCAGATTATTTCAATGATGCAACCACGGTCCCCTGAGCTCACATGATGTCTTTCCATTTGCTTGTGTTTTGCGCTGAACTCACAGGTCTTCTAGGAAGACCATTGACCTTGCAGCCCCCCAATTGCAGCTCCTTGTATCTATGTAACATCGCAACACATCCTTGTTGCCCGGTTTTGCCGAAGAAAACAAAAAAAAGGCACCAAGTGGCGCCTTAAGTCGCCTTGGCGTCACCCTGCGTCTCCACTCTACGCCTCGAGACGACCGGTCGTCACCGGTTCGCGGCTAGGCCCATCCCGGTGCCTGCCGTTCCAGGCTTCGATGGGCGGATGGATTCTTTGGGGGATCGATTTTTGCTGGTCTAGCAGACCAGAAGAGGGGCCCAGCAGAAGAGGGATCCATGGATGAAAACAGGGGCCCAGAAAAACGAAGTCTCTCATTTTCGTTCACAGTTGTGCTGATCTCATTCATCTTCATCCTGCGCCTGCCAGTCAATGGCACACAAGTACTACCACTCGCACAGGGAGGCTGGTCGAGAGGGGAAGGGGAGGAGTGCGTATTGGGGGCGAGAAAAGCCTTGCTGCGACGGATGGTTCATGTGCAGGTGGCCCAGACGGCTATGAGAACCAGCATTTTCAAGAGCTGGTGTGGCGGACGGCTGGCAAGGAAAGGGTTATACTTGAGATCTGAATGATTTCTGATTAGAATTGATATTCTCGTTTAGAGGGTTTCCCCCGCAGGACATGGAAGCACCGGGGGTGAGTATTTCTGGCCATTCTTAGTTGGTGGAATGGTTTGGCTAAGTACGATTTCCCACTGTTTCCATTCCATTTCTGGTTGCTGTGCCAAGTTCGCTGCAAGTCATGCATCGCGGCCCCTCTTAGGCCTTTGATTTCCCGAAGAAACAGACAGTTGCATATGGATTTGAATGACGTGAAGAGAAGAATACACCATGATGTTCCCCATAGTTTCCAGAAGAAAAGCTTCTAAAAAGTCCGCTCCTGATGTTGCCATTGATGTTTTCCCCCAAACGAACGGGCCGATAGCTGCTCGTTGGACAGCGGCCCGACGGTTACCCTGCTCCAGGTCAGATGAGCGGCTCCCTTTCGGTACCCATCAGCCGACCAGGCCAAAAAGGAACGTGGAGAACTCCCCCGGGGAGAAGGGCGCCCAAAAGGGTGCAAAACGGTGTTTGAAGGTGTTTCTGTCAAAAAGCCAAAAAGCAGGTGGTTGCTTCATGTGGTTCATTGATAGAAATGGATGGATGCTTCGACCTTTTAAAGACTTTTTGTTGGTTTAAAGTCGTTGGTCGACTGAGTCTCCGTTAGAATGTTTCGTGATGTGGGTCCGTTGACTGCACTGTGTGGCAGTCTCTATGACTGAATGACCGACAGCACAGACGCAGAGGAGCTGTGATGGGCTCTTGAAAGACGTTGATCAAAAAAACAGAGATTGCCAGGGAGGGCTGACCGGCGAGTCTCTTTGCCGGCGTGTCTTTGTCTAAGATGGTTTTCCATGTTTTCTCTATCTCGTTGGACGTGTTGGTACAATAGTTGCAACAACTATGTATATGTGTGTTTTCACCCTGTCAAGCGCGGGTTGGTCCCAGATCTGGTTGCATTCCTTTGCTCCATAGGGGCGTTCTGTGAAAAAGTACTATCTACCGATGGGGCGTGGTGCTGTGCTCCGAATCGTGTGCTCCGACTTCCATGTCGTGTGCTCCCTGGAATCCCCACCAATGCAGGTCATGGCAGCAAAAGATCAGGACCTGCGTCCGGACCGACCACCGACCGCTGACCTGACATCCTGACCGACCGACCTACTGACGCGTGGCCTAGCCACTCCAGTGCCCGTGTACCGCTGCGGAAGGCCCCTGCGTCAATGGCACAGTGCCAGGTGCGAGAGAGAGGGAGAGAGGAAGGTAGAGAGGTAGGTGGTGAACTGTAGCGATGCTCGAGGAGTGCTCTAGCATGTGCCTGAATTAATCTCAACAAGGGAATCATGGTTGATGTAGAGTGCAAAGCCGTGCAAAGCTCTGAAAACCGTTTGCCATCAAATTGAAGAGATTGGAAGCTGCAAATGGAAGAGATTGCACTCTGGAAACCGTTTCAATTGAAGAGATTGGAAGCTGCAATCCATTGTGAACAATCCATGCCTGTGATCCCATGCCGCTTGGAGCCGTTCGATCATCGGATCAGATGGAGCCGTTGTAAACGGGTCTCCCAAACCGACTCGACCACTCGACCACTCGATCTGGAAAGATGTAAGTCTAAAAGTATCTCAAAGTGCTGAATCATGGTGCACCTGAACTATACATGCAAGACTCAATGCAAGCCCAGTTTGCTTCATCAGTTTTGGAGTGATTTTCAGACAGTTGTTTTGGTATGTTTTGGTTCTTGCCGATGTGGACTATTGAGCAAATAGGTTTCGTGGAGACGATTCCAAGCTGGACCCATCCATTCTATCGAACAAATTAAAGAAGAATTGTCTCAAACATGGATTGGCTTAATTCGGATCTTGTTAAATCTACAAGTATGTGTGGTGGAGAAAGTATGTGTGGTGGAGAGACAGTGCTTCGCACTGGAGGTGGGGTCCACTCAAAACCCCTGGTGTTTCGATCAACATTGACTACTTGACCCTACTTGACAGTACTTGACACTACCATGCATCAAAGATGGAGACCAACGTTCAGAGGTTCCTCCGTTGAAGCCTCCACGCACGTCTCATCGTTCACGGCTCACCTTCTCACGGCCAGGTCTCGCTGGATCGATGACGATTCCAGGAAGTCCAGGCGCGGTGCACTGGCGTCCTTTCAACAAGTGGGGGGCCCCCGGATGGTCCGACTGGGGCCGATTGGAGGGTTTCGGGGTTCTGTCCTGAAGGGAGTCGGAACGCCGACTGGAGGTCTCCTATTTGAGCTACACACCCACGCGGCGCTATGGTGGTTCAGGTACACTCCGACTTGGTTTGTAGAGGACCAAACAGCATCGTGGAAGCGGTGGACAATCCGCGGCTGTCGGCATGAGGACCATTGCCCTGCCCCTCGCCAGGCAACATGGCTGGTTCGATGAGACTTCCGCTAGCGGAAGGCTGGGCATATGGGGCAGATTGGTTTGGCCATGCGCCCAAAGATCATGACGACTGAGAGTCTGAGAGAGGACTGCCAGTCACTCACTGAAATCAGGATAAATCAGGGCATCCATGGGCATGCACTAGTATATTGAAATATATGAATACATAGACTTCCTGGCCCAAGTGGTAGACTGGTCTATAGGAGATGTTGCTGGTGTAAGGTCTCCCTGTTTGAGCTACGAATGATCTACAAACTTACAAAACCAACCGTTTTTTCTCAAGTGTCCAACACTAATTCCAGCACCGATGCATGGGAACGTTCCTTTCCAAATACCACCAGACTACACTTCATGTTGCGTATTATACACGTATGCATGTTATCTTACGTTCTTTTTCAGTAAGAGCGTCTTCTGGTGGCCTTTTCCCGGTCAGCTTTCCCCGCTCTGCGACATCGCCCCCCCCCACCGGCAGAATTGGCGGGCTCGATGAGAATCCCGTCCAGCCCGGGGCGTGCTGCAGGCATGGGGGCGAAGAGTCGGGTTCAACGACGTGAACTAGATCGATGTTCGAAAAGTCGCCAAAAACCGGTACAGTAACATGAACAGCAAAGGCAGTGACCGACGTCAACCAGACCTTTAGTCCGATCTTGAAAACGTGGGAAGGGTTGAGAAGATGGGGATAGGTTCAACAAAAAAGCAAAAATAGTCTTTTAAAAGACAATAAGCATCAACAAAATAGTCCCTTAGTCCTTTTGGTTCCTTGATCCCCCTGGTCCCTTGGCCTAATCCTCTCTTGGTCCCTTGGTTCCCCTCATCCCCTCGTCCATTGGTCTCCTAATCTTAATTGGTCATCATCATCAACCACTTCATTTTGAAGGTGGTTCGCCGGTTCGCAACACTAAGACAAGAGCCGAGCACAGCGCACAACGGTGCAGGAGCGCATCCATGAAGACTGCAAACTGGAAGCAGATAGGCAAAACGCACAGCAAGTGACCTGTTTCTTCCCTGTTTTGCCACAGTTGGGGAGTTTTGGCCAACACCAATCCCATTCGCCAACTCCGAGCCCGCTGACGACCGGATGTCTCCCCGCACCTCGGAGTCCGCGAGGCGCGGTGGAAGCACCTCATCCAGGCCAGCGACTGACAGAAGTCTGAAGTGTGTGTGTGTGTGTCCACCCCTGGACAAAGGGCTCTTTACCACCACCTCGTTTCCACCCAACCTCGGCAGGGGGGCAGTGAATCTCATTCCATCCACTGCCCAACGAAGACGGTGGTTTGAGATTGTGAAATGACTCCGGGACGCTGGAGTCACGTACCTGCCAAATGAACTTTTGAACAAGCTGTCCAATTTGATCGGTTTGTTTCCACGGTCCTTCACGTTTCCTCCCCCTAAACCGTCTCCTCCCCAGCAGCGCTGCAGCCTGAGCCGCCCCGTCACCGCAGTCAAGGGAAACAACTTTGTTCAAACACCTACAATTTTCTCGGACTTTTCGCCATGCTGTTCCACCGCCATCCTTCCCATCGTGGTAACTGAGTTAACTGAATACAATTGTCAGAGTGTGTTTCGCTCAGCCGTCCCACTCGGGTGCTGCGTGTGATCCCCGTCACAGGGGCGCTGTTTTTGCATAGGAAATCACCCACCTCAACTTACCACCTACCACTGGATTTCCACTGGAAATCATTGACACATCCATCGAATCAACTGATGCATTGGCCGCCGGGCCCAAACACGGCAGCTTTTCCTCCACGGAATTTTGCAGACTTTTGTAGCGTCTTGCAAGGGTTTTGCATGATTTTGCATGTATTTGCCTTTTGACGTGTGACATGACTTTTCCGCAAGAAGAACTCAAGCCCGCATACCGGAGTTCTCAGATCTAATTCGAGATGCATGACCACACCCTACAACACTTCTACATTTTACATCAAGCTCAAAAATCAGGGACTCCACCACCGCCGGGAGCCAGCGCTTGGCTCTGTCAGGCCTCCAATCCAGACTTCACACCATTCGAAAATACACATTTCCACCCTCCAGCGCTGAAGCTGCAGCCGCCGAGCTAGTGAGGCTCTATGTCCAAAAAGGACACAACCACCACGCCTGCCACCGTTTTTTGAAAAAAGCGCCGAAGCCGGCGATTTGTGTGTGTCCACCCCTGGACAAAGGGCTCTTTACCACCACCTCGTTTCCACCCAACCTCGGCAGGGGGGGCAGTGAATCTCATTCCATCCACTGCCCAACGAAGACGGTGGTTTGAGATTGTGAAATGACTCCGGGACGCTGGAGTCACGTACCTGCCAAATGAACTTTTGAACAAGCTGTCCAATTTGATCTGTTTGTTTCCACGGTCCTTCACGTTTCCTCCCCCTAAACCGTCTCCTCCCCAGCAGCGCTGCAGCCTGAGCCGCCCCGTCACCGCAGTCAAGGGAAACAACCTTTGTTCAAACACCTACAATTTTCTCGGACTTTTCACCATGCTGTTCCACCGCCATCCTTCCCATCGTGGTAACTGAGTTAACTGAATACAATTGTCAGAGTGTGTGTCTGTGTGTGTGTCCACCCCTGGACAAAGGGTCTTCCACCACCACTCTTTCCATGCTTTTCAACTACCTTGGACAACCACCTTATATAGGCAGGGGAGTGGAGCAGGCCTGCAGAGCTCCACTTAACAAAGCTCTCTGCAGTGTCCTGAGGATATCGGCCAGGACGCTGGCCGACGTACCTGCTCGTTCTTTCACAAGCTGTTACACCACTCTTCCGCGTTTTGTTTCATGGTCCTTCATGTTTCTCCCCCTAAACCATTTCCTCCCCAGCAGCGCTGCAGCTTGAGCCGCTTCGTCACCGCAGTCAAGGGAAACAACTTTTGTTCAAACATCTACAATTTTCTCGGACCTTTCGCCATGCTGTTCCACCACCTTCCTTCCCAGCGGAGAAATTGAGCTTTAACGGAAACCAGTGTCGAAGTGTCGAAGTGTGTAAAAAGTAGCCGCCTTGAAGTTTGTTTTTGAGTGCTAGCATGTTTGTCTATATACATAAATATGTGTATATATATATATTATAGTTATATACATCGTAAGCACTTCATACCCTGTTGGAAAGACGGGCTATGAGACACGCACCGGTTGCAAGGGTTCCGGCTTTGAACATCACGTTCTTCGTGTTAAGGTGGAATGTTGCCTTTCGTGGGAGCCACCCCAACACTTTGTTGGAAAATGGTGGATTGGTTTTTACCTCGGTAAATGTCCCGAATCTCTGAGTCTGAATCTTTGAAGGAACAAAGATATAGATCATCATTCTACATGTTTTTACGTCTAAAAAAACCGCCTCATGGTGAAGATGCTCAAATCCTGGAAGTTCATCCATGGTTTTTCAACGAACGCTCCCGTCATGTGGCTGGCTTCGAGGCCATGCACCGCCCTTGTGGGCGGCACCTGCGGCACCTAGAGGCGGTACGGGATCGGGAGGTCCAACCCGGTAGCCTGGTCGAAGGGGATGTCCAACCCCTTCGAACATATGTCTTGGTGTGGGTTTGGAACCGACACAGCCAACAGAGGGTGAAGAACCCTTGTTCGACTATCCCAGCTCGGTACCCCAGTAAGGTCCTATAAGGTCACTTAACCTCTCTTGGAGGGCTTTCACCAAAACAGATCTGACAGGTCGCAAATCTTGTGACCTGTGAAATTGGTGCCTCAAACTCGCTGGCATGTGAAAAAAACAAAGACGAGTATCTGAAACCACCCACCCTTGCATGGTCATGAAAGAAGTTTGACCAGAGACAAAACACAGTTTGTCATTCAAGTGGCCCTTCTGCAGAACACATGAAAAACGTTGCACCTGACGAATTTGTGATATGTGATGTTGGTAAATGATCCGGTGATATGTTTTTCCTCCATTCCAATGGATGGATGGGATCGAAGTCTCCAGCTGTGAGTCACGTGTCGTTTTCCTCGGGTTTCTCTCCGACGCGATCGAGATCGTCGGGTGACCGACCGACGTGGCAACCGCCCCCGAGAGACATCGGGGGTTTCCCCGAAGCGAAAGAGACTCCGGTTTCAGATCTTCAATGTCGCTTCCGAAACACAGCAACTCCCAGCTGGGACGCGCTTGATGCTGCGCCCAGCCAGTGACAGTGCCCTTTTTGGTCGGCCTGGCCATGTAGAACCGGAGACGAGGGGTGTGTGGATATATGTGTGTTCGAATGTCTACATTCATGTGTCCAGGTATTTAATCCAGGGGGGTACAAAGGTACACATTCCTTGGGCTCCCAGAATTGGTTGAAGGGAAAATCGACAGGAAACCCATATGTTTGACGACCATCAAGATGCAAGATCACGTCTGAAGGCTTTGGTTCACATTCACATCTGAAGACTTGCTTTGTCACGATGTCGGTGGCCGAGGTGCAACCTGATGATCTTATTCGGGTTTTGTGGTTGAATGGCGATGTCTTTTGCCCGACGGATGAATCCTTTTCTGGAGAAGATGTTCCTTTTCCGGTTCGGTTCCCAACTGGACCAAGCTTTCCGCCCCCCCTCCCCTCTCTCTCACCTCTTCCCAAGTATGCTTCTGAGCCCAAAACAAGTCTCCAACGGTTAGATGTTTTCTTTTGGAACCTCTTGCAGGTAGTCTGCCTGGCGCTGTGCCACTTGCAGCCACTGCGCCAGGCACTATGGACCCCCACCTCCGGCTGGGATCGTCCCTTGGTTCCCCCTGTTTAACATGACTGCGCGCGGAGGATCACATTGGTGCACGTTCCTAAACAGGGATCTGCTTTGTCGAGGAAACCCTGCAGGAAGATGCACAGTTAGATCATCACATTGATCATCTCCTGGAAGACATGTTCACTAGAAACATTTGCAGAAACATGTAGAACCCCCTGCTGTTTTGCTCGGCAGCCGTTGTTGCACTAGACAATCATCCACCATGGTGGGGAACGAAGCCCTTTGAGAAAATGTTGTTACACCCCACACCCTGGCATACGTTATACGGACGAATCTGTGACCTACTTCCTCATATGGGTTTTCTTGTCGATGGTAACTCCCCCACTATAGTGCATCTTCAGCTCCCTCTCACTCTCTCTCCCTCTCTCTCTCTCTCTCCCCCTTCCTTCCCTGGTAGAATGTTCCGCTGTTAGCAGTGCTGGGACACCCCAATCTTTACCATCTTGCTGTTTTTCCGTTGGACCCATTCTTTCATACCACTTTCGGCGGGGATGACGTTGCAGTTCCCATTCTTCGCTATTGCTGAAAGGTCTGGGCACCAGGGCAGCAAGATGTCCCAGCATTTGGGCAGGGGACGTTGCTCAGGTTGCAGCTTTCATCAACGTGCCAAGCAGTTGAGACCTGTTTGGACGTGTTTGGACCAGCTTCGCCAGGCTATTTGGCCAACCCTTGCGCTCCCACTAGCCCACCACCAGGCTCAGGCCTGGCGGGTCGTGAAGGCGTCGGCTGGGTGAAGATCATTCCGGTCTCGGCATGAGACCTGAGTAGATGGCACAGTTCTTTCCATAAGTCATCAGAAGCATAAGTGAAGTGACTCATAAGTGCAAACTGCCATCGTGCCCGTCGTGCCCAGTGTTTTTTTGGTGTGAGGGGCACGTTCTGTGCGATCATCTCTGAACTGACTAATGAGTCGACCGGACTCTGACAGTGTGCGGTTCACGAACAAGGCTCGTGGATGGTGTGGCAAACGATTCAGATCGGAGCACGTATCCCTTTGAGGGAAGTTCCAGCATCCTCGGCAAGCCTAAACCAAATCACGGCAGAAAAAGAACCGACCGAAAACCCAGAGGAAAAGAACAGCTCGCGCGAGCAGCCTTGTGCGTTTGCCTTTTCTTTTTGTCCCAGAAAGGTCAAACCGAGTGTCTTCCAAGCGGCGAGTCCACGCCACCAGCTCAATCACAGATGACCTACAGCCTTGGTTGGAGCTGATCTTGCCCAACCTGTCGTGTATGTACAACCAGTCGTTCGGTTGATGGCAGTGGCAGGATCTTCCCTCCCCCCGAACTCCACCAGATCGAACCAAACCTCGTCGCACTGACCCCAGGACGGCCCATCTTCGCGCGGAGCGTCACGCCCCCGGCGGCACCGGCCGGCCCCTACCAGGGCCGCTCGAATGCAGAGGAGGAGGTTATGGATCTCGGTGAAGAGTAGAAGGGGCACCCACAACAGCTCTAAAATCAATGGAAGTCTGTTGAATTCCCTCTTTTTTGAGGTGTCAATGAGAGAAAAGAACCCCGGTTTTGGGGGGAGGGTTCCTCATTTCACTCGCCTTGAGCCCGTGGGAGTGAATGAGAAGATGACATTTGGGCGGGACATGGATTTGTTGATCTCATTCGACTTCTTGAAGATGTGCCATCGAACAACGAAGTCGCCCAATAAAGAGGGCTCGTGAGTCGTGGCGTACAACGAAGTCGGTGACAGACAGGAAAACACCCGCCATGTTCGCACCACACTCCACACTCCATGGTGACAGTGAAATGGGGTGGTGCCTTGCCTCAAAAGACCGAGCCTTGCCGGCCTACCTCAGTCCGACCTCGGTCCGAGCAGAGGGTGGTGGGTTGACCGTTCAGTGGACCCGGCGAAACATCGATGGTCGGTTGTCCCAAAAGCAGCCGGCTGGCGATGGTCGGTAAGTGTGCTGCTGCTGCGTTCGATGGGTAAAGGAGTTCGATGAGCGACTCAAACGATATCATTCCATCAACTACAGTAATATGTAAACAGTCATATGACATAGTTCGACTGAGCTCATCAATTAGTCATATGTAAACATCTTAAATCTAAACTGTTTGAACAAACTAACTAATCTGAGTGTTTAACATATAGACTAGTCTACTCAACCTTCTCCTTTGGACATTCCGAAGATGGTTGGTGGACGTACCACCATGTGACCTCGAGTGGTTCGTTCTTGGAATCTCTTCAAGATGCTTTTCGCACCTCCGCGAAGAACACTTCGGATCTTCGCCTGTCCTAAATGATGCAGACGTGTTTTTTTCTGTCCAACTCGACTAGGTTGAACACCTCCACAACCCGAGGTGTTTCGCCCCTGCCAGCGATGCCAGCCTTCCTGAAGAGGTGGGGAGTGGAGAGCGCGTCCGCGCATCCCGGATCCCGAGCACCCGCGGATCCCGACGTGAAGCGATAGCGCAGGGCGACAAGGGTTCAATGCAGATGACCATCATAGGCGGATTTGGGATGCAACGATCACCAAACATCCATGTTGATCGTCGTCGCGTTATCGGGTCTAGAGAGATCTCGGTTGCCACATGGCGGGATGCCGACGGTTTCGGGGGTTTCGCGAAGGATGGATGGAATTCTGGGGAGTGACCAGGGGGTTTAGGGAACGAACGCGAGCTGATGGTCTAGTAGAGCTGATGAAGAAGAATTGAAGGTGGACCATGAAGGGCAAAAGGTTGTACTCAGCACGTCTGCCGGCCTACAGGCTGACAGACCGGTAGTCTCATGTTCATTGAAAACAACTTTGATATGTTCCAGGCCCAGGGAAGACATGGGAAGACTGAGCTTCTCCGGAACCTTGCTTCTCCCAGTTGCTTCTCGAGGCCAGAGTCTCCCATGATGAACCACTTGCGGCGCTTGGGCGACTTGGGCGCCAATGAGGCGTCATGTAGAGCCTCCTAAGACTTGACCAACACGGACGGGAAAATGGTCTTCCAAGGCTAGCACTCCACCTCCAGGCTAGAACGTTGGTGGGATGGTAATGAAGAGCCCCAGGCGTGGAGAAGTTTCACGTGGTTGAATGGAGGGGGGCTTCTCAATCAACCCTCTACATGATGGATACTATGCCAACCAGAAACCTAGGTTTGCGATGCTTCAATGCAACATATGGCACATTCATCCGATCAGCAGTGCACTAGTTTCAGCAGCAACATGCATCAAACATCATCCAACACCAATTCTCTTGTTTGATCAGGTCGTTTCTCATGTTTCCTACTGGAAATCCCAAAAAACAAGGAAATCAACTGCGTGAGGAGTGTATAAAGTGTGCTTCCGCATATCTTCGAAAATCCGAGATTAAAGCCTCTCGTGTGGTTTGTTGAACGAAGGTATGTTTTCTTTCAGGTAGACCCAATTGAATCCATACCCGAGCAACCAACAAGCGACATCGTCAGTTCTATCCGCTGGAATATCTCAGGTGGTTCGTCAAAAGAGTAATGTTGACAAGTCTGGACTCTCTTGTTCAACCAATCTGTGCTTCAGTGGAACAGCCACCAAAAAGGCGGGCAAATCTCTGAACAAACTGCAAGAACACATGTGATAATTGACGAACCACCTGAGATATTCCAGCGGATAGAACTGACGATGTCGCTTGTTTGTTGCTCGGGTGTCCAAGATTGTTCATGTGTAGCCAATCTTGAATGTGCAAAGAGCTCGCTCCATGGTACTTGCATGTAATTGCGCAGGTGTCTGCAAAAAATTACCTAAGTGCATCTAAGTGCTAGTTTGCAAAGACTGGTTCATGATTGTCATGCATTCTCGGCTTTTTGGGGTGAATCTGCCTGAAGACGGTTTTTTCAGACGAGCAGGCCTGGTAGGTTCCCTGCGCCTTTTCGGAGAGTTGGCCGCAAAGAAGGCCTGTGGGCGTCCCAAAATTTGATTACGCACCCAAACCCTATAAATTTGTAGGGTCGATGGAAAAACCTAGGGTTTCTGAAGGAAACCCCAGGTTTTCCAAACCAATATTAAAATACGGGTTTAGTACGGGTATGTACGGGTTAAATATGGGTTTAGTACGGGTTAAATATGGGTTTAGCACGGTTTAGAAAAGCAAGACCCGAGGTTTTAAGAACAAACCTGAGGTATTTTTGATTTCACAAGAATACCCGAGGTTCCGATTGAGACCCTACAAATTTATAGGGTTTGGTTGCGTATATATACTGTGTTTGTTCCCATCTTTCGCAATTCGATCGGGGAGCAGCATTTCACTCAGGAACGATGAACTCCAGCCCCGAATACCAGCACTTGCTGAACATTGCGGCCTGGTAAAGCTGGTTTTCAAGGGGTCGCGGCATCAACGTCACCTTTAAAACACGTGCAGCAAGCCCAAATTGTACAACATGAGTCGTTTCAGTTCGCTTGATATTTTGCTGCTCTTGTTTCGAGCATCTTGTTTCAACCCGCGAAAGCACCAAACGTGGGTGAACCCTCCGAAGAAAAGCCAAGGGCGTCTGGCCGGCAAATCCATCCTGTTGGATTCGGAAGAGCGATGCCGAATGCTGAGACTACATCGCCACTCCATCTCGTTGGTCAGACTCCGTAGGTGGTCCAACCCCGTGGAGGGCAATGCCATACAGATCATACAGCTGCTACACAAGAGAAGACATAATAATAGCGATGGCCTCCAACCTACTAGCGATGGCCTCCACCCTAGTAGCGATGGCCTCCACATCTTAGAATCCACTTTGGTCTTTCTATGAGAGTTTCAGCGGTCATGTCGAACTCGCCTAGCTTGCACTGTTGCGAGACCGTGACGGATTCCTTGTGCGATTCAATTCGAAATCACACAGCTGACATAGCTGACATCACATAGCTGACATAGCTGTCCAGTACATGTCTTGGACAGTGCTCTATAGTCGACCATTCATCTTGCCGCATACCAATTTCAATGGTTTGTCTTGAAATTGCGCGTTACCGCGGGTTTTCAGAACTTGTTGCTCAACTGGGCGGCGCAACACCCGCGTTCCGCACACCCGCGGGTTTTGTCCACCACCCCGCACCGGGGGGTTCTTCCGGCTTCGCTTCGACGATTCGGGGCTCACAGGGCACTGGTTCGGTGTTGGCGGAGTTCGAACAGATGAGCTCTTGGGTTTCAAAGGCCCAGAATGGACCCCGCGATGCATGAGGTCATGACGCAAGAGCAGGCAAAGCAGGCCAGGCGAAGCAGACATGTGCGCCATGGGGCGGGTATCCACTGGGGTTCACCAGTGGTTCGTAAGTGGCTCACTTGACAGGTCTGGACCTCTTGAGAAGTTGGACCGAAGAAGTTGGACACATACAAGAGCTTGTTCAAAACTGATGTAAGCAATCCAAAATCGGAAAAGCTCCACATCGAAGTAGTTTGCTTCATTTTCCTTTCCACCATGAGCATCTTATATTATATAAGGTTGTTTAGAACACCTGCTGTGTAACCAGACATTGGACGTCCCAGTCCAAACCTCCTTGGACGATCTTGGACGTCCCATCGGCGTCACCGTCGCGTCCGCGTCGGTCTGCAGGAACTGCTGGAGCGCTTGGAGGAGACCGAGCGGCAACTGCAGCAGCTCCGTCTGGAGAATCAGCAGCTCCGGGGAGCGGGTGGCATGTGGCTCCGTCCGCAAGGAGCAGGGAGAAGGAGCGATTGGTATACGGCATCGGAAGGCAACGCAAGCTCTCTTCCTTTGAGGGGTTTGTGAAAACACGGGGCCAGCACTTTCAGAGTTGTTAAGATCCTGTGGAGATGGAAATGGTGGGAATTCTGATGGTCCTGAAAGGAATTTCTCCAGAACATTCCGAATGGCCCACCATGAAGGTGGGACCAGCCCATTCCTTCAGGGTGATTCTCATGTGGAAGGTCTGGAAGTGTGGAAGGTCTGTCTCGCGCGTGTGGAAGGCGTGTGTTTGGAAGACCTGGAACCGGTGCGACCCCAGAGTGCCAGTGTTTCCCACCGGTGCGACCCCTTGAGGCTGTCAGTGACTGTAAGCCTGGAATCTTCGAACTGCCGGACCGTGCCATTTCGGACCTTCACAACTGGCTTCTGAACCGGCTTCTGCCCCGTAGGATCGGCTTCCTTCCTAGTAAGGCCAGGAGCCCCGAACGTAGCGTCAGACAGCTCCTGCCGGTTGATCACCTCACCCAGCACCGACGTCTTCCGTCCCGGATCCGACTGCTGCTCGAAGCCGTTTCGACGTCGACGTCAGGCGTCGCACGGGCTCGACGGCGTCCAAGCTTACCATGGGCTCGGCCGGGGGCGCCGAGTGCGGAAGACGTCGCGTCGTTTGCGTGCCGGGACGAACGGAAAGGGGCCAGGAGTATGTTCAAAACCTTGAAAGGGAATATCCAACAGAGGTTAAGTCACCTGAACTAGCACCCTACAGGGGTACCGAACTAGGATAGTCTAGTTCGGGTTCTTCAACCTCTGTTGGATTGACTGGCTTTGGTCTCTGCCAAACGATCCTGTGAACGGTATGCCAGTATGCGAGTGGAGCCGCAACAGGTCGCCGAGAACAAGGAAGCGCCCGAGAACGCCTCGCGCGCACGGTCCGGCTCGATGAGGCGTCGGAGTGGAAGCGGGGATGGCGGGGATGGGAGGGCGACAGACCGGACGACTGAAGGACAAGTAGTCCAAGGGGGTGATGGCGACTACAACTTCTGGGGGGAGTGCAAGATGTATGTTTGGGCCTATGTTTGGGGAAGAAGCATGGACAAGCATCCAGTTATACAATGTTATATACATGGGTAGGTGGTTGAGTACAGCGAAAACGCTGGACACCGGAATCCTGTTTCCTTGGCAGATCCACCCAAGGTGTGGCTGAACAATATATGCCATTGTTATTGTCAGCATCCATGCCGTTTTGAGCCTCTTTCTGTGACAGCTGGGTACAAGGTGTCGGTGCTGATCATGCAGTTCTGGCCTTTAGATTGAAACAATGACCACCATTTCGTGTGTCTCACTAGTTGTTGATGATCTTGTTGGGTCAAGCTGGACTTCGATGTGAAACCTGGGACTTCCTTCCCCCTGTCTCTCTGGCAGGAAGCGATCCGCGAAGGGAGTCGAAAGGATTCGAAAGGAAATCGTGAGCTGACCGTCGCGCCTCGTTGGAGACCCTCTGCCCCTCGACGGTCAGGAAGTCCCTTGAGGTCCGAGGCATGGTGAACTTCCGACTCGACTTCCCGAACGGAAAGCGAAGCGAAGCGATTCGCGGCCTGGAACGAGGATGCGCCGGAGCAATTCCTCGAGGCCACGCTTCACCGATGCCCTGGTGGTGCCCTTCTCCAACAAGGCAGAGTGAGGGCCTGGACGTGGAGGTTTGAAACTGGAACAGGGTCCCTCTCGGGCGATTGGACTGTGCAAAAGTCTCGGTTTCTGTGAACTCACAGGCGCCAAAAAGAACCAATGTCTTGGAGAACCCGAAATGGTGGGTTGAAGGGTCTCGGTTTCAAGGTCAGCCAATGTTTTTTGAAGCAAGGAACTTGGCAATGGCATCTCAGGAGGATTTGATTTGTGTCAAATTTGTGTCTTTCGTATCCAAAAGAAGTGTGATTCTAAAAGGGAGCGAAGTCTGATGCGTTCAAAAACCATTTCGACTGTACTTCTTGCTGCGGCCGCACTCCGCTGCACTCCGCTGCACTTCGCTTCTCGTTCGTTCTTCGTTCGTTCGTGTACAGGAAGGGCTACAGGAGAAGTATGCCGTGGAGTCTGGGCAAACGAACCTCTTCGGGCCCATCCCTGTAGAGGAAGGTTTATGTTTGTGGGGGGTGTTTGTGGCCTTGGTGGCCTTTGTATGTGCATGTCGTCAAGTTCAGGTGGGCACAGAGGTTCACAAAGAGTCCTGGAACACTGAATTCAGATGGTAGAAGCAGTTGTGTTTGCAGGGTCGCAGTAACTATTGAGATCTATATGTATGTGTTTTGTCCTTGGAATGTGCAGAGTTGCATCCCATTGGCGGGCCTACTACTAAATCCGGGCCCCCGAACTACTAATCCAATTTGCACTTTGTGCCTGTACCTGTCATCTAGCCACCACCTTTTTGCTTGGAAGAGTTAGGGCTTAGTTCCGATACAGCTAGGCACTAACCGTGATCTGACGGGTGTGTTCTCCTGAGATGGCTAAGGACTGGCAGACCTGTTTGCATGTTGGCACCCTGAACGGCTTACAGTCGGAAGCTCAGCTCTCGGTCTCGCCTCCACCGCAACGCCGAAACGGTGGGTCGTTACGGACGCCAGGGAGTTCAGAGTGGACACCTAGGTCTGGTGAAAATTTGACCATCAGCCGCTTCTTCAAAGGCAAGCGGTTTCTTGGAACTTAGAGGAGCTTCGAGGAGCAAAAAGATGCCAAAAGTGGAATTAATGCTCAAGCTCAAGCTTCGTGCTGTCGGTTTTGCATGTACCCGCATCCCTCATGTACGTTGTTTTTGCACTCTAACCCATCCTCCTCAAGACCCCCACTTTCATCAGTCGTTGTGTGGCCTGAGAACATTGTTGAGGTTTCTCATGCCTACCAGCATTGTTTCATTGCCAATCACACTACTCTTCGGTGTGTTTGCAGGGGGTGGCGTTTGTGTGGATGGGCTGTGGCCATTCACTTCTGAATGGAGACCTCAGTCAGGAAGAAATTTAAGAATTTAGGCTTCAAATTTATTGGCACTCTACCCGTTTGAAGGGTAAGGGGTAGAGTGGTTGCCGTCAGAGCGAGAGCGGGCTCCAGTATAAAGAGATGTCGCTCCAGTACAAGCACTTGTGTTAAGTCGTCTGGTCTTGTAGAAAGTCGTCTGGATGTTGCGTTTCCATTGGGGTTAGATGCAAGATGGCAATATAACTGGAAGAGCATTAGGTCAACAACATTGTTTGGATGCTGCGTTTCCATTGGGGTTAGATGCAAGATGTCACCCTCATTGGAAGATAAGCTTTGGAGTGTCACTTCAACACCATTGTTTGGAGCTCGAGCATCAGTGGAACATCTTATGAACAATAGGTTGATTTCTTGCAGCGATCACAGATTCAGGGCAAGCATATAGTCAGATTCGACATGCTTCGTCGGTTGTGGGATTGTTCTATGTTTTTGCCTTTCACTCACATGGCATGATTGGCTCAAATATTCTAGATGGAAGACCACGTTCCTGAAGAGAAACGTGCTTGCATCAAACGTTTGAAGCGTTTGTTCGAAGTGGCATCGTTACAAGAGCTGGAGGACACTGAGCGAGACTTGAGAAAGTCGATAGGATCAAGGGTTGGAAAGAGGAACAAGAAGAATCAAAACCCGACAGGCAGCAAGGCAGCACTGCCCTGTAAGCAGTGTGGAGGTGAAAGACCCCCTGCACAGTCCCCTGCTGCGTTTCCATGTGACCGGGTGACTTTCTGCAAACCCGGGTGACGAAACCCCAGCGCTAGTACAAAGGAATTTCTACCATGTTCTTGGCCGTGACTGACTCAATGCATGAAAGGTCCTTTGGGGTGGCAATCAATGCAAATATTTACTGGGGAGCCTGCGTTCTTTTCGAATCTGATACTGGCACGGTTGTCCACGGCATGTTCGGACTGTCTCAAACGTCAAAGAAGTGACAACCGCGACCCATGGTCGGCTGCATCCCATTTGCATCCAGCCATTTGGTGGGACAACGTCGGAAGTCAGGAACAGGCTATCAATCTGTCAATCCTTACTACCCAGACGCTCATGGACCGGGGGCCGTAACCTCATATGGAGCGGTCCGGACCCTCAAATCCCTAGGGTTTTGAGGGACCCGGAGCTGTTTGGAGCGTTTGGGTATGTCTGGACCTTGGAAGTGTTCTCGGTCTCAGAGTCCCTTTCACGCGGCAGGGCTACCACTCCTGCAAGGTGCCCTTCCGAACTGTTTGTTCCCCTTGCCTCCTTCTAGTACCCTTTGCCGCAAGCAAATCTGAAGCGACCAGCCGCGCGCGCCCCCGGAGGGAAGTCCAAGAGCAACTCCGCCCAGCGGGTGATCAAGGCCGTGCGAAAAGCCCAGGCCGCCTGCCGGTTCGACCGCACCGCGCCGTCGACCGGCCAAGAGCGATCGTGGCGGGATCGGTCGATGCGAGGCTCCTGGTGGACGTCCCCCAAAGAAAAAGGCTGTCTCCCAACAGAGGTAGCCAGTGACCGAAAATAGGACCCGTCACCTGGAGTACCGAACTAGGATAGTCTAGTTCGGGTTCTTCAACCTCTGCTGGTTTGCCGTCTCTTTCCACCTAAGACGATGTCCTCCAAATCGAGGCTGTGAGGCTTCCAGGAACTCAACGTACCCCGTGCCCGCGTGTGTGGCCTGACAGCCGATGGTCCGTTTCATTGAAGGTCGTTTGAGGCTTATCCAGCAGAGGTCGGTACTCCAGGTGACGGGTCCTATTTACGGTCGGTCACTGGCTACCTCTGTTGGATCTTTTTGTGCAAAGAGGTGAAACACTGGGAGGGCTTTGTGACAGTCTTTGTCACGTGCACCCCGAAGATCCTTGCCGGGCCGTGCCCCATGCGATCATATTGGTCAACAAGAGAGCAGAAAATGAGAAGATGGGATGAACATTGGCAACTTCAAAGGTTCTGGAGGTGTTCAATTGCTGTTTAGATCTATTGAATGAACAGCTCGATGGTGCAAATGTTTATTTAAAACCCCTCAAAGACCAGGACTACAAAAGTTGCGGCTCCTCCATGCACCTCCTCCATGCACCTCCGCCGGGCCGGGGGCCGTCGACGACATCGGTGTTCAGGTGCCTTTCTTCCGGCTCTTGGAGCAGCACATCGGCGACCAACGTGCCTTAGATCATCCTCACCTCTGCCACTCGGGACATCGAAGAAGTGTGTCGACGCGGGTCACAGGGAGGGGGGGAAAGTCATGTGGTTCAAAGAAGGATGTCCCAGAGGACAGGCGCGGATCCATTCCCTGCAGTGTCCCTGTGGCCGGTTGACTCGCTGCGTTGGTCCTTCGATGTTCGGCACCGCAGTGCACGCGACTTGAGGGGGAAAAAATCACAGGTCCAAACCACCCCACGGGTCACTGGTGACCCCCTTCTTGCTCGGGAGCTGCGAGAACGTTTCACCACCGCGTTTGTCGCAGAAACCGTTCCCGCGCGGGGAAATAAGGCCGCTTGCATGATGCCTTTGAGGATGAGCAGCACGTCTTTCAAGTCTACGAGTGCCTGGGCAGACATCAAACTTGGACGAGAACTGGACTTGAACGGATGGGTGTATTTCGTCTATATGAAATAGGGGGTTCAGCCCTCCTTACCACACGTTTTATGTTGGTCACCCTTATGGTAGTAGTCGGCATCACGGTCTTTCTGAATCCCAATGACTCAGGCTAGTGAATCAAGCTGCAGGGATGGTTTTTGCTCCTCTTTTCCCCAATCTTTGTGGTGATCTGGGATCCAGATGGAATATGGAACGCTTGCTCCGCCAGTGATTCTCGACCCATCCCATCAATCTCCCTCCCCACGGGTGAGGACACCATTCAAAAACCATTCCAAAAAGGTTAAATTGTTCACCGATTCATGCACCTCCTAGTAGTTCCCTCCCACCATCCATCATCCAACTATTCCAAGATCTGCACTTTCAGTGGAAGTAGCCACATGCAACCACCCACCCTCAAACCCGCTGGGCAACGCACCAGACGAACAGGTTCCTTTCTGGCCCTTCACTGCTGGAGAAGATCCTCTCCGACGTGCAGTTCTGCGAGCGCGACGCGGCGGCGGCCGCCTGGCGACCGGTTGAGCCCATGCGGCGTGACCAGTGAGCCCGGTGAGCCCATGCGGATCGTTTTGGAGGAAGTGGAGAAGGGAAGTACCTGGGTTTCCCCACTCCCAAGGAGAAAGAAAATGGATGTTTTTGTTGAGTCCCAGCCATTTCCTTATGAAAAGGATCTCAAGCTAGAGCCGGAACAACCAGGACTGTTTCTGGTTGTTTTGGGGTTCTCAGGTAGATGGTTTTGGGAAGAACTGGATCGGATTCTCCCTTGTCCGCATTGGTCGGCCCTCGGAGTTGAGACTTCAGAATAGGGGGAATGATTGGGTCAAAGCAGGATTCACCAGAAAACATCGAATGGTTCCAACTGCCAACTGATACCTGGTCATTTTGGAGTTTGCTCAAACTGCAAACTGAAACGAAAGAGGACATCCCAAATTCATCCAAATTCGCCTAAGTTTGGTCTTGTGTTTTGCTTGATCAATCCAAATCTACTTGCGCACAAATATTCTCCTTCCGCCTTTTGTGGCACCAGTTGAATCAGATGTGTTTGATCTCGGTTTTTGGTGGTACATCAGTGACTCCAAACCTGGGATGTCAATATATTAGATCAATAAGGTGTGCAAAAACACATAAAAAGCCATCCGAAGATTGCAGTTCACGATCCGCTGAACTCCGAAGAGAACTCTCGTGAGACAGAAAGAAGCAGAGACAGAGCAAACACCATTTCAGAAAAAAAAGATAGAGAGAGAGAGAGAGTAAGAGAGAAAGCACGAGAGACATCAGAAATCATCCAGCTTGGTTGAGAAATCCGAGGCCACCAAAAGCATTCTCATGGCCATCAGCTATCTCCACAGTGGCATGGCCAGGATGTAATGGCCATGCCGGATGGGATTTCCAACCACTGTGGCTCTGTCCATACGACGTGGGACGACGCCTCAAGTTAGTGAAGCGACACACACAGCAGACGATCCCACCCAGACGTGACCCGTTCCAGCTGCGCAGCTGCGGAAGAATGGGGGCTGACCGTTCCATGTGGAAAAGGTGGACCGTTCCATGGCATGGTGCTGATCTTTTCTCAAGCTTCCAGTGGCCTCGAGCAGGAATTCGGATCATGTCCAGTACCAGTATTCTGTTCACTTGGAGAACCCCAAAACGCGGCTCCTCCTTCCACTTGTTTCCGCTTGTCCGATCAAGATGATTGAGACCCCGGAGTTCATCGTTCCCCCAAAGTGGCAGGTCATCCTGTCTCTAGTCGTGGGATCGTCCAGCCGTGGCAAGTCGTGGGATGGCTTCGTCTCTACGGCTACGGCTACTGGAGTAGGTGTTTTCTCATGTTTTCTCCTTCCAGATATCCAAATATTTCCACATACATCCATATACCATGCATATACCATGCACATGCTGAGCATTCCCCAGAACAGCCCAGGTTCCAGAGACCACTTCAAGGATTCCTAGTTCACTAACTGGGGAACCCCCACGTGTCCTGAAGGACATCGGGTCATCCAGCTTGTCCCAAACACCCAAACACCCTCGGAGTCATTTCTTATGGGGATCGAGATGGGGATCTTTTCTGCAAAAACAGTAACGTAACCAAACAAGGCTCCCAATGTGTTTTTGGTGTCACATCAAACGGCGCCAAAAGCATCAAAAAGCACATGTTGTTCTGCCAGACCATGTGGCGTCAGGCCTTTCCATTGCACATCAGCTGCTTGACCAAGCGGGAAGGATGAGAGATCGCAGGTTGCAGACGTGTGTCCATACATAATTATGCCTAGAACCTGAGTGGCCTCTATTTGGGGTCGTCATCAGCCACCCAAAATATGGTCTTGTCATGTCTTGTCCTATCGAAACAAAGGTCATCAAAGGTCTAATGAGAGTCTAATGGGCTCTAGGGGTGTGTGTGTGTGTGTGTGTGTGTTCTTTTTTTGCACGCCTTTTCTCATGTGCAACTGGGTGCTATGTAAAGAGCAAGCAAAGGTCCTGTGACTTTGTCACCTGGCATCTGCTTCGAAGCTTGTGGGTCCAGCCACTTGTTGCGTGATTCTTCAGTTCTGAACATACTTGGGATTGGTGCGCCAAACGTGGTTTTGTGAGCATCCCAGTTCCAGAATTGGCCCTCCCACCCAAACCCTTCCACCACGTGCACCTGCGGCTCCCAACCCAGGAACGTGCACCTGGAGAACATGCGCTTCGCGACGCAACCTCGAAAGAAGGCCCGCTGGTCTCGGCGCTGGTCGCGCTTGACGGTGCTGCGCGTCCCGCGGCGTCCGACCTCACCAGAGTCTGAAGCGAGGCATGCGGTCTGCACTCGAGCACCATAGGTCTAGTCACAGGTCTTGTTTTGTGAGCAAAGTGTAGGGAAGCTTTTCTTGCAAATAACATGCGCAGTAGTAGAGTGACTTCTTGTCATGCTAGGCAAGTGTGCTAGTTCAACCGTTCATCCCACGCTTGCCTTTTGGTGTATGCCTCAAAGTACCACAAGGTGTTGCTACTATTTGTCCAAAAGGATGAAAAAGAAGAACTTCGAAGCAGAAGCAGTTCTTTTTCTCCAGAGCCAAGAAGCATAGTTCACAGAAAATACCAACTGAAATTCCAAAGAAGTTTCCAGAAGACCCTTTCCCCGCACCGTTCCGTTCGTGGCCACCGTCGTGTCGGTACCGGGCGTCTTCCATGCGTCCATCGCTCTGGTCGAAGAAAGCGACCGAAGGACGCGCCGTGACCCGCAGGAGTCGGGAAGTTGCTACGGTGATCAGTTGAAGCTGATGGATTTGGGCTTGAGCCGGGAGCACCCAGAGTCTGGTGTTTTTGAAGTCACACATGGTGCTTTTCCATGTCTGACTTCACAGTGTGAAGTTGTTTGAAGTTGTGTGTTTGGGTTTGGTTCGCCGGACGTGATGCTGCACGCGATATGTCGCATGAAGTGCATCTCATGACATGCTGAGTACATATCCCAGCATGAGTATACCATATAGGTATATGCTGGGATATGCATATGTACTGGGAGTATATACCTGATATACCTAGTCTATACCTAGTATACCTGATAGGTATATGCTGGGATATGCCACTCAGATGGTAGGTCAAAAAGATGGTCTGTCTCACTCATGGCATTTGTATCAACACATCGGAGGATCGGATTTCGCGGACGCGGTGTCGGTGTGCGTCATGGTTTGGAACAGTGTCGGTGTGCTAGTGTCCACATCATGGATCAATCAAATTGGAGTACATCTAGGAGAACGAAAAGCAGCTTCAAAGCAATACAGGCCCTTTTCCGGACATGTAAAGCCCCAAACGTCATAGTGAATTTGGGGAGAGATGGAATGCCCTCAATGGTTCACAAACAACTAGTTTTCTTGGCGGGGTGACACCATGTAAGGCCGAAAATGTCAAAGCAATAGTACAAACCTTGTAGTTAAACCGTTAAACCATGTTAAACCACCTCAGTCACTGAATCAAGTTTTTAAATTGGATCTACTACAAAGCAACAAGAATCTTGCATATATATAGGTTCTTGCAATTAGTAAGACTGGTGGTGAACTGGGAACAGATACGTGAATGAAAATCACCAGACAGGTGCTGACCGAGGCCCATCAGAGTAGCTAATGAAAAATCAAGGCAAGGTAGTACTGTAGTTCTTTTGGAAGCCATATCTCAGGACAAGGTGAACCATCTCCTCCCAAAATCTCCCAAAACCAATGGTGCAATTTCGCCAGATGTGTCCACCGAATTCCGGGGTATGGATGTATGGCCATCACCGGCCATCACCCAGGCCTCAACCAGCCCTGTGGATCGATCGTCCCCCCAGGCCTCAACCGGAAGCTGATCCCCGGCATCCTCAACGCCGCCTCCCAGCCCGTCACGGAGAGACCCGGCCGAGCGGAGCAGCGGAGCTCATCCCGCGCGCCGCGTGCGGAACGGCCTCCAGTCGTAGCAAGAGAGGTTGAGAGACCGCTTCACGTTCGGACCCTGTAGTAGGTGGTACACGTGGGATGGGCGACACAGGGCTGTTCAACCTCTCTAGGTACCGAACCTGAGAAGGTGGGACTGGGGTGGGTGCCAGGAGGGTCCAGTCATACCTTCTCAGAAATTACGACTGGAGGTATAGGGATCATAGAGCGGCATCGGTTCATTGAGCTGCAACGCCACGAGTTTTGGCACCAGGAGACCAACGCCACGCTGCCGCTCCTGGCACCTTTGGGCATCCTGAATTCCTTAGGCACACCGGCGGCGGCGGCGGCGACTCGACGTGGACGATGCAATCTTTGTGGCCGATGTTCAAGCGCTTTTTGACCCCCCCTCCAGACCCTCCCATTTGAGTGATGTGATCCAGAAATGTGATGTGATCCATCTCAGTGGTGTGATCCAGAATGCGTTTCACGAAACTCCAAAAAGAGCGAAGAGGATGGGGAAATGGGGCGCGAGCACGGGCGGTCCGCGGTCATCACCGAGTGCATGCCTGGGGCCTGGCCTGGCTTTTTGGGCGATCCAGTATCGAGCGTATCTTGGGGTGTTTCTGTTTTACGACCTCCCAGCCGGATTTATAGGATGTACAGGCTTTCTATATATTTTTCCAGAGGTGGAACTGAGGGTTCTTCCTATTCTAATACATACTCATTTATACTCATTTATTTCTACTCGGTGCATGCAGGTATTTGGGAGGTTTGCCAGTGAACACTTCAGGTTTCTTGTCCCTGTGGGTGAATGCCCTTTGGGCGGGAGCATTCTTGTCCCTTTGTCCCAGTTCCTTAAGTTTATGAAGCAAATCCAAGACATGTTTCATAGTTCAAGTCAAGATTAAGGACTGGTCATCGTAAACCTACTGTAGTCTTTCTAGTCACCTTCCAGTTGAAGGAGTGATCTTGGAAAGGAATACGACACCCCTTTGTTGGCCTTCCACTGCTACCCTGGTGGGTGCAGAAATATAGAGTGCAACTAGCTTCGGGTTGGAGTATATTGATGTGTGTCCTCCGAACTTTTGAGGCCCGAGCCTGGTTTGGCTCGATCCTCCCGAGGGCTCCAGTTGCCTTGAACATCTGAAAGCAGCTCCGCCTGGTGTGCTGAGACCGCAATCTGGGTGACTTGAAGAGGAACCATGGATGGAAACTCTGGAAACATGGGCTGTGATGTCCATGTAATGTCTCCAAAACATCATGTCAAGCCACCTGAAATGCAGAAACGTTGTCTTGCTTGGATGGACCACTTTTCATCCCCGATTAGCGAGTGAAAGTTGCCCAAAAGCGAACCTGTGCGAGGCTCCATGTGCTTGCCGCCCGAGAGCCAGGGCGTGGCTGGGCCGAGAGAGAGAGTTCCCCGGTCAGCCCAAGTAGTAGGCAGGGAGTGAGAGTCGCATTGCGGCAAAGTCCGAAGTCCATTCATCCAGACACTCCCTTTGATGACTTATTTTGAGGAATTTCGAGGATGACGACCTTTTCACCGCTTAGACAATGAGTCCCGTTCGACGGAGCGGTTTCTTGAAGTAGTTCTTGAAGTATTGAACTACTCCTTGGGGGAGTCGTATGCTCTCTTGGTGCCCCTTCTCACATGTGCACCAGATGACCAGACCTCCCCCGTCTTCGCCGGTGCGCTACGTACGTAGCGCAGTACGACGCGCCGCGGCCCGGATGGGCTCTCCGGAACGGCGCGGAACGGCTGCGCGATCCTCTCGTGGCGTGTTCCCTTCGAATGACCGAGGTGTGTAGCTCCTACGCCCAGTTGGCGACGGCGGCGCCCTGCATGCTGCGACGGACCGATTCGATGGCCAGGCGTCGGCGAAAACGCGGGCGCCGGTGAAGCAGAAGGGGAACCGGTTTTTGTGGGGTTCGGAACCGAGGGGTTTGGAGGCAAGAGTTGAAGTCGATGAGGAGCGAAGGAATCTGCAAGGGTGACAGTGGAATTTATATACATGGAATATGGGATGACATGTCGCTGATTTGTGGGGATTCTAAGGATGGTGCTGGGACAATCCCCTAACGTTTGATGGTTTCATGGGCTGGTTGCCAGGAGGGGTTTACAGATGTTATGCATGTGGTGGGTGGTCGACTCACGATGTCGATGAGTGCGGCTTTCATGATGCGATGGCTGTGCTACAAACCTTTGTGGTGGTGTGCAAAGCAAGCCTTTGAGCGCTCTTGGAATCTGGACAAGCTAAGTTTGGGCGGACAGCCAATTGGATCAAATGGGTGAAGGTCGAATTGTTTCAACCTCAGTGAGTTTGCAGGGACTTGGGTGGCGGACATGAGGACATGAGACGACGAAGCTTCATGAGCCGGCGTGATCTCGGCCCTGAAAGAGGGCGAAGCCACGCTACGAGCCGTCGTTCGGCGGACCTTGGCATCTCTACGTAGCTGGAATAGTAGCTGGATTTAGAGAAGACACCATGTTGTGTTTAACCGGCCAATGCAGGCCACGCTGTGCAATCCACTAAACATCACTAAACTGAAAATGATGCAATCCGTGCAATCCACTCAGACTGAATGTGTGAATGTGCAGTCACACTGTAAAGGAAAAGCCGTAGCTCCACCACACGCAGCCGCTCACTCACCATCCCTTCCGGTTTTCTCGTTTTGAGAACACCGAACACACTTCCAGCTGCAATCTATCATAAGCTAGCTTCCATGTTTTGTTTTATTTTTTTTAAGAGATGCTTCAGATGCTTCTCTGGTGGACTTAAAACAATATCAGGACCACAACCAAAGCCCCTTCTCCTGAAGGGGGGGTAGAAAAACCATGAAAAACCTCCCGGATCCGGCCGATCTCCTTAACGGATCCCGCAGATCTCCATCACCGACGCTGCAGCGGGGGAACTCACAGGAGACCGGGGGTGAAGTGGGCCGACACACGGGTGAAGAGACCGGAGGTTCCACGGAGCTGTGTAGAGCGTGGAGCTCCACGGAGCTGTGCACGTAGATTTGGATGCCGGTCATAGCAATAGGACGCCAGTTGACCTACCCAGGTGTTGGGGTCGTTGGCTACAAGGAGAACAAGGGCGAGGCGACCTTGGTGGGTCACGACCCATCACGTATGAGTCCCCATCCGCAGTCCACATAGGTCGTGCAATAGGTACCATTGGTGTCCGGACCGAACGTGGGTTGGGGTCCTGTTGTTTTGCGTGCTTTGCATGTAAAAACCATGTGTGCGCAGCACGTCCGATCATATGGGAAAGCAAGTGCTTCATACTGTACCAACTCCGTACATATCAGTACAAGGAAGCCAAGCACGACAAGGACACGACAAGGGGTCCAGATGCTTCTCCGAGTGATGGGCTCCAGCGAGGTTAAGTGGTCTCTACGCCTCAACCTACCCACTCAGTGGATAGCCTTTAACCTTTTTTAGGGCTTTAGGGAAAGAACAGTTGGACAAGGGTTGACCTTTATGTTGTTTTTTCCAGGGAAACTGAGGGATTTGGTGACATGAAGATTGCAAAAAAAAATTGCGGAGTTGTGTCGAACTTGGCTCCTATTGGGAGTCATTGGCTTCGTAAATTCCAGCGTGTACTAAAGATCCACCACCTTCTACAACAAGCCTGCAACCCAAACCAGCTTTGTGCGCCTGCTGACCCAAGCAGCCAGTTTTAGTTCAGAGAATCAGACACAAAAAAGGAACCGCTAAGCTATCTACATGATGTCAATGCCAAAACAAATGTCGAAGCTGGCAGTGACCCCTGAAGGAAAAGATCTTGTTCAGACCTCCTGGCATGTGGGTCCTCCATCCCTCAGACAATCATGGGTCCTAAACCATGATCAATGATCCTCTGTGTTTCACGGTCGTGTTCAGCTAGTGACTCACCAAGAAGGAGGTGTAGATCGAATCTAGACTATCTCAGATGGACGAGCTATGACTGAGCTGAGCTGATACCTAGCTATGACTCTTTCCAGCCATGACTCACTGGTCAGAACTGGTTGCCCCCTTTTTCCAAAAGAAGGTCTCCATCTGCGCCGCGACCGCGAGACCGCCGCGCTGCAGGAACTAAGCTCCATTAGCTCCTTGGGCCAAGACTCCTCGGCACAGCGAGCACAGGACGCTCCGAGAGTGGGTTCTTCTGGGCGGAGTGATTCTGAACGCGGCGAGTGAACGCGGCGAGAAGAAGAAAAGGTGCTGGTTTCATGGGACCAACCAGCGTTTTTGCAGGGTTTTGATGTGATTTACTGGTGTCACACGTGTTTCTATTCGGAAGAAAACTCATGTCGTCACACTCTTTGCTTGGCGAACTGTTTGTTTCAACCATCACCGTCCAGTTGGGGTGGTTATTGGATGGAAAATACACACCTCGTCGGGGGGGTCCATCAACTACCCAGCTTCTGGGTGCTGGAAGAGACTTGCTGAATTGAAACCTCCACGTTCTCGTGCTTTTCACCTCACCTCGGCAGGACTTGCTGCTTTTGCTGCAAGCAGGTGACGTCCGAGCCTCAACGTCCGAGCTCCATGCTCAGCCCAAGTCTTCAAATCATTCGGAACTTTCAACCCAACCTGCAAAAATACTTTTGGTTCAAAAGCCGCAGAAAGATCAGAAAGAACTCGTTGCTTTGGTTTGAAGCGCTGGGGATGGCTTCAAAGGGGCTTCGGTTTTGGTCCACGGGATTCCCAGCTAGGATTTCCCCTCTCAGATGTGGTCCCATCTTGGGCAAATCGACACATTGGATTGGCATAGAAGTTCGGGATCATTCAAAACCCCTTAAACTTATGGTGTCTATTCTGATTCGGCACTATTCTTGGGAAATCAAATGATCCCAAGAACAAAAGCTCCTTGGGATGGATAAAAATCCGTCTTTCGGTCGTCCAGTCCACTTGAAATCCGACGTCCAATCCCGTCCATGAAGGTCGAAATCCATTCAAAATGGCACTGTATTGGAAACGGAGTATTGGATGGTATTCCGTTCCGTTCCATTAAACGTTTCTTCCAGTTGAACTGGTAGAACGGATGATATTGGATGGACTTCCGTCGCTTCGAATCCTGAACTGCCCATACAGAACTGCCGTCAAGAGCTGCTGTGGACAGCAGAGCAGTTTCGCATTCGTTGGAGCACATGCACTGCTCCACGAAGATCCAGTGTTTGTTTGTTCGAAAAGAAAGAAACAACTCATTGATTAATGGAAGGATTTGGAGCTGTTGTGTTTTGGAAGCACTCTGTGTTTCGTGCTTAGATACCAGGCATGAACTGGTTTCCGCTCAGCTTGCAACGCTTGCTTTTGATGTGTTTGAGGTTTGGTCCACTGGCTGTATCCTGCACATCCTGCTTTCCGGTCAAATCCCCATGGTCGAGGAGGGTGACAAGGGAACCGAGGCGCGTCAAGTGGGTTGCCATGATCATACCTAGCACTTCCAATGGGCTTTCCTGTCTGGAGACCTGTTTACGTAACAAGTAGTGTAGGGTTGTGCCAGGCGACGGACGCAGCTGGTATGTTTGAAATGTTGGTATCAAGCGACGCCTTTATTCCACTGGGTGAATGGCTCTGATGTTGCACCACCCTGAGGCCGAAATATCAAACATCCCCATGCACAGTCGGGGGTTGCGTTCACGTGAACGCACATGGATTTCTTGGCAGTGCAAGGAGAAAAGCCAGATATGGAAGCCGTGAGGTATCATTTCCCCACCCAACCAGTATAGAAGGTGATCTTTCATACTAATTGTTCCACCCGCGGGCATTGAAGTTAGAGGGGACTCAATTAACTATAGCCAAGAAAGAACTGAAGGCTTGACCTTGAAGACCATTATTGAAGGGCTTTCAGCTGAAGTGGTTGACTCTTCACCTGATTTGGCCAACCTCAGCCAGCCCCCAGCCCGACCCCAAACCCCTTGCGGGGAAGCCAAGCCGCCCAGCCCAAGCTGCCGCTCCTGGCCTCCTCGTCTTCACCCGCGGTGGAGATCTGTGCGCAACTGCTGCACGGGATGCCCCGGAAGCGGGCCACGGCCGACGCTGGGCGATTCGTCGGGCGGCAGTCCTCGTCCACCGGGGACGGTGACCATCCGTCCACGCGTGCTGCACGGGCAACACTTGACGTGTCGGCGGTACAGGGCGACGGTGTGTGGTTCGGGTGGATGGAGGGCAACAGTGAATCTCTACATAGGGCGTTGGGCAATTACACTTTCAATATGATTGTGTATCTTGGGTGGCCCTGCGGGCCATGTTGTGGTTTTAAGTAGATTATAAGTAATATATATATATATATGGTCAAATGGGTTTTTCATGTAGTTTTTCGTGTAGACCAAAGGGTCAATCGCAGGTTGCGCCAGTCCTTAGTGGTGACGCTCGCATCATGTCCGAGGCTTGTATCCAAAAAGCATTCCAGGAAAGGAGAAGCATCGTTGATCGAAGGAGTCCAAGAAAAACTTGCTGGCAGAGCAAGGAAATTGTTCGCGCGCCATCGAAAGATTGTATTCCAAGTTGCGCGCTGGAGGGTTGTAAGATGCGGGTCGTGCATTGGTAGCGCGTGGTAGCGCCAGCTGTTTGCTTGTCGGCTCAGCCGGCTCAGCAGCGAGCTAAATTTACGACGCAGGGTCGATTGTCATGGCGGCAGCGCCTGCCACGTGGAGAAACACGGATGAACTCAACTCAACAACCAACTGGCAGCGCTATGGTACAGGAGGACGCGTGTTCTCAGTTGTTTATGACGGAATCACCCACCTCTGAAAGCCTGACGAAAAATATACAACAATGTGTGAATGCTATCGTGCTGAGGCCGCCCGGTTACCAAGCCATAGGAGATCAACTGGTATGCGCTCACAGACGCACAGAAGCGCGAAAGATTTCGCAAAATGGTCTTGCCGGCCTTTGAAACGCTTTGCGGCAGCAGTCATCACTTGGACGCACTCTTCAAAAGGGCGGTTGTCATGGTTTGCGCAGAGGCTACTCCAATCGGCGCGGCGACTGTTTTCCTCTTGTGGGCTGATTTGATCACGTTTCTGCACAGCAAAAATCCATCCAACTGGCGCAAAAATTGTTAAAGAATATTAAGGATTCAATATTGTTGTTGCCGAGTCGTTGCGGTCGAGTTTTCTTACGAAAGAGCGGTGCAATCTGAAACACATAGAAAATACTAGCCAATCAAACCTGAAAGTTTGTTGTTCATGTGAACGGTGACTTTGGAACAACAACAATGTTGTTTCGCCTGTATATGGTCATGTCATCAAATTGTCGCCGGACAGAACGCCTTCTATGTCCTCCCAAACGGCAAGGGGCAGGTTCCCACACGCCACTCACGCATAGTAGAGTGGCTGAAACCACACGCCAAGCAAACCGTGGACAGATGGTTGCAATTTCAGGCCAGGTTTTCTGATGTGTTGAGTATAGGCTTTGTTGCGTGAAATGGTTTGTCACAATGCGCACAATGGTGTTTTGCCGAACCGTTTCGTTACTTTGTTTTGTTGGTGTCAAGTGATTCTTGCAAAAGTTTGCTGCACTTGCCTTGCTCGTGCTATGCTGCTAACCCCAAATGCCTGGGCCCACCTGGTCAGTGCCATTCGTTTGAGGGTGTGCCAGGTCGCCAGCCCAGCGTGGCAACGGAAAGCGAAGGAACGTGGCTCACGTGCGGTACAACTGCGAAGCATCCGAATGCTACTAATAGCAAGAATGCTACTCTGCTACTACGGTAGATGGACGAAATATTCAAACCCTTTCAACCACGTGGCGACAGTTATTGACACAGGGGTTTGAATATTTTGTCCATCTACTGTAGTAGTAATGCCCTTTGTTACCAGTGGCGATGCCCTTTGCTCGATGCGTAGTTTCTTGTTACTAGTAATGCCAGGAGCTACGTTCGTAGCGTCGTTCGCGTCGTTGCTCCTAGTAGCGATGCCCTTGCCACTAATGTCCGAGCACGGCTCAGAATGGAACCTGGCTCACTTGATGCGACCGAAGTGCGAGGAAGAGAAAGTGAAACAAAGCAACCAACTGCATGTTTCTTTGAAAAAAAGGTCCAAGCAGGGATCCGTGAAATTCAGAAAGTGTCTGTGCAGTTCAAGCTTTGCATTGCAAGCATCTCCGAGCAAGTGCAGCACCACCATGTTTTGTTTCATGTGCCTTTGAACACTGCAAATATGGCAAGGCTGCTTCACCAACCTGGCCCCTGCTAGGCCATGCAAGTCCTGTCTGTAGGAGGTAGTGTCACCCTCCCACATGGCCGTGCTCAGTTGCTTCATGACGACCCATGGCAGTCGACCCATACCGATGGTGAACCAGCGACGGATCAGGGGGGTTGTACATCTATACATCTTGCATCGGCATGCATGGGCACCATGTTCCTAGAAACAGGCTCATGTTCCTCGTTCTCCCAGCGTCTCGGGATAGGACACCGCAGAACCATGATTAAATCTCAGAGAGCTTAGGATTGCGGTACTAAGAAGGCTAAAGGAGTGAGGCCAAACTGCAGACTGCATAGTTCTTTGAGGAAGACTTGGAAGTTCAGCCTCAATTGTTGCTGGCAGATGACTTTATAGATGTCGGGGCCGTTTAGACGCCCCTCGAACGCCCCGTTCCTCTTGCGTTCCATGGGTTCTAAGGAAATGGCCTTGGAGCACTCCTGGTTTGCTCAGTGTGAAAGCATTCAGAAAGCCCACAGGCATGGCCTAGACAGCGTGGTTCATCCAGTTGAGGGGTGAAGCTGGCTCAGGCCCATTTTCTTCCAGTTTCAGTTTCTGGGGCCCAACCGAAACAAAATCAGGCAAACGTGTGTGCGGTTTCTCAAGTCCCCTTCCTCTTCAACTACTCTAGAGCGAGATTGGATATAAATCCATAACTTACCTGGCTGGTCCATGCTTTTTGAATGCCTGGTTTGCGTTCCTCGTTCAAAAAACGTAGGTTCTTCTCTCAACCTATTGACCCTGAAACTTTGCATGCGGATCCCAGGTTTGCACCATGCTTCATCGCTTGTTCGATGTTTGCACGCGGTCGTCCACGTGTCGTTGAGTCAGTCGCGTGTCCTTCCCCCACACGGCCCGATGATGCAGGTCGCAAAAGAAGAATATGCTGGGAGCTTGGCCAATGCTTCCGTGCTTAGAACGGGCTTCAAATCAGACTGAGCATGGTGACTCCACATGGTGAGCGACTTGTTCATCTGAAAAGGCACTTGTAATACGAAACATCACATCCGTCGAAACAGACCGGCAACTTTGGAGTGTGTTCCTTCACCAGTAACTTCACATGTAACATCATGTGCCTTAAAAGCAGACCGTCTAACCGTCTACCCACGGCTACACGCTTCCACCCTCGGCCTTTCACCGAAGTCTGACAGAAGTCCTGTCTTCGCAGATTCCAAGGTCGTTGACCACGGCGCGTGCCGCGGAGTTCTGGGAACGGCTGCGACAGACGTTTGGGCACCCAGCACCGTGGTTCCGAGACGGTGTTTGGTGGTTTGATGCAGGAGTTGGCCACTACCGAGTTATGGATTGATGATGATTCATGGATTGAACCCTGAGTACTGAGGTAGGTGGTAATTGCCTTGATTATGTGTGATGTCGTTTCCCTTCAAGGAGTTGCTGGGCACCTTGGGAGTGAGTAGCGTGCAAGACGGAGTAAGAAGCTCGATCAACCACACGCGAAGTTTGGAAAGACTAGGAAGTTGATCAACCACTCCAATGACCCACGTCTACATATGTCTACATAGCCAAACAGCAAAACATGATAAAACATGAGGATGTCCTGTCCAGTTTCTTTTCCTTTTCTTGCTGTTTTCGACAGTCCGCCCAAAAACCTGTCAGGTCAGCAATGACATGCCTCCGACGGTTGCTCCTTGACAGCAGGAACCGTCAGGCATTTCCGGGTGCAACCCTGCCAGATGTGGCGGGTTGTAGGTTGCAATAACGAGCTGCGGAAGCGGTACTTTGCGAGGGTTGAAAACCAAGGAAGTGAAAGTCCTGCACGTTCATAGAGACATATAATATATACAGATACATATATATATAGATAGATAGATAGATAGATACCAGTAGACAAGTCTTTCTCTCTCTGTCACACAAACACCAAGAACATGTTCTTCAAGTAGAATAGAAGCTGAAATTGATTATTTACATAAGGTTCCAGTATCTCCCCATCGGAGTTAATATGAAGGCCGAACTGGGTGAAACTATGTCAGGCCTTCCCTTTGATACACTCGGAATGTGGTGCAATGCCTGATTAGAAGTTTGAGATTGTATCGCAGCAGGAGTAAAGCTTTTGCAGAGTGAAAACGTGTGGCTTTTTCGGATCAAGGCACTCAAGCCTTGTACGATCTATTTCTGGGCGAGGATAGACTCTTTCCTGGACAGGTCAGCTCTGCTTTGCTTCTTGCAGGACAGATTCCATATCGCAGATGAATGAGGCAGGTGATGACCCCTCTGAAGAGAAGACCGTCTCTTATCGGTAAATAGTTCAGAGTTCCGCAGAAATCTTATTGCTGCTTTGGGCTTGGCTAAAGTGTTGGTCGGACATGATCTCTAATGGCTACATGGTCTACGAGCAATTTCCTCAGCCTGGCGGGCCAGATATCAAGTTTTTGGCACCACTGGCCGTGCTAGTGGTGGGGCTGTTCATGACCAACTTGCTTGGATGTGTGCATTTTGTTCGACAGGGTCTTTGGCCTGAGGCATGCATTGCGGCCGTGGACATAGACACTCCATACTTAGCCTACCAACATGGAAAGCAAGCGGTGCAAGGCCAGAACTGTCCTGAGTGGGAAGCACTTCGGCTGCGCAACTCACCTTGGCGCAGCCTGCCACTGGCCATGGTGACCTTCATGTTAGCTTTCCGAGTCATCTTTGAGATTCCTGCTTGCCGAGCAATAGCCACACTTTCGGCGTTGGCAGTTGGAACTTTTCCTCACCTCAGTAGCGAGTCTTTGTGGGTACAGGACATGGAGCGGGATGGGCTGAATGCAACGGAACTCTCCTTCGTTCGCAACATCAAGGACATGGCAGAAAAGGTTCCTTCAAATTTCAGTGAATCAGGCAGAGACAGTGCCAGCAAGGCCTTGAAAATTGAGGGTGAGGCATGGACTGCTTGCCACTGCAGCGATTCACAATGGCAAATTGCAAAGCTTGGCGAAAGCCAAGATGCTGTACAAAACTGGGTCGGGCGTTCAGTTGTCCTTGACCTGGACAGAAGCGAGCTTGGAGGTATTGGTTCAGGCAACCTTTTGGCCATGAACTTTGTCTTCTTTCAGAGAATGAAAGCAGATGCAATGGAAAAGGAGAGTTTCTTGAGACCTCAAGTCGTAAGACTCGTCGCAGCACAGCACTTCAGCTTTGCGGTGGGTTTTCTTCGTGGTTTAATGCGCGACTTGCCTTGGGAAGACCTTGTGGAAAACTTGATGACATCGGTCGCAGGCAGCCTACAGAAGACAGGAAGCATAATCTCCGCTGTAACTTTGGACAGACCATGGACCTTGAGCGTCAGTGACAACTTCACCTTGCAGATAGACAACGGGTGGAAGCTGCACCTGTTCCAAACGTTCACATTGCTTTTGGTGGCAATGCTGCCTGTTCGCAAGAGGATCCTTTCATCATTTCAAAGGCCTAGCCAGCTACTCAAGGGCTTAGTGACGTTGCATATGAGTCTGGACATTGCATGCGTCGCGACAAGCTGGATCCTTTGTGCCTTGAAACCTTCTGCTTACCACCTTGGAAACTTAGCGAAGACGATGATAGATGAGTCTTGGAGAATGGCAAAGCAACTCATTGAATCTTCGAGCGCTATATCTCCAAAAGACTGGCCAAAGGCCATGCCCGGATGGTATGCTGAAGCCTTGATAAAGATTTGCGCGAGGGCATATCAGATCCTCAGTGCCGACTTTGTGCCATCCCTTGCATGGGACTGGCGGTTCTTTCTTCAGCTTGCCGCTGGCTCCCTGCTTTTCATAGCAATTTCAGCAGCACTGGCCTACATTCTTTGTCAGGACCTGACTACTTCTCTACCTGTTGGCGTTTGTGGGCCACTTTGGCTTGTCACTGGGGAGATAAAGAGCGTGAAGGGCTTGAAGACAACCACTAGAGCGGCGTTCATCCTGATGCTCTCCCGCACCATGCTTCTTGGTACCATTGTTGCTTTGACATGGAGTTCCGTGGACGCGTTCTCACTGCAGTTCTTTTTTGCTGGGATCTGCAACAGGGTCTTCAACGTGATCGCATTGAAGGGACTTTGGCTGGGTGTGCTGGCGTTGCATTGCATGTCCGGCCTTGCAGCCATTTTCTTTGCGCAAAGAAGCCTGGAGATGCAAGAAGAGATGGAGGAGAGTCGGTTTCCTGATCATTCCGAGGGGATTGGCGGCATTTGTGCCTATGGCACTTTCCCCTGAATCGCTGCATCTGTGACTGCTGTGGCGATAATGAAACCACGACACGTGCCGCTTGTGTGAAGGTTAACGTGCTGGAGATCAAACAGGTTTCCTAAGATGTGTGTTAGAGGCAGAACTTAAGGAGAACTAGCAAGAAGCCCGCAATCTGCCAGCTGCCAAACTTGTTTTCAAGGTGCAAGGCGATTGCTTTGGCTGCGCCGCACCGTTAAACTAGCAGTTGGTTTGCTTCTTCACCAAGCCACCTGTGTGCCTATGGCGAACCCAATAGTGATTTAGCCAAAACAACAAACTCTGATGTGTGGAGAAATCCCAAGGTCAAAGAAACATTGAGTTCAGGTAAATGCATTCCTCGAACGGAGTTTTAGCACTTCTTGGACCATGTGACCACTTGTGAGTAGTCACTCCTCATAGTGAATCCACACAGTGGAGTGGACTATGCCATGCAGGAACTTCTGCGTTCTTCCACCATCGCTTGTCAGGTTCCACTCGGTGCGGAACGTGCGTCGCATCCAGGGACTGATGATCCCCGGACCCGAGGAGGTTGGATGGAGCGGGTAAAAGGGCGGAGAGGTGGACTAAACAGAGATGGATATAGATGCAGTTCTTGTGATGACACAATTGCCACTGTTGATCCTGATGACCACTGCCGATGTTATTTGGCCTGTTTGTGTGTGTGTGTGTTTGTGCTTTTGTTGTTGACTATTACTAACCCCTGTTCGGCCAAAACTTGGCTCTCATCCAAGCACCATCTGTGGCCATGAAGGGCACTGAAAGAGCTGCGAAGTCGGAGTGCGTGTCACCCCTCAGTTGGATACACTACACTCTATGTGCACACAATACGTACCTGTACACACAATACATACCTATTCTGGATCATCAACCTCCCAAAATATGGTTATTTCCTACGGGCTCAGAATGGCTCAGATATGGGCTCCAAAAAGATACACACAGTACGTACGTACACCACACACCGCGACCACCGCACCACACGTCCGCACTCCGGTGCCAGCGCCTTCTTCCCCTCGCGCTCACAGGACAACGGGGATCCCGAGACCAATGCCCGAGCGGCGGCGGACGCGATGTGTGCCTCGTCGCTGTCGTTGGGGGGGGTCGGTGGACCGGCTTAGCAGCCCTCTTTGGGCGGGAGAGAGTTGGAGTTTCAAGAAAGCGGGAATCAATAGGAATCCTGAGAATCATGATTGGGATGATATGGATGATTGAAGAATATTGAAGAGATTGTGTTTGTTGAATCAAAAAGTTCATCATCAGAGTTGATTTAACGGAAAGGGTCTTGGATGAATCATAGAGCTTTAGTTCAGCAAAACCATGTCATGTGCTTTTCAGGGATGTGTGCATCAGCGGTTGACCCATTCTCCTTCCCAACCTCACCCATCCTGTGACCGGAGACTCCGCGGAGTCTCAAAAGCTATACACCATATTCTGTGTTGGGTGGTATTTGGGGTGTTTTGGGGGATCAATTAGACTCCTTGCTTCTAGGTAGCAAGGCCTTGCACTGAAAAACCAGGCCAACCCTTCAACCGGCCATCACCCGTTTGCGATGTCCCGACCGCTTCTCCGCACCGACTGACGCGGCCTTCTTCAGGTGCCGAGGCCTTCGAGTGGTTGCTCTATACCTCGGGCGCGACCGCGGCGGGCGGCATCCCCCTGCGGAAGTTGCTCCTCGGCCAAAGACTACCCAGAACGGCCATGATAGGGCCGTTCAGGGACCTTTTTCGAGGGTATCATCCCTGAGAATTGATCCGTTCAAATTCGACAACAAGTCTTTTCATGGTCTTTGAAGACTAGGGTGTCATACAGTCTTCCTAAGATCCCTATAAGACTCTTTGAGTTGCTCCTGGGCCGAATAAAACGATCTTCGCGTCGCTGCACGGCATCTGCATGTGCAGCAAGAAGGTTCACCACCCAATGTCGATCCATTCACGGCTCGTCCGGGGCGAACGGCTGCGTTTTTGGAGGAATTCTATGATCCAGAGCGTGATCCAAAGCGAGAAATCCAACATCCCACGGCATGAACTGGAGCTGCTCGGCCTGCCCGCAGATGAGATGAGCCAGTTACAAATCACATTTGAAGAAAGTCACTATGGGATCAACCTTCTGTGCCACAGAGATAGGGATTTGGAAGCACTAAAGATCCACAGAAAAATGGGAAAGATGTTTTGTGCAAATTGACACAGGAACCTAGCGATGCAAACACCATGTGCGAAAGCTTTAATATACGAGTGCATGGCAGTGTTCGTCATATTACTTTTCATGGAAAGGATGTTTGGTCCAAACTGGCCCCAGGCGCACGGGTCGCGGGTCTCTTCTACCACGGGTCGATCCATCAAAGGCCTTCATGGAGAAACGCACCGGTGTCCGTATCATGGTAATCCATGTGAAATGTAAAGATGAATTGAATGCACGTGACGTGGTAAAGAGGAAATACACTCCCTGAGATCATCCTTTGCATACGGGTGTGTCTTGGAATAGGGAGACAGCCCAAATACCACCTTTTCAGAAGGAAGTTTGCCCATCATTGGGCCATATGTGTTTATCAGATCCAGGGCCCCCGGATGGCATTGATAGCTATAGCCATATGTGTCTATCTCTTTAAAGGAACAGAACCTCCTCTGGTCCAAAAGGCCTCCCATCTCTCACAGAAAGAATGGCGTGGCGCATGGGTGTTTGGCGCGAACCCGGCACGGCGCACTGATGGACCTCCCATCTCACTGAGGATGCTCAAGGTGGATACCTTGATCTCCAGCAGCCAATTCGCCGAGATGATTTGGGCCACCTGTGCCTAAGAGGTGAGACGACCCGTCCGACCGTTGACGTTGAGGCCACCTATGTACTATGCTGTGTAGTATGTGTATGTGTGTTTACTGTGTATGCTGTGTAGTATGTACATATAAATATAAATATATATATATATAGCTCGGTGCGACATAGTGCGGTAAGAAGCGACTGGTGTCAGCCTTGTTGGAATGTAGCTTTGTGATCTTTATGAATCTTGATAATCCCGGATGCAAATCAAGCTATTTGGATGCTACTAGGTGGGAAAAAAGGCGAACTCTCTCCAACCAGCCAAGAGCTCCTTTGTTGGAATCTACAGACTCCTGGGTTTCGTATCCCGGGTATCCCGGGGATCGATCTGTTTCAGATCGAACCTGAGGTTGGAAAGCACCCAAAAACTGTGGTCCATGCCATCAGGTTCTATGTGTTAACTTGCCGGGTTTTTACTGGTGCTGCTAGATTCCTTCCATCAACTGTGGTTGGAGACAGATGTCAAAGTTTCATGGATTGGATGTGGACAATGAGAGTTCCTTTACATTCAAAACAACTACGGTAAATCGAAGAACTCCAAGCAAATTTGGGATAAAACTGCTGCAGCATTTCCAAGCTGTAGGCATGCATGCAGCAGGGCATGTGTACAGGCACCGTCCCCAGAACAGGCCATTTCACCAGCCAAACGGCAATAGCAAGCAGCTTGGCGCTGTCGGTCTTGACTTCTGCGATTTCCTTGTCACCTCTCAACATGACATCTCGGGAGGAGGAAGGTCTCCTCGGTTTCGATTGATTTCAGGCGGGAAGCAGTCACTATTTGGGCCACTAAAAATGGATCTACCATTCATGCTGGCGGTGATCGTCATCCGCTGGCCACTTCGTGTAATGAGAAGCTTGTTTTGCAGATCTTAAGTGCTGACTGTATCCGCTCTAACAGACTCTAACAGTCGGAGAAACATGGAGAAACCTGTGAATCACATCACTCATCATGGGATTAAGGCAACTGTTAATTCAACCAGTACCCAGGCTGTCCACGCTGCAGCTTCCAATTTGTGTTGGTTTTTCCAGCATGTCATTTGTATCGATGTCGATAATGATCTACGTGTATCGCTGAGTTAGGCGATGGCCAGTGGCAACAACTCCACTGCATGTGAATCTAAACATTCCACGTTGTGGCCATCCGATCATCACGAAGTCCTCGACGGACATGTCTTAAACGACAGGCCTTGGGAACTGCTTCTTTGCCCTAACTTAGATGCATCAGCTAGCGCAGTTTCGTTGCAGCGGTTGCTCCTCGAATCTGGAAAAGATAGCTTGTAGAGGATCGAGCCATCTCTCTCTATCTCTTCAGATTTGGAGTTGTAGAGAAGAACCCAAAAAATGGCTTGAGAGAGAGGGAGAAAGGATTTATATAGATGATTTTAGATCCGTTCACGGTGTTGATTGCCAAAAGCCATTTGATTGCAACCGCTGGACCAACCTACACTCTAGACCGCTGGACAGAGACGGATCTGCTCTGAGAAGTTGCGACAGCGAAATCAGCAAGTCCAGAGATGGTGAAGTTGGAGGTGCACCCCGGAACTATCTCAAAAGTTTTGGACTTTACCTGACACAACTGGTATAACATGTTCTGCAATGATCTGCAATAGGATTGTGTGTTTTCTTGGATGCCCTTTCCTGAGACAGCCCCAAAGGTGTTCCTGGCCAGTCTGGCGGCCAATGTGACTGCCAATCATTCGCCAGTTTGCGGGTCAAGGTCACCACGTAAACCACCACAGTCTTCAGCTATGCCTCAGCGAAATGGCCGCGGTAAACTGAGGAGGCTCAGGGTGTTTACTCCATGAGAGCCTACAAGTGACTGGCTCACACCTGGATAACAAGGGTAGTGACAGGTTCTGGTCCCCCAAACGGGATGTAACCTAGATGCAACCTGCGTGTGTTTCCCGTTCGCTTACGAACTAACTCGGTGAGTTCGACCCAGGTGGCATCCACACCCAGCTGTCCATCTCCTTGCAGCGAAGGCCAGGGTTTTTTTGATGGAAGTTCTTTCCTTATCTCAGATGGTATGAGAAGTGATGGAAGTTCGTATTAGATTACACTATATACGTAGTTGAATATGAAACATGTGATTTTTCAGAATATAGAATATAACTGTTTACCTGGGTGAAGCCCATCTTCAAGCCTTGGCTTGAAGATCTTCAATGTTTGGACAGACTTCATGACGACGCTTCGGTCAGGCCGACGCAGTAGTTAGTTCGTCCCATCACGGCAGGTTCAGAAGATTCAGTAGTCGTCGTGTGAGAAGTAGTCCTTCCTGAGGGTCGTCAGCACCCTGACGACCATGCAAGCTTGTCAAGAGACAAGCTGCCAGACGGGTGACAAGCAAACCGAAGAAAAAACACAGGTGCAGCAACCCCATGCTCGCCAGCCTGGAGCGCCAGGGGCAATCAGTTGGGGGAATCAGAGGTTTCCTCGGGATTTTGAAGTGGGATCGACCGGTGACTGTAGAGTCTGTAGAGACTGTAGGGGAGAGAAGTAATTCATATATATATATATATACAGTATTGTCCTACCCTCTGCTGTGGTTCTTGTTTCTCGGATGAGGCGGGCTTCTCTACTTTTAGAAGATAAACGTGCATAAAGGATGCCGTGATCAGGCTCTGCTTGGAGAGAACTTTGGCAAATAGACTGAAAGAAGCAACGGATAAGAGAGAAAGGAAGAAAGGTTAGAAGTGAAGGGTTCCTTTGTGTCCCAGCATCTATAAGCTATGCCAGCTTATCTCCTTACCATACTTGCCCCCTGTACCTTTTCACGTTCTACTCACTCTTCAAAGATATATGGAAACGGATAGGTCTCCAAGAGGCTTCGGTCACAAAGTCATTTCTTTCCGGACAGCATCGGGTTGCCTAAATCATCACAGGTTGCCCACACTGAGAAAATGCCTTCCAACGCTGACCAAGCCGTTCACTCCCATCGGCATGAGGGCGGCTTCTGTCATTCTCCGACCAGTTCTTTTGGCTCTCAAAAGTGGTTGGCCATCCCCCAGGAGCCCAGTGCATTTATCTCAGAGATTGCTTCAAAGGATCTCCAACAGCTCAAAGAACAACCACTCATTTTAGCAAGCAGAGCGGCCGGCGTCGAAAGAACTTCCAGCCGTTGTTGAAGGCATGTTGTGTTCCACTGATCGCTGAGGTGGAGATGAGGCCGCCAATCTTTTGCTTCACCCTCAGGCCCGGGCCCTCGGCACGATTGGAGTGTGCGTGGAAGAGATATTTTAGCAAGTAGCTAACTCGGCTGCGATGGCCTCCTCCCTAGCGATGGCCTCCAACCTAAGAGCAATGGCCGCTGGCCTCCAACCTAAGGCGATGGCCTCCAACCTAAGAGTGATGGCCTCCAACCCAAGAGCGACTAGAAGCAGTGACCTCCAACCTAAGAGCGATGGCCTCCAACCTAAGAGCAATGGCCTCGAACCTAACAGCGATGGCCTCCAACCTACTAGCAAGCCAGGGCAGCCAGGGGCCCATGTCCAGGTTGAAGAAAGAAGGAGATCACTTCCCCTGCGCCGGGAACTCTAGGAATTCTCAGGTTTGTCTTGCATGATGTGCCCTTGGTAGAAAAGGAGTTCATTAATTTGATTCTGCGGCAATCTGGTTCCATTGGCATAGTATGAACCAAAGTGTCCTTGAGATGCCAGAGGTAGACTATGTTGAGGTCTTCAAGGGGTAAACGTTGGCTTTGGCTTGCTGGTCGTGCTCCTCTACCAGCTCTTGCTCTTTGCAACCGTCTGCGAAACTCACTATGACCATGACCTGACTTCCAAATTACATCCAAGAACACCATGAGCCAATTTCCGCGACTGGAAAGCAAGAAACGCCTGTGCCAGGATTTGTGCCAAGTGCTCAGTGTTCATGGAAACCATCTTTGCCCTCTAACACCCGACATCCAAAGTTCAAAGAGATGCAAGTTATCATCTCAACAGCCATAAAGGCCCATAAAGGTTGTTACACCCCGGTGTCTTGATCATTCTTAGATGGAAGGGACTGCACTCCCTCCACCTTCCTCTACAAAAAGTGACGTATTTTCATGTATTTTCCCACTTAGGCATCAGAAACGAACGAAGTCCCGAAACGAATGCTTCCCGAATGACCCGGTGGAGGCATTCCGACCGCACGGCACTGTCGCATGGCACTTCGCGCCGTGCTGACCCTGTGGAGGCGAGCAGATGAGGTCCCGCTGGGCATGAATGTGGCTTTGAACAGGCGCATGGGCATCGTATGGCATGCGAGGCGCATGCACGTGATGAAGGCGTTCCTGTCGTGTTCCTGTTTGTATGGCACTGAAAAAAAACAAGGTAGGGTCAAGTTAGGCGTCTTTTTTGCACAAGTGGCTTCACCAATGTAACCGAGTGTAATGGCGAATCAGAGATACTGGATCTTTTTCACTGATCAGTGCGTTGGGGGCAGGGCTGGCCGGCCATTTGCAGGTCAGCCCTCGGTCCGCACGGACGTTTCACCCGGGTCGTTTCCAGGAGGCAAGAAGTGGTGGTGGAGAGCATCTCGCCGTGGACTGCATTGGACTCGTGGAACAAGTTCCAGGCCACCGACCTCTTGTTGGAGTTCACCGACTGGGGCGACCGGCCGGGCGGTTTTCAGCACGTGAGACGAAGGATTCGGCGAATCGGAGGACGGAATTCTCCATGTTGGCAATGAAACTTTCAGACGAAGAAGGTTGGTCTTGTTTTGTGCCTCATTGTTGGTTGAAGCATTTTTCTGCAAATTGGGTATCGACCGGATCTGTAGGACATTGTAAGGTCTTCTTCTGCTGGATTCCATCAGAATCCATTCTTCGTTCCAGCACGAGACCAAGCCTAAATACCCTTTTTGTTTGATCTGTTTCCAACAGAGGTTGAAGAACCCGAACTAGACTAGCCCACAGATACCCCAGGTGACGGGTCCTAGTTCAGGTCACTGGCTACCTCTGTTGGTTCTTTCCGGAGGGGGTCCAGTTCATGGTGTTCACCTCGCTCCGGCTTCAAAACGGACCTGCCAGGGCCTTACGGACTGTATCGTTTTGGGATTTTGGGTCTGTACGAACTGACCTGTAACAGGACCCGTAAAGCAAGTATCATCTTTTTGGGAACAAGGCCTTTACCAACCGTAATCATCCACTGTTTTTTTTGCACTGTTAATAGGTCATAGGATAGATCCAAGATATGGTTACTTGGGTCTTCAGATTCAACTTCAAAGCATCCTGCTTTGGTACTGGAGGAAAACCAGTCCCCGCCGCACCCTCCCAACCAACCGGAGAAACGGTCGCCCATCTATTCCCCGGGACGTGTGAAAGGCGGCTTCTCGTGAGGCGCCACGTGCGCCTTTGCCTCGCTGCTCCCACCACGTCGCCAGGTCCAGGGACCTCAGGATCGTTCGGTCTATCCTGGAGATCGCATCGTCAGCGTCAATGGCTTCATGGCACCAGCCCTGATGCTCCAGGCGGGAGTCGTCCTGGCGCGTCTGAATGGCACGGCGCGTTTGAACAGCGGTGTTTCATTCCTTGAACTGGGGAGGTGGAGGGAGGGAGTTCGACGGGAAGCTGTGGAGAGACAGGGGTGGAAAGCAATGAGGTGGCGGAGAATCTTTGCGTGGAGAACTGAGAAAGGAATTACTTTTATTATATACCCTTTACTGCTAAACTCTGTGATGTTCCCAGCTTTCCCAAGAAATGGACATTTTCCAGATTGGCAGTACTGGTGCTGCCGCCAGGAGTGCCAGACGAAGTTGCTGCTCAAGATGGAAGTCATGCGCGCTGGCGGCTTGTTGGAGTCAAATCCTTAGCCTGTTCATTTGGCTCTTCGAAGAGACAGATCGGCGTTGAAGACTTACTCCCACAAAAGTGAATCACCCCAAGTGAAAGGTTGCAAGACGGTCGAGACGGAGCGTTGGTTTTCCATGGAAAACCTGCGAACTCAGTCTATATCGACGACCATCACTCAGAGCGATGGCCTCCAGCCCAAGAGAGATTGTAATTTCATGTGGCGGCCTTCCCTTTGCAACAGGAAGTTCAAGGACACATCCTGTTGAATGGGCGGACGGGTCCTTTCCATAATATGTTCTTGCTGGGGACGTGGAGGATGGTCCAAAGATGTCAAAACAAATGTAGTCCGTTGATGCTCGGAACAAATCTATCCAAAAGTAAAGATCCCATGTTCATTGATGTACCTAGGTGGGCTATGAATCTCTTTTGCAAGAAAAAGACAAAGGTAGGAAAGCTTACTCTCCCTGCAGTAGCAATGAATGTGGACAACCACCTGTTTGTATATAGAGGAAAATGGTCATCCAAGGGCCCAAGTCATCCAGTTCCATGATTACTGTATTTCAGGGAGTGTCGATTTTATGGACAGCTTGAACAGAATAGGTCCCTTTTTGACCTGGTTGTGGTTTGTAAGAACACAACATCAGATCTCAGAGATTCGGCGAGTTGGTTGAGGCTTCAGCCATTGCCCCTGTCGGAGTTGGTTTGAGGCGGGAGCTGATGGGATTTTCTGGGACACCCAAACAAGGTCGAGGGAGGGAGAGGAAACAAATTGACAAACGTGCCTGAAATGTGTGTTTCCTTTTAGACCCTTTAGACTTTTTTAGACCATTCTTTGTCCTTGCTTTTCCATTATTCGTTTTATTGACTTCTTCGGGGTCAATATCATGCAGTCGAGGTCCGCACCTTTGTTTCGGACAATGTGAGCGTGGTCCGCACCTTTGTGTGGATGCAAGAAACCCTCCTCACAACGTAACTGGGAGCCATGGTTTGCGATTTGTACCACTTGTACCACGCTTTCGTTTTGTGTTTTTCCTTCTTGAAATTGAGACCAGAAAGGAGGACAGGAGACCAGACAGGAGGACAGGATTCCAAAGGGTCTAAAAAAGAAAGACGCCGAGACAAAGACGCATGAGCTTTGGGTGTCATAAGCACCATGCGGACCGCTCACTGCTGTAGCCGTGGGCCCGCACTGACCGCAAGGGATGTGTCATAAGCACCAAAACGACAGTGAGAAAACCGAGCCAGAGCCTGGGCGGCGCGATCCCGAGAAAGGTGAGTGAATGGGCCGGAATGTGCAGCGGAATGACGGGGCAGCTCAAATGGTTGTGGCTAAAGCTTTCCGAGACCGGTCGGAAGATCTTCATCACATCATGCCATTTCTTCAAGAAGATCTAGGGATGTGACATGTGTTTTTGGAACATCGTTTTCAGTCCACAGCCCACTACGCAATGCTACGCAACCGAGTACGCTACCGGGCGATCTACGACGAGCCACACCGATGATATCAGGTCCAGATTTGTACAGGGCACATGTCGCCAGGCCGGTTCCGTGGGCAATCCAGCGGTACCCGGTGGGCACGTGGGGCCGACTTCGACCGTTCGTTTGGGCGAAATCCCATCCGTGAGGCCTTCGCTGGTGGAAATGTGCAGGTCCAAATTGGATCGTTTTCAGAATTGAAAGCCGTTCAAAGAGGACATCTAGAGAAAAAGAAAACAAACTTTCTTCAGTGTTGTCTTGGCTATTTGTTGTCTTGGTTTTGTGTTAGGCGCATCCTTTGCAATTGTTCACTCGGTCAGGAAACGTAACGAAGGTGTGAGACAGCCAAACCGTGGGGCAAAGATCGGCTTTCAGACCTCAACGGGCGTCTTTTTGGCCCGTAAGTCCAATGCGCAAGTTTTGTGTGGCAAATGGAAAGCAGAAGATCAGATTCACTAGTAACAAGAAGCTACTAGCAGCTCCTGGCCTTACTACCAGGAACAAGAAGTTACTAGGGGCTCCTGGCATCGCTACTAGTAACAAGAAGCTACTAGTGTTGGCAGATGGTTTTCACATGTTTTCAGTTTTCACATTTATTGGGTGGGGTGCAAAATGGACGTCTTATAAACACCCCTTATAAACACCCTGGAGAACCATCACTGGTAGCAGGGGGCTGGAGTATTGGAGCTTGCTTTCATGTTTGAGCAATCTCCCGTTTCGAACAGGTTGGCTTTGGAGGTGGTCTCAGCAAGCAGGGGACTAGAGAGTTACTCGAGTCATGTGAAACAAGCAGCAAGAAATGGCACGGATCTCCTGCATTTCCTAGAATGACTCATTCTCCTTCGTGTCTCGTATTCCTTTCACTGATTCCTTTCATTTGCCTTGTATGACTTTAACCCTTGGCCAAATCCGCCAAGGACCATTCAAAGCTTCAGAACCTGAGCTCAAAAGTCAGCTCATTTCGCTTCTGACGAGCTCGGCCTCGACGATGCAAGCTGCTCCAAGAAAGACTGTGACCGGGGGGGCAGTGGAGTCGCTTTTTGCCAGATTGCCACGCACAAGCTACAGGGAAAATCAGTGTTGCAAGGCTTTGAACCCCTTGTGTATCACGGATTCACTTGGGATGAAGGCTTTCGTCATTCAACCTGTTTGAGATGTATACACCCTCCAAAACTTTGAATCTGGATAAATTTGCTCTTCAACAGAAGGAAACAGATGTGGCATGAACCTCACAGTGCATGGGCCCCTTTTGGCAATTCCCAGCTTCGGCCATTGAAGTGCCAAGTTTTATAGGAAAGCATAGACAGCACAGAAAAAAGAACACAAACTACATTCTGTGTTTTGAAGATAAAGATGTTTCAAGTGCATGGCACTTTAACCTCAGAGCAGTGCCGAGTGTTTGCAGGTCCACCGGTCCAGCGATTTCGCCACCGGCAGCCATTTTCGCCACCGGCACCAAGAGGATGTTGAAAAAGGTTCAAAAGGAGTCCTTTAAAACAGCCAGGTGACCAGCAGGCTCTTTCGGGGACATTTGGTGCAGGAGCAAATGGTATTGATGAAAATGTCGTAGAATCTTCGTCACCTCGAAGGTGTGTCTAGAATATTTGGAGACCTTGACCTTTTGCCGTGTGGAGGACAAAGGACGTCCCTACTTGCACTACTACATGAAACGGAGCTTGTAAACGCGGGGCTGTGTGCTCACGCGCAAACACAACGCCTCAAAGACGATCCTGAATCATGAAGCCATGTGGAGATTCAGCCTTTGGGCAGGACAGGTGGGCCTGGTTGCTCACTGGGAGCCACTGAATGGACACTTCATGTGCAGAGACCATTTGGAGAGAAACCTGAAAGCTTGTCCGTCGCAGCACGCAGAAACCTGTTATAGAGAAGATACAGGGTTTTGCCTAGCTAAAGGTCCTTCTCTAAAAAGCACCAGCCACCCAGCCAACCACACCACAAAAGCACTCACGGGTGAACATCATGACACTTACCGATGTGGTTCTTCTACAGAAAGAGTCCCCACCGACACACACTCCGTGAGTGGATCGGGTTGTTCAAACCCCATCAGCTCGGGAAACCGTCCCGTGACTTGACCGACAGGGTCTTTGGACCTGTTCATCATCCACAGTGTACTTCACATCTGCAAGAATTAAGGATGTCCAGTAATATTATATACACATGTAGTTATAATGGTGATATAGACAAACTGGAAACATCTGTAGATGCGGTATGTGTTACTGATATGTACATACATATGTTTTTTCAGCTGTACACCGGGACACCGAGCGCTGGTCGTTCACTTATACCTGTATATGTAACTACGTAGACCTGTGCGGATCTCCTGAAGTCTCGAGGATCTAAACACACTGTACACATGACAGTCCTGTTTCGATTAGGATTTCATCGGGTCAAACCCCGACCCTTCGACTCAGCCGGTAGTTCCATCAGCTGTTCGACCCAAGCTCCAGAGTTCAGCCAGCTGCAGGAGCCTCCGCAGAGCTCACGTATCCGTCTTTCGTGTCCTGTGAGGGTCCAGGCGCAGAAAATCACATGGGCGGCGACTTGCCGTTCACGGGTGCTCTCATGTTCACATTCACCATCATCTACCCCTGGCAAGCGGAGCTACGGGAGTCAACAATGGGATGTTCCTCCTCAGCCGGGACTCATGACCATAGACCATTGACCATTTCGTCGCGCCTGAACACTGGAGCAACGCCACCAAGACTTTCAGAAAGATCTCAACCAGGACCTTCAAAGTGACCTTTTGAGATCCTAGAATGAGGTCACTTAGTCCGTAAAGAGGTCACTTAGAGACTCCAAAAAGATCACTTTGAAGGTCCTGGAAGATGGTCGCTTTGCTGTGCTAATCCGCGACTTGGCTGTTCACTTGAAAAACAAACACCACTTTTCCGCTCCAATCCATCAATCCGTCCACCATGGTCCACTGAACCGACGTGAGTCGAGTGAACCGACGCGGCCACGGAGCGTGGTGAAGTCCTGAAACCACGGGACACCGGACACCGGAAGCCTTTTCCGACGGTGGGTCAGGGTAGATGTGGGCTAGCCCGGAACGAACGAAAACCCTGGCAGGTTGACCATGTCTCACAACATGTCTCACATAGTCTGTTCTCCAGATTTTTTTGGAGCGAAGAACCCAGAAAAAACACCGACTGGTGCCTGTTCTCCCTGGTGTGGCCGATCGGAGGAAAGCACCAGAACCACTTCAGCCTCACCGGGGCGGCCGTCGCCAGGCTTCGCGCCGGTGTGGCAGAACTTCCGGCACCTGCGGCAGGAGGCCCTGCGTGGCTCGGAGTGACGACATGGATCAGATGTTGGGCGGATCAGATCCATGCACCAAACCGGGCAGTGGGGGCGTTCCGTGCCCAGCTTCGCGGTGCCGCGGGAGCTCCAAAAGCAGCTGAGGTGTGGGGCTCTCGTCAGAAGCGCTGGTCGAACTGCAGGCGAAAGCCTCCTACATCATTGACCAATGGGGTGAGCCTTGCAGGATCGAACTCGTTCGACAGAAGGTCCTCCCCACCCGGTGGGGAGGCACTTTAGCTGTAGCTTGCGCACACATCCGCACTGGAGTCGTTGATTTGCTCTTTTGTGGGTAGGGGTGCAGCAGCCGGGGTAGAACGAATTCTCGCTGGTCAGTTCTCACCTTGCAACTAAACATGTTTAGGCAGCCGTCAAGCGTAGCCTTCTGCGCCAGATCCAGCCACCACGCAACTGCACTTCATGGAAAAGATACTATATAGGTGACTAGGTCATCCTGTTGGCAGACAGGGGGACATCCACAGGCCTAGTCCAGGCCATGTCCTGAGTAATCCGCCCAGGAACAATCGGTGGAGTTTGTCACCGGCTGGCACAAGGACCGAGAACCGGCAGATGTTGTGCTTTTATAGAAAGCGGTGGCTTTCTGAATAAATAAACAATCAATATCGTTTACTTAAGAGCAGATGCACAATGGTTCGATTGTTTCAATGGAGCACAATCGATCTTCAGTAAACATGTGTGATCCAGTGTTCGACCAGTTTTTTGGAAGAGAACGGTTTCTGGGCGTCCAGCCACACCCAGTCCATCAGCTCTCCCCGTGCCCCAAGAGGAGTTCTTCCAATTGAGGGACTCCAATCGTGTGGTCAAGACACCTGATTGCCATTCGGCCAGCCAAGGGGTACAGGCGTCGCATCCGGCGTCGTTTCAGCAAAGGTGCCATGTTGGGGCGATGCTGCCGTCATCCGAGCCAAAACCCAAAAGCCTTGCATCCAGATCACAATGATTTGATATGATTTGGTGTTAGAGGGTTCATAGATCACAGTTGCAATTGAGTGACGTGAGGGAGGCTGTATTGAGAGGCATTTCCAGAGGCGGAACTGAGGGGTTGCTAGCTTTGACAAGCTATCAGGTGGTAGCTGTGCTACGATTTCCTGAAGAGGGGTAGGATCGTCATTCAGGGTCTGAGTCTGAAACTGTTTATATATATATATATATAGTTGAGGTGACTTAAGTGGGCTTGACATGGGTTCAAACATGCAAAATCAAAGCCAGTTCAATTGTGCTTTGATGGAACTGTGAGATGTCATTTGCAGGTACCCTGAGCACCTATTGACTCGGAGCCTACGAATGTTTCATGCGACAAAAATCCTGTAGAACGGAGGACATCCAAACCCCGTGTTCCGTGTCAAGCCAAGCTTGGATTTGGAGTACGTCAATGCATGTCAACAGGTGCAGCACTTATCTATCGGCTGTTCATGGGGAGAGGTGTGGAGTCATCAGGATCGTGAGGACTTTTTGGAAAAGGCCAAAAACGAGCCAGTGGATTCCCTGCCTATAACACCCAAGCAACACGATGCTTCCCCGGACATGCCAACACGACTGACTTGACCTTTGCACCCAGATGTCAGGGTTTCTGAACAACCTTGACACTCACACTAAACATCAAACACACGCTTGAGAACATGTGATGAATTTCAGCACGCACTGCCTAGCCAACTCTCAAAAAAAATCAAAGCTGTTTTCCGTCCAGGTTGGAAGAATCAAAGTTGCCAGTTGCCTTTGCACACCTTGTGGCTCCTTCCACTTCCAGATTCACTCCACGGTGCCTTGTCTGGGCCATGGTGGCCCCAAGTAAGAAGGGCATGGTGGAATCTGCAGTCACGTCATGTATGGCCGATATACCAAAGATATGTGTAACATGGTGTAACCACATGGGCTTCATCGATGGGACCAACCTACAAAGCAGCTGAGTCTAGTCAAGTGCAGCTGTTGTGAGGCTTCATGGCGCTTACAAAAGGTTGCTCAGTCGACATTCTACGGGGAAACCAGGTTTCTTCAGTCGACAGCAGTCGACACATTGCACTTGATTGTTTGTTTCGAGGTCCAGAAGGGGGAGTTGGTTTGAGGAAAAATACCACGGACTCTTGGAGCGGTTTTTGTGGCAAGGTTCAACCCCCTCTCAGCTGCTGATTCTTGCTTGTTACACCCAACAACTAATGCAGCTGGTTCGAGTGTTTGGCTCCAGGAGTTTTTGGTCAGAGCACCCTTTCCCACACACTGAACTGTAACGTAGGTCGATCGGTCCTGACACTGGACAGTTGGAGGGTGTGATGAAGAGCGGAGCGAGCGGAGCGAAGACCCGAAAACGGCCTTCCCGAAGTCTCGGTCCCGTTCAGAACACGGGATTTTGCTGCAAGAACTCCAGTTTGACTCAAGATGTTTGATCTGATTTTGCATACATTTGAAAAGAAAAGAAAGGGAGTGATTTGATTTGGCGGGTGCATCTCGCATACCTGCAAGCATCGACTAGCTATGCACAAAGACCCGCTTGTCAACCTTTGGACACGCAGATCAACGGAAGTACCAAGCAGAGTAGACCGTAGACCCACCATATCATATCACAATGCGAAGTAGTTCAACAAACTCGGTATTAATATGTATTAATTAGAAGTGCTCAAAATAAAGGGGCGGATTCACAATGTTACAAGACAAAGTGAACCAAGAACTGGCACTTTGTTGGTAGGGGAAAGTGGTTCTGAGCTCCCAAACAAAGTACCATTTGCTAAAAGCGTGTGAAAGCTTGTGAGCTGACAGGTGGTTTTTGCTTACATGGCTACGTGGCTGCGCTCAGTTGCCTCCTGCATCACTTGAAGGGCCGCATCACTGGTACCTCGCCATCAGATCGGGTCTATTTCGGGTCCTTTTGTGACATCAGGTCGGAGGGGTGTTTCGGTGTTTCCAGAATTCTCAGAATGCTGTTCTTCTTTCCCTTAAGAGAGAAAGGGAAAGGTGTTTCCATGTTTTTCATGCGGTTTCCATTTTGCTGAGCTCCAAAATGGTGGAGCTTTTTCGGATCTCCTCCCCCCCCAAACGGTCTGTCCGGACAACGAGGAAGCCAGGCTCGCACGGAGCGTCTCTCCGGGGACGGGAGGGGTTGGTCGTCCGAGGTGCAAATGCTCAAGCCCTGACAGCTCGGATGCAGAACGCCTTGGGTCCCGAACGCTCCCTGGAGCTGCTCTTGGACGCCTGGAGCGAATTCCAGTTACAGTCTGCTGATGACAGCTGCCTTTTCTTGGGGCAAAAACGTGGGTCCTACCTTTGATCCCGGATGTAGAAAGCTCAGAAAGTGGTGGTCGATGGTTGAAACCATTGTTTCACGCAACGCTATCTCAGCGTGGGCGGCATGTGGGCCTCACCAGCTCGCACACCGCAGCACAGACCAGTGCCAAGCTTGGCATATGCAAGGATCACCCCTTGGTCCTTTGGCCCCCTGGTACTGGTTGTCGTGGTCGCCTCTCGTCTCATGTCCACACGGGTTTCTCCCTTGGGTCTGGTGATATTGGCTCAAAGTGACTCACCAACCCCCAAGCTCTATATGTCATATGTGTCAGTTTCAGCAGAAAGCCGCTCATTCTGCGGCGAATTCTTCCTCACCAAGTCAGATGTGGGGAATTCTTTTGACTTTTGCTTGATGGATCCATCGGCCCATGGGGGAGAGAAGCCTCTTCAGGCTCCGGAACGCCCACAAAGAGCCGGAAGCGCGCGCCATCCGATGGGAATGCCCCGCAGATGTGTGACCAAAATCACAACTGGACCACCAAAATGCGGCGTAGTACTAGAACTCCAAGGCAATTGAGGGAATACCCATACCCTCGCAAGATGTTCATGTTTCCACTGAAACCATGATACCCTAGAATCGGGGGCGCCGAAAAACACCAGGGCGGCAAGAGAAATCAGAGCACAATTCAACCCACCTCTTAAATTTGCAGTCATTACCCCGGGAGGGGTGGTGGAATTGTTCTTTGATTTGCAGGCTATTTGCCCATCGAAGGAAATTCGAAGAATCCCAAGTAAACTGTTGGAACAAACTTTGTTAGAACTACCTTGTTTGACGAACCTGCCAGAGATCATTGGCACAAGATAGTGTCATGGTGATTCCCTCCTGGGAACCCTTATAATGCAAAGCTCTTACTATTGAACCAGGTTTTTGATTCAGGCTGAGAAGCACCAAGTGCTGAAAAGCGCGGAACCGTGGCTGAACAGCACTCTGCGTTTCGAAGCACATTCCGCGACCATGTTGTCAGGTCCCTGTCCAACTACCTACCCTTAAGCTTCGAGACCTTCAAAGAAACGCCAACTTTTTAGCGGCACTGGGCACTGGGTGCTTCTCAGCACTGTGCCCTTCAGCACTCACCTTTCAGTTTGAAAGCCAAGCTTTTACAATGAACGAGTCCTTCACAGGACCATGTGATTTGCAATCAATGTGCAAAAAAGATCGTTTTGTCAAAGTTTGCTTTAACGCTTACGTCGGATGTTGTGAATATTCCTTGAGAGTAGGTAGCTAACAGACAACCTACACGTGAAAGAACCATTCCACCACGCCTTGGATGTCTTCTTGGATTAATATATTTTTGCGCCAAGAGATGGTGTCGGACGGATTGAAAATTCATAAGGTTAAGGTAAACATTGTCAAAGTAAGAAATAAACATAAATTCATTGGTGGTTTGTTGGAACAATCGAAGCGAACAAACCCAAGGAAAGTTCTCCATGGAATTTGTGCCTCGGTGGAGTTGGTGCGCAGAGGGTCACCGGGGTGCGACGCTGGTGCCTCGGAGAAGGGAGTTCCCCACCCCAACAGCCAGGGTATGTTCGCATCAGGCATTTCGTGTCGGTAGATGATCCAAGGTGCGAGAATGAAAGGATGTAAACCTGTGAGACTCATCTCATGTTACATGTTGCAGCTTTCATGCCCTTGTCGTTGAGTTGTGGTTTGCCTTAAGGTGGATTGACCCATCCCCAAACAAAATTCCGTGGTTTCTTCTTCGCTTCATGGCGTTTCAAAAGGAAACACCCGTTTTAGGCCACACCTGGTGTACTGGTGCTGACCCGGCACAGGTCCTCCATCCAGCTTGGTCTTGAGCCACCACCGCGGCACCTCCCCACCATCGACTTAACGCCCTGGGCATGGCAGCCACAGCCGGCCGCGCGAAGCACGCGGATGCCTTCGCGGGTGCAGGAGGCACCGGCGAAGGGTGGATTCGATCGGTGGTTCGATCGGTGGGATAGTGCAACTGAGCGTTCGAACATGCACAGGGTCAAGGATCAAACTCTAACACCGGCGTGTTAGAGACTCACAATTTCCTACGTACTTCGGAAAGTGGAACATGTTTCGAATACTCGTAACATCAGCACAATTTGGAAGGGTCACCCTGACTTCTTGAGTGGAACTTCCAAAGAATTGACAAGCCACACCGTTTGTAGCGGCTGGCACGGCCAAACGCCGAATCACCCAGCCTTGGTGAACTGGTCGGATGGAGGAAGGTTAGGGAACTAGACGAAGCTGCCTTTGGCGCCAAAAAAGAAAAAGTGACAGGCACCCCCCAATCGAAGCGTACCAGCAGGCCACCAATGGAAGCCCCTACACTACTAAGGGACCTCCATTGGACACCCCTTGAAGGTCCAGGAACCAAACATAGATCCCAAAAAGGGTTTTCTAACAGCTGCACGATGACTATGCAGCACAAGACCGTGTGTTTTGCAGCCAGGCATTTGAGTCCTTCAAACCTGCGACTTGGCTGCTTGGAGATGGAACGAGACCAACATGGTCGCACTTTGGCTAGTCTAGATTTAGGCTGTGTGTGTGTGTGTCTACCCGTGCGGGATGTTATCCTATCGTATGATACGAGCGTCAGGTCTTCAATGAGCTTGTGGCCACGCTTAAGCGGGAAGCTGTCCCTGATCACATCATCTGAGCGGGAAGCTGTGCATTCGCGTACACGTTGTGTTAGCTTCTGCTCTCACTTTCTTGGGTCTGAAAAACCAGGATGGATTGTGTACAGAACAACATGTTGCGTGCTGTAAATCGAGCCCTAGAAGATCTTTGGGGAGAAGAAACTCGGAGCCAGTCGTGTTCAATTGGTGCGGAAGATGAAACACCGGTGTTTCTACCCATGATGGATTCGGGTGTAATTGAAATTTGAATCGATATGTTGACACAGCTCCTATTCTACAGGTAAACACCGGAAAAAATGAGATCATTACGACACATTGTGACTTATGAGCACCAATTACTGGGCCGCTAAGTTTGTGTATTATGGAACCATGGAAGTGTGAATCAAGCCTTTTTTTGATCGCCAGTTCCTTGTCTATATACTTGGTGCCAAAAACTGCATGCCAGTCTGACCCCAGACCACACCGCTTCGGAGTTGGTCACCTAAAACACTTCGTGAGACGAACCAGGGACTCTGAAATCTGCCTATGGCTGACCGACTCTACATCTACCATGATCTACCTACCAAGTCGTGACTTGGGGAGGCCTTCTTCTTCGTAATGCAAGAACTGTTTTTGTTTGTTGTGTGTTCTTGGTTGGTGTTGCTTCCTACATAGCAGGCCCTCAGTCTTTAGTCTCAGGTTCGTGGCTCTCTTCATCTCTTGTACCAACCCATTTCATCAACATTCGCCAGGTCTGACCACTTACATACTCGATATGTCGATTTGTGTGTGTTCCTTTCGGGTTCACCGTCGTCCCTGAGGCCTCTTTGGCCTTTGTGGGCCACCACGCAGGCATGTCCTTGGAACCGGCCATGGCCATGGCTGCAGTGCTTGCGGAGCTGGCAGAGGAAGAGAGGCGAAGCGAGACCGCGAAGCGGCGAAACCCAGATCACCACCAACGTGTCAATCCTTAGGTGGTTTATGTTGAAGAAACTTCTGGGTCAGTTTGCAGTTGTGGAATCTGCTGGAGCACTCTCGGTTGTGGTTGAATCCAGAGACTTTCATGGGAATATCACTGGACCTTGCTGCAGGAATCAGTTGGACCTCATGTCGGATTTCAAAACAAAACTTTGCGCCTGCGAGCCGGACACTCTGCAGGCTTCAGGTGTCTTTCTTCGGGCAGCACTATGCATGCGAGATCATCCACCGGTGTGATCAGGAGAGCCGATTTGTTCTGCGTTATTCCGACAGAGGCAAGGCACAGCCGTAGGCGAGTTCTACACCACCGCAGGGATGTTGAGGGTCTGAAGCAAGGAGAGGCGAATCCTACCGATTCCCAAGAGCTGTTGCTATTGCTGCTGTCCTGCTTTGTGTGAACGATGACGGACATCATGCCGTCCACAGTCCACATCGAACTTCTGAGGGTTGGAGGACAACGAGAAGCTCGTCATCCAAAAGGGCCTTTGTATCTAAAGCTTCTTCCGTTGAACAGTGACAGGTGCGGTCTTCAACCTTGCTCCAAAAACCTGTGTCACATCCTAAAAAACCCATCACAACAATATCAGCCGTTTCGCCAGAAACCATCCAGGAAGACCCAACTCTCAACCGCCCAGCTGGAGTCCGAGGATGCCCTCCAAGAGGTCTTCCGGCGCTGGATGTTTCAGCCCGAGCTTCGCGAGGCGTTCGGAAACGCAACGCGCGTTTCCGGGTCGCATCGCGCGGTTCGAGTGGTTTCAGATGGGTGGCCCCTTGAACTCTGGGGGGGTCAAGATTTGCATTCAGGTTCATGATGGTTCATGAGTTTATTTGGTTTGTTGTTGTGTCATCATGTGTCCGTGCTTTTGGAAAGTCCAGAGTCCATCCACAACATTTGTTGAAGCAACGGAAATCACCGAATGCCTTGGAAAATTTGGAAAGCTGGAAGAACACTTCAGTGCAGGGCCACCGATGCACTTGCAGTGCATCAAGCCACCTAGCTGGGGGAGCAGAATGAAGCTGCTAACTTCAATCACAACTGGCTTGGAGAGCCATGCCTTTTCCTGCGTGGTAGCGACTGCATATGCTCATGAGAATACACAAGACGTGTGGTCCAGTGGCTCCAAGTTCTTTGGCTTAATGCACTGTACTAGATCTTTGCTTACATAGTTTTCAAGAGGTGTTGAGTTTGGAATACCAGAGCAGAAAGCGGACTGGCAGGTAGCTTCGTGTCCCAAAGAAATGTCGGGTCGCTGACACCTCTTACAAGTCGATGTGTAGAGAAAGGATGGTCGAGTTTGTATTGGGCTGAGGGAAGTTGGAGGTCTTGGCGCTTGGCGCTTGACTTAAACATTGAGGATGGAACATGCAGTACTTAGCTCACTGAGTAGCTCATTGCTGTTGTGTGTGTGTGTAATTTGTGGCTTTTTTTTGCGGCTCTGCCAACAAGTAGCTTGCCGCTGACTCAAACGCGGTGGAAAATGCGGCTTTTGCAGAAACCGGCGGAAAACCGCGCAGGATCTCGGGCGGCGCACAGCGACACCTGTGGTGTGGCCAGAGCTCCAAAATGCGGTGCAACAAGAGCCACAGCTGCTGCAGGAGGGGATGAGACGCGGGTAACGCAGCGAGACGCATTTCACATTTAAATGAGATTGAACAGTGGTTGATTTTGCCAGGTGGTCTTGACTGGCCCTCGCTAGGAGAGAACATTAACAAGTCTTGGCTTTGGAATCGTGAGTCGCAAAACGTTCTGAAGTCGAGAGTCGCACCGTCTTCAACCGTGCCTTCCACCGTGCCTTCAACCATGCCTTTCAAGAGAGGCAGACGTTTGGGTTTGCACTGGGATTTGGCCACTCTGCTGGATGCTGCAGAAGATCTCCCAGCAGCCACTCGGACCCGAAACACAGACAGACAGGTCGACGGGGTGGCCATCTGATCCGAAGAGAGATCCGGTCGCCCCGATCCGCCGAAAGAGAGATCCGGTGCAGAGGCCTGGTTGAAATGATGTGGATTGACTACGAATTAGTGGCCAAAATGATCTGCGATGGCTGACGCTGCAAATCAGGGTCGATGCTGTAACGTGATTCCAAAACCTTGCTCACCAAGGTGCTGTTCAAATAAAATGAAGATGCGCTTTCAAGCAGTTTTTGAGACCATCACCGTTCACCTGTCCTACTGCTAAATACGTTTCTGCAAGCATGCTGAACATCATTTTGCCTTGCCTCCTGGACCATGCTTGTCACATGATGAGGCCAGTCCTCCACTACATGGTGAACTGGATTGTCGGGGAGCACACACCACAAGAGATTTGATCGCATTGAAGAGACTCCTTTGTGTCCAGTTGTCACTCATTTCCTGCTGAAAAGGCAGCCGGTCACTAGCATTATGTTCAAAGAGGTTTTGAAGGAATTCCCCCAATGCTGTAGCAAACAGACAAAGCTCCCACTAACACTACGAAGATCACTTTGCATGTTCTCCCTGCTCAGAACCCAGCCAGCTCACGATGAGTCTTAGCACATAATGTTCGCGACATGTCATTCAATGAGAGGCATGCGGCATAAGTTACAGACACTTCAGTGAGCAACTGTGGAAGCTAAACATCACCTTTGCCTTCAACCCCAGTACCTTCAGCAGTCAGGAATGGCACGTGTCCTTGATGACGGAAGCCGCACGCATCGGAGCAGAGTCTCGGTCGGGCTAAGCCGCGAACCAAGCCGCGTCGCCCCATATGTGGGTTGCATGTCCTCCCTGGTGGCTACGTCGTGGGTGTTTCCAGCAAGTGAGCTAGCGAAGTCGAAGCACTAGTCGAAGGACTAGTCGATGTGGCAGATGTGCAAAGAGGGACCCTGGCAGATGTGGCAGATATGTCGACGTCTTTGAAACAGACAAAGGAACATGAAGACACCCACCACTGGGCGTGGGGCAAGACCTGAAACCGATGTCTTCGGCGTGGCAGTGGGTGACCCATTTTCTAAGACCCGCACCGCCGAGGGGAGACACTGCGTCAGATGAACCAAGACTAAGACCCTGGGGTGACCAGTAGTTGAAATAGAGGCACCGAGGCACCTCTACTGAGGCACCCCTTGTCATTTGGGTACTGCTTGGGTATAACAGTATGTGCTGAGTTAGGTGTGCTGAGTTAGGTGTATGTCCATCCTCTCGCTTTCAGCCTCTTGCAGCCATGCGCATTGCTAGGAGAGCATGGCTGCTGGAGAGAAACATCATTTCTGTACCACAGCCTGGGCGCGGCTGAGCATCGACATTTCCTACCTGGTCGGGCTGAAGGTGACTCCGGGGAGATGATGAGTTGTGACAGTCGTTGTGACTTGCTGGCTCTTTGCGACAGCCACAGCCCCCGCACTAGCTTGGCCAACCGGGGAGTCCTTCTGATTTCAGATGAAGCTTCCTTCAAAGCATTCGACTCAAAGGTGCATCGATTTCAGAGCGAGCAGTGACTAAGTGCGCAAGAACTCGACTCAAATAGTGCGTGACCAAAAGTCATGTGAAGGTGACAAAAGTGACAGACTCTTTTTGGATTCTGATTTCTTTTCTCGTCGCAAGGTACCCCATGTGGCCACCTTGGGTTGGCACACCTCACTGCACGCGGGCCCCGGCCTCCAGTGGCGCGCGGGGCCTTTGGCCGCGCGCAAAACGGCCTTTGTGCCCCGGAACGTGCTGACACGGCGGGTACAAGGCGGGCGCGAACGGTCCGACCGAAAGCTCCGTGCACCTCTTCGGGGTGCGTGAGAAAAACCAAGAGGGAAGAGGTGATGCGCCGCAATCGCCTCGCTGGACCAAGTGAAAACCGTCTGAGTCTTAGGGGTCCAATCAGTGTTATGTAATATGACTATACTGGAGGAACAGCCACAGGTGTGCCTGGAAAGCAAGCAGATGAAGGTTGGGAAAATTAGGAAAATAGAAAAGGAAACAGTCTGCAAGGTCAGCTGTTTGCTGCGATGTTGGGGCACTTCAACCAGTTGCCTTGGGTGCAAAGCGCGGGCATTGAAGTTGAGGCTTGGGAGATCTGAGGCCCAGTCGTACCTCTCAGTTGATAGGTCAAAGAACGGAAGATGGTGGAATGGCCGGGTGATTTGACTGAAAGAAAAGAACGGAGTGGCAGACATATTGGCAAGGCTTCTATTCACACTACGTACTGAGCAGAGATGGATTTAAGACGATGCATCACTGGCTTCCGCAGGTTTGGCAAGGAGGCTTCGAGAGCATCAACCGCGATGCTGGTGATCCTTGGCGGGGCCAGGCAATGACAGCCGATGTGAAAGAAAAAGAAAGGTTGCCTAGAGATGGATGGCATACTTGCATATCTGGGGGTATCCTGGCTCAGAGTCATGCGGTCTGGAAGTATACCAGAGGGGGTTAGTTAGTTGTGTTTAGCCTGGTTTAGCATGTACAGATGCGTTTGGGTACAGTAGTGGTTGGTCTTTTGAAGAAGCACCAGATGGTGTGTGCCATATCTGCACGACTTCGTTGCCTTTGCCATGGTTTGCTGTGTCCTACGTTTTGTCCGAAACCTTGGTTGTTTGATGCGTTTTTGTTGTTTTTTGTGTCTTCAAACGAAGGGGTCACCCACTTCTGGCGCCCCACCCGCAACACATCTTACCTTCGACCTCGCAGGCGCACGGAAGGATTTGGTGGAGTGACGCCGTAGAGCCTCGAAGCGAAGAGAGGCCTTGGCCTTCGCGAGCAGCACCGGAGCGAAGGAACCACGCGGGGGGGGGGTTTGAAACCATGCAGGACCATGTGTGCGAGAGTTTTGTTTTTCTCGCGTCGTAGTTCTTCGCTAGTACGCCATGGGGTAGCTTGTATGGATATGTTCGATCAACACGGAAGTTGGTCATCTCTTTCGCGTTCAAAACCATCTTATCATTCCTGAAACACCAGGACACAGGTACGGAGCCCCTTCTGAGCCAAGGCGCTTTCTGAGCCCCGATGTTGGACGCTGAAGCTTCGATGTTTGACCAAGGAGTATATGGCAGCCGTATATTTGGCTGGTGACATCACCCTGCTGACCTTCAATGAGCTTTATGCCATGCAGGTGGGCAAACTTGCTCAAGGCGGCGCAAATTTACGTTGCTCCGGCGCCGCCTTTCTCGTCGCGGGTCGCGAAGTAGCTCCGAAAACAGCCTCTTTCGTCGCGCTGTCCTCCTTCTTTACATGTTTGGTAAAGTTCCTTGAACTCATGTCCATTTGCCAGTTCAAAAAGACTTCAACTTGCTCCAACGACGAACGGATTGAACAAAAACACCCGCTGCGGGTGGGCCAACGTGCACTTTCATGAGAGCTCCGTTGACCAGGTGCCCACGTTGGTCCCAGAGATCGGCTGGCAAGCCAGGTGGGGCAACTCGCGCCCAACAAGGGTGAAAAACTGGTCAAAAGACCAAAAGCAACGAAAAACAAACTTTCGGGTGTCCTTAGAGGGGAGCCCTTCTTTTCCGTTTTCATCCGGACATTTTGCTGGATCGTGGATAGTAACTTGGTTTTTCGTTGGACCGTTTGAGCTCTTGTCTCTTGCCGTATGGCACCTCCATGAAAACACGCGTTGTCCGAAGCAATAGCAATATGGAATGCACATGAAACGTTAGCGCTCCTGAGCAACTGCATGTTTCCAGTAAGCAATAGCTCAATGAAACGTTAGCACTCCTTGTCCGTTTGTGAAGCATGCCCGGCCTCCAAACGGACTAAGCATCGGCCGGTCCCAGCATCGCACGAGGATCATGGCCGACATGTGCAACACTGGCATTGGTTGGTTCTTCAAGCATTCGCCCCTTTACAACTTGCCCGAGGGTGAGGAGACTCTTGGAATATCGCGTGGCATAGTTTGAGTTGAACCTCACCTTCCCTCAGTATTCTCAGTATTCCTCCTTCCACACATGTTATTTGTCCATATCCGTCCTTCCACATGTGTTGTTTGTGTTTGCTTTTGAGACCTTTCTTCGCACCTGTGATTTGTTCCTTATGCTTCCTTTCTTTGTTCCCTTCCGACCTTTCTTGTTTTCCAACCGACGGAATCTGCTGGTTGGTCATTGGTTGGTCACAGGTGCTATGTGTTCCATATCTTGAGCAAAGCTGGATAAATTATGGGGCTTTGCGTGGAGGTTCGTTGACAATATATTCTATACGTGGAAACAGAAGCGTTTCTCAGTTTTCCTATTTGCTATGTGAGTGCATTCGTGACTATAGGACTTGATTGAAGGGCTCACAGCTTTGGATGTGGGCTCCAGGGCTCATGCAACAGGGCAGCAAACACTGGGCAGGCACCGAACAACACTTAGGGCAGAAAAGCACCAGAGCTGTTGTCATGTGCAGCCCATCAACCGCAAGCAACCCAGCAACACCAATCTCTCTAGCGAGGCCAGGGAGGCATCTACATGTCCAATTCAAGGTCGAAGTTTTAGGACAAACCATGAACTTGTCCCCTTTTTTTTGCTGCATCCCTTCAGGAACGTCGCTGCTCGGGTCACCAAAAAAATGCAACATCCCAGCAACATCCAAGCGAGATTTCAATGTCTCAAAATTCAAAAGATCCAGCTTCCATCAGCTTCCAACCTTCTAGCGCTGTCCTCCAACCTACTAGCGATGGCTTCCAACCTACCAGCGATGGTTTCACACCAACCTAGCGATGGCCTGGTAACCTACTAGCGATGGCTTCCTGTCCTTCCTTTCCTTCAGGAACTTTGCCTTCACCCCCTGGGGCTGTGACTCCCTGGATCGCTTGCGCTATTGGCTCCAGACCGCGGATGCCTGGCGCGCCTTGACTTGCGTCATGCGTCGCCCTTGAGTCGTGTGGGGCCCCGTTAGGAAAAAGACCCAGATAGATGCACAAGTAGGAAGTTCTGAGAAATCACACCCAAAAAATCAAAAAAAAATGTGTTGTTTGTGTCTTCAGAACTTTTGGACACTCCAGTGACTCCGGACATCATTTGGATGATTTTGGGGAGACCTCAGCCTGAAGCTGTGCCGATGTCGTTGTAAAAAATGCCAAAGTACTACTTTAGATACTGAAAGTATCCAATTGAAGTTTCCAATTGAAGTACTTCGAAAGTTGCCAAAGTAGCCAAAGTCAAAGTAGCCAATTGAAGAGGCACCCAGGAGCTGGAGAATTCGCAAAAAGAGTTGCTGACTCAGCTGGATGAACATGTGTGCACCACCGAGTTGTCGGGATGAATGAGCGAACCAAAGCAATGACAGGCATGTGTCCAGGCCAGGTGGTGGCTCCAAACAACTAACGACCCTGGTTCTTTTGACGGAATATTTCGCACATCTGATGACCAATCGCTGTGCCCGGCAACCATCAAGACCCTACAAGTATGTGTCGTCTTTCACTGTGGCCTGGACTTGTTTTAGTTTCGGTTCACTCATTGCTTTGTTTGGCCTGCAAGACCAGCAGAAACAAGAGCACATCAGTTAGAGCGTTGGACCCTTTTCAGATGGCAGGTTCGGCTTCTCGATGCTTCTCAGTGGATCCTGCGGCATCAAGTTGAGAATCATTTGGGTGGATGACTGCTAGGGTTAGGATCATCTAGGATTCGTTTGGTTGGTGAACTTACCCTCAGAATGGAATTAATTCATCCAGTGTTTAGTGACCCCTTAATGATTGGCCCTGCAGTGCAGTTGATAGATAGCCGATCCTGCAGCTCCAACATATTTTTACAGGGAGACCCCCAAGCAATGGGTGTTGGTCTATTTTCCTTCTTCCAGGGGGTCGTTGCCTGGGAGGTCTTCCTTTTAAAATACCCTTTTGTAGCTCAATGACCCCTTAAGGACCCTTTGACAATTGACAACCACTCCGTCCACTGAAGGCTATCCTCACGTGGTCCACGTCACGTCTTTCGTGGACCTCTATCAGCACTTGCTGCGCTGGGCCAACGACCCTACTGAGCCCCAAAGGCCACGGTTGAGAGAGAGCTGAAGCGTGTAAACAGCGTGGTCTTTTGGGTGTGCATGTGATGATGTGATGTGGATGCGATGCAGATGACCAGGGGTGTCAGATGTTGTCATATCATATGTTGATTCATCCTAGTTCTTGTTGATGACGTTTCAGTGTTTGTCATAATGTCTTTAAAAAATGCTGATTTTGATGTTGAAATCATCACAGATCATGATAGCATCAGATAACTCGGAATCTTCGTTAGGAGTGTTCGGTGATTTTTGGTACGTGCCCAATTCGTGCCCAATTGCTCCACCTGGGCTGTGTTGCTTTGGAAAGAACTTTGTGATCTCAAGTCCTGATGCAATCTTCTCATGGCTTTGATGACTGCTCATCCCGTTGGGCACTGTGGGGCCGACGACGTGCAATCGAGGCGAAGCGAAGCGATGGCAAAGTTCCATCTGGATTTGAGTATCAGGAGACCAAGCGGAGGTCGTCGTGACACCAAAGACCTGAGTTACTCATGTCTCAACCTGGATGTTTCCGCTTTGCACCATGGATGACCATGGCCGTGTTGAATCATAAGAACTCTTGCAAGGGAAGGTCCCGGGATGTCAATTGGAAGCTTTTGGAAGCGGTTGAGATGAAAGCAAAAGGATCTGAAAAGACAACTGGATGGTGATTGTTACTCTTGGCCATGCAATAGCCCAGCCTATTTGGGGAATTGAATCCTTAAAAAGAATATATATATATATAAACACCAAAGCATCCCAAAGAATTGGTTCCTTCTTGTTCCAAAGCGTCTCCAGGAGCCTGGCTTACTTCCGCTCACTCCTCGCGGCCAAGTTGCCCCTGCCGGTGGTCGAGGCCGATGTTGTTTTTTTGCGAGAAAAAGTGAAATGGTGAAGTGTGTGGATGAAAATTGTTGAAAATGCTTGAGCTTGTGAACTGTTGGTAGGCCAGGATGTATACGAAAAAACGACAAGCAAGAAGATCCCATTGTGAGCGCAGTACTGGAATGGCTAACACGTGGTTTTCCAAGGTTTCTCATTCGTTGCAGACTCTTTGTGACCGGGAATCCCGGAAACGCCATGTCGCGGTTGACCAGGAAATGCCTGTTTGGTCGTTTACCCCCCATCCAGTCTGACCGGACTCCTCCTTCGCATACTTCGCTGAGTTCCGCTCCCGCGTGAGGCGCCCACGTCCAAAGGTGTCGTGGCGGCGCTTCAGGTTTCAGCGCTGCACACCTTGCGCAGGACGCGAGCTTCGCGAACGCGAAGGCGAACGCGACGCGAGCAACCAAGCGAGCTTCGCGAGGCGACGACGAGGCGAAAGACTTCGGGGCGGGACAAGTGGCGCTCGGTGCCGCGAGATGGATGGGGAGAGGTGGGAGAGGTTCGGCGCTCGGTGACTTGGTGAGAAAGGCGCTCGGAGTCCGAACGAGTCCGGGGGTGTGTGGTTCGTTCGCTCATGAAGAGAGAGAAAGAGGGAGAGAGAGAGAGATGAAATGAATCCTGCCACGTTTCGCAGGTTAAGTCAGTCACGCTGTTGAGATGTATGTGCGGTCAATGAAGTAGTTCAAGGTTGGTGTGAGATGTATTTGGGTGGTTTGACTTTTGATATACCTAGACTACCTAGACCAGAACTGCTGATCAGATGGTATTGGATGGTTCTGAACGTTCGATCAAGATCGAAATATGGCATATGATCAAACAAAAGATTGTTGTTTTCTCTTTATGTCCCTTTCGTATGCATGCCCTGCATACCAGAACGGTAGACCACTACCACCAACCACCTACAAGCTGCCTGTTGCGTACCCAACTTGGGGGGTCACGAGAGGAGAAGAGTCTTCCCGACCTGGGACGTTCGAAAGGGACGGGGATCGAGGCCGTTCGCCCCCCAAAGGGGGCCGTTCGAAGCAGGTCACATGGGTTCCTCAACTCCTTGCCCATCCTTGCCCCAACAGCTAGTGCCTCATCCTGCCGATCCTCGGTGGTTGGACCATGCACACTTGGTCCGATGTCCTCAGGAGCTTGAAGTTGCGACCAGCCAGGCCACTCGGAACACCGAGGACCTTGCTGGAGCTGGGCGAAGAGGAAAAGGGAGCGGGTGCTGTTTGAACGTCACCGGTGCTGTTGCGTCCCGAGCTCTCTTGACTCTTTTTGTCCATGTTTGTTGGAAAAAGCAAGAGGGGATGAACCAGCAAAGCATCCAAAAAGGCCACGAGCGGTGAAGACTCTGTTTTTGCTTCCACGTGCGGGTGAACCGACCGTGAAAAACCCAGTCCCGTGATCTCTTTTTGGGAGCCCAGACGCCCCACCTAAAGCCCTGACGCCGGTCAGAGATGAGCGGAGACGGACACCAGGGAGTGCAGGTGGTCCAAAATGAGACGAAATGTCTAAGAATGTCTAAGACCTTGGGAGAGCATACGGGTGGGGACGGCGTGCCAGAAGAAAAATTAGCAGAACCCGGTTGGGGACCCCCGACTCCTCCCGATTTTGAGACCAACCCCGCAAGCCAACGGGGCTTCCGTTGAGGCAACAGGGGGCGAGCCACCACATGTCCAGAAGCCAACCTCTTTCAACTTAGCTTTCGGACTAAAAAGTGACTTTTGGCAGAGTCATCGAGGTATGACCAGTACTCAAGATGAAGGACCATCCGAGCCTGGTCCAATTGTGCATCCCATGGCTGTTTGGCTTCAGCTGTACAGGAAAAGCATGCAAAAGCCATAGAGACAGATCTAAAACGGAAGAAAAGATTGTGTTTGGACGTGTTTAGACTTGACATTCACATCTCCCACGTGTCTTTTTCTCATGCTGTGAAGACATGAAACGTGAAGATTTACCGTTGTGCGGCGTATTTTCCACCATCAATGAAGGGACTGAACAGAGCGAAAACGATGCCCGACAGCCTGTTGGAAAACTACCAGCCCGGGGCACCATGCATGGAGATTGCATTCACCTCAGCCCAAACGAGTCTTCTTTCGCAGATGCGCTCATCCATGCTGAAACTCGCATGGTATTCCTTGGCCTGGATAAATGTTCCGGCATTGGAGTTGAGTGTGGATCTCAGGTGGGTCATCCCGAGCTGGGTCATGTTGAGGCCTTGGAGGCCACTATCCCAACCAACGTTGAACTGAGTGGACTCAGGCCACTATCCCCCGCTAGGTTCTGAGGGTAGACAGACCATTTCTTCACTGGTTGTGTTGATTGGAGCACCAGTGAAGATGAACCGAATCTATTGTAAACAAGAAGTAGGTTCATTGCAAACTGCTTGGGAGGCGGGGCAGTAGCTCAGTAGCCGCTCCCATCTACATATAGTTGTTGTGGTAAAATCAGTGATTCTTCTTCAGGAAAGTATGGCATATGTTTCTTTTCATGCAACAACCGGTCATTGGCTGTAGTTCATCATTTGGCCTTGTTCGGAGATTGGCGTTCGACTCGGCTTTCCAAGACTCGAAGCCGCCGCTAAGCCAAGCTGCCCAGTTTGTACGAGGGGAGACCAACATCCACGAAGCCATTCTATTTTGGAAATAAACACAGCTAATTTTACTGCACTGGAGTGAGCCATTGGACTGAGAGCCAAGTCTAGTTTCGCCAGAAAAAGATCCTTTGAGGATTGCACCATGTGGAACACTAGGTGAAAAACACAATCTGACTTGAACAGAGTAGGTAATTTGAGATACACCCATTGACAGCACCAGAAGTCAAAGGAGAGGACCCCGTGGGCAGTAGTGGTCGTATGTAATGGTGAAGACGGTGAGAAATGTTTGTTAGATGCTTCGCCTTTGGTTCATGAAATGATGTCGTCGCTGTGGCCCAGGCCCTGCTTACAACTTTGCATACTTCATCCAGTCTTTTTACCAAGAAAGGAGTGTGGAGGCACGGTCGGCCTGTGGCTAGCCTTAAGTCGTGTCACTGTGCTCACACGACTTACCAGCTCACAGTAAGCCCGTAGAATCTCGAATGTTCCTCGTTTTGATTGCCATTAGCTGCTGTACCTGTATTTCTCCAAGTATGTGTGGGCTCATTCATTGTTTGGGCCCAGGTTTGGGCTTTTGCCTTAGCATTGGTGATCAGTACTTCCATATCTCAGAACTTTGATGCCCACTCCTCACCAAAAGCCAAAGTGAAAGAGGGCCGTTCTGATGGGCCGGCATACGGGCCCATCAGCAAAAAAATGTGAAGTCCTCGCTTGAACTCCGTTCATTTGCACTGATCACTTCGTTTGAGCTCCATGTGTCCACCGGACATGGATCCATTGTCCACCGGACCGCCATCCCGCTGTGTGTGTGTGTGTGTTTGTTTGGGCCCCCTTTTGCTCCTTTTTGCAGCGAGCATGGTAGCGCATGGGAGGAACATAGGGGGATTTTTCGTGGGACACCAGTGGCACTTTGGTGCGATGCATACTGACCAGCGCAAAAACCAGCACCTTGACCAGTCTCGTGCTGAATTGCTGCGGTGCCAGGAACTAGCCACCGGGACAATTTCCATCCGCGGGCCCTTCGATGACACCGTGCTGCAGACGCTGGGCTTGCGGCAAAACGGGATGAATTGGTTCGACGAAGTGACGGAGGTGCTGGTGCTCGGGCTTCAGGTTTTGGCCTTGGGCAGGTCTTTCAAGTGCTCTGGTCAATAGGTTTGCACGTGGTCGGGGCACGGCTCATGTGTGGTTGGATTGGGCTTGTTGGTGCAAGCTCAATGATTCTTTGATTGTTTTGTTTTAATGTGTTGCCTATTTGCTGAACTTGCTGCTCAGCAGCAAGTGGCAGGTGCAGCAGCGCTGGGTCCAATAAAGGAAAACGATCATAAGAGTCATCACAAGAGTCATGTGAGTTTGTGGTTTCCACGATTTGGAGAATGGAAAATCCGACCTCCTCCAAGACCATCAGATTGGAGCTTTCTACAACCAGACAAAAGAAACAGGATGGATACCCCGTTTGGGGCATCAGGTTTCTGATTGACAGCTTTGTTTGCCAGACTTGTTTCAAGTCAGGAAGCTTCGGGTGCAAAAGACATGAGACCTGGGCACCATTTGGGCACGACAAAGCTCAATTCGTGGTGCAGCATCCAGAGTGAAGAAAGCGATACGACCAAGAGCCGCCTGAGGATCTTGCAGACCACTATCGAGCAGACGCTGAAGGCGTTCTGCGCTCAAAGAGCCTCAGCTGCGTTCAACCCGGTTTGGGTCCAAAACTGCGTTGGGCAGTCCGATGGCGAGACTGAAAAATGTGAGGCGGTAGAGGTTTCAAGCAGAAACAACAAAGACTGTTTGCAATATCACCTGGATTATGCATAACACAAGCAGCACAAGGGTTTTCCTCAGCAAGCGAAAAGCACTTTCTATGGGTAATGTGGGTGTGTTTGTTACCATGTTTGGTTGGGGGCATTCTTGGAGATGTTCCTTTGGTAAAGTAATCTTCGAAACAATGTTACAACCTCCTTGTACAGACACCTGCAAGCCCACAAGCAGAAGAGGTTAGTAATTGTATATCCTGTGTTCAATCCCTTTTGTATTTTGTCCATGTTTAGTTAAGGTGGTTGGTTGTTGTTTCTTTCACGATGTGGTCTACCACGTGGACTACCTATTTGAGCTGTGGGAATTTTGCTCACGCAACCAATTGGGTGACGAGGGGGTGATTAATTATACATGATACAACATGATACAACATTCAATTTCATCCAGAAATGGAAGAACATCCGGTCCTTCTTCTTAGGGGGGCCTTGGGTCCTCCAATCCTGTGGGTGAAACAAAGACTATGGCGAGAGTGTTTGCATCTATACGTATAATTACATGTGTATATATATATATATGTTTATCTGGAGGGTGGGTGTGCTTGGGAGAGCACACACTAGCTCAAAACCCTTAGAAAACACTGTAAATACCGTGCAAAATTTCAAAAACTGCTCTGAGAACTAGGCGAAACGCAATTTTTTGGATCTGTCTGTGCCCAGTCTCCATGTCCAATGTCAATGACAACAAATAACAGCTCTTCGTCTGCCCACTATCAATGTGCAACACCAATGATAAATATTATCGTGTAAATCTCTCTCTGCCCACAATGAATGTAGCATCATGAGCGAATGAAGATATAATACTATACATCTCTAGATTCAATAGCTTTCCTCTGGATCTCTGGGAAAGTAGATTTCCTAGATTTGTGTATTTTCATTGAAGGAAAGCATTTGAAAGAAACACTTACATACATACTTATAGCTTTTTTAAAATACCATGACTATTTCCAGAGATCCAGAGGAAAGCTTTTGAAATGAAAGCTTTATATTTTTTCACAGAAGTGATCAGATCTAGAGGGAACCTTTTGAATTAGAAGTTTGTACATAAAGCAGTTTTAATATAGCAATGAATATTCCAAGGGATTACTTTAAACAAATACTATCTACTCAAAAACATAGTTTGTGTCTTATTCCCAGCACTCCTAGGGCAAAAAACACTGTAAAATATAGGGTGTTGTAACATGTGTGTTCTTAAACTAACTAAACTGGAATTAAAATAGAATTAGGCAAACTTAAATTAGAAGATTTCAATCAAGATCCTTTTAACATTGATTGTGGAACTTGCTATTTATTAGATATTAGATTGCAATAAAAATCATTGCCAAGTTCTCTTTAAAACTCATTGTGGAAACTAGTTCTTACAATTAGATTTTAGTCAAAGTCCTTTTCAAAGTTAGTGGTGGCTTTGATTTAGTATCAGATTGTGTTTAAAGTCGATTTAAGATCAATTGTGGAAATTGTGATGCTTAACTAACTTGAATTGATTTTGTATCTGTTTGCTCCCCACTACAAGGCTACATCAAATAAAAGGACTTTAACTAACATCTAATTATAAGAATTGATTTCCACCATTAACTGTTAACTGAAAGTTAATTTTCACAATCAATTCTAAAAGGGTCTTGATTGATATCCAATACACAAACAATTCAATCAAATTATGTTGAAAAGAACATAATTTAAATCTAAACAACAAACAATTTCCACAATGATTTTGAAAAGGACATTAATTGACATTTAAGTAATGCCTAATTTCTACAATGAAATATAATAGGATTTTAATTGAAATCTAAGTCAAAATCAATTGCCACAATGATCTTGAAAAGGCATTTAATCGAAATTGAATTACACATTCATTTTTTCTATAATTAATCTTGAAGAAATGTTAATTGAAATCTAATATAAACATCAATTTCCCCAATGATTTTGACAATGATATAAATGAAACTTAGTTTGTAAAAAAATTACAGTTAATCTTAAACACATTGTTAATAGAAAGCTAATGATACATCAACTTCCACCAATAATTCTGAAAGCGTTTTAATTGAAGTCTAATACCAAAATCAATTGAAATCCAATTTAACATCAAATTCCACCGTTAAACTTAAATGAAGCAAAAACACTGTGTTTTACAGTGATTTCTTGCAAAATCCTCTCCAAAATTGAGGTTTTGAGCTATTTTTTGATCAATTTTGTGAGATCCAAGCCTATCCCAATTTAGAGGGAATACCAAAAAACCAAGAAACCAATAAACCAAAAAACCAAAAAAAACAAAAAAAAACAATGTTTGAGACAAAATGGGGTCACTATTGGTTTTTGGATGTTGGCTGCATTTTGTGTCAAACATTGGTTTTTTTGGTGTTTTGGTTTTTTGGTTTTTTGGTATTCCCTCTAAATTGGGATATGCTTGGATCTCACAAAATTGATCAAAAAATAGCTCAAAACCTCAATTTTGGAGAGGATTTTGCAAGAAATCACTGTAAAACACAGTGTTTTTGTATCATTTTTTGCATGAAAAACATCTCCCAGGAGCACCCGTTCTGTTTATTATTTGGGTGGGGTTCCAACCGCTAAGGGCTGATTGTCAGATGATACGCCGTGGATCTTCACTCATAAATTAAGGAAAGGTACTGGCCTATCACGCTGACAGACAGATAACCATTTGAGTTGAAAAGATAAACCCGGTAAATCCCGGTAATATGTATTAAGTAAGGAAGGTTCCCATAGGTTCAGAAATAGCTTGGCCACCGCTTGGTATTCTGTTGCTTAACTTGGAGATGCTACCTTGTCGTGCTAGCAAAACGCTGGGTTGCGCTGGGTTTGGCGCTGGATTCAGGTACTTAGGTAAGATTAGCAAACAACACATACATACATTAGGAATTAAACTCAAGGTTTTTTTTCCGGCGGTGCGCTCAGAGTGTTTGCCGGAGCACCGTGTTTACCAGGATCGATTTTAATCTTCACCGAGCACGAGGCAGAACGGAGTTCGGGCCGTTGTGGTGGAGGGATGTCGGGTCTCATCCGGTGTCGGCACATGGAGGCTGAAAGCTCGAAGTCTGGGAGGTGAAGATCGCCGGAAAAGAAGACTCGGTGCCGATTTCGGGTGTGTCGATTTCGGATCACCCACACACCATCACGCTTTGTGCTTGAACGCCACATGAGACAGAGAGACCAGGGGGACTGGAATCGTTTTGACCATTTCTCGCTCAGAAATACATAAGAAAGTTGAAACCAACTGCACCCCGACGAAGCCATGGAAGTGAATAGCATGGCCCTGAAAGGAAGACTACGAAATCCGAATGCCAAAAAGGCGAACCTGTACCTATGCCCCCCAAAAGGCGCCGATGAAAGCCCGACTCGGATTGGGGCCGTGACTTCGAGGACGGCCCTCCTTGGAAATCCGTTGCTCCGGTCCTTTTTCCGGATCGTTTCTTTCGTGAAACACCCGGCGGAGATGGACCGAGACGGACACGGCAGGTGTCCCGAACCGGCGATACGGCGATACGACTTCCCTTCCGCCAGGTCGTGAGTTCCGGAGGCAACGGAATTCGGTGTGCGCCGTTCTGGAAAGAAGAGAAAGAAGTCTTTGATTCCTAAGGTCCTAATAGTGCCTAAGGTCTTTGAGGTCCTCATGCCTTGAGCTGGTCCTCTGGAGCCTCGGGTCATTTTTTGTGTTGTTTTTTCCTCCTTTTGATTCCTTCTTCTTTTGCCTTTCGAGTAGATGCGTTGCAACATCGAGTAGATGTGGATTCGCAGCAATGTCGGCATGAAAATTCCTGCAGCTTTAAGCTGCTTCTTTTCGTGCAGCAACTTCGTAAAAGGAAGGGCTCAACAAGACCACATGACACCAAGAGCTACTAGTAACAGGTGCATCGGTACTAGTAACAAGAAGCTACTAGTAGCTTCTACTAGTAGAAATGCCCTTGTTAGTAGCAGCAACGTCGCATCGTCCTTGTTACTCCAAATGTTTCGTCGCCCTCGGGTGTTCTTTCGTCCTGAAAAGCCCCCAGCCTTGGCCACAAACGCTGGCCATTCACAGCGTTTCGGTCAGACAACCAGCGATTCCTGACCCTGGAGTTCCAAATCCTTCCGCCTAGAGATGGAGGTTTGGGGGCCCCAGGAGAAGCTGTTGGGCGATCGATGGTGTGGACATGCGTGGACTGTAGACACCAAGAATGGAAAGAGTGGAAAGATCGGGGATGGACTCATGGACCTATGAATGTGTTAAATTGTTTCACCCAGACGCGACCCTGGACCCTCCTAAGTAGGGGCCGTAACCTCATATGGAGCGGTCCGGACCCTCAAATCCCTATGGTTTTGAGGGACCAAGGACTGTTTGGAGTGTCTGGGCAGTTGGACATCATTGGATTGGCTGTTGAAACCCTATGTGACAGGAAGACATGTGTCGACATGAGCTTGACTGAGTCACTTGCTTCCTTCCGACCAATGGGTGGGATTTCGGACTCGAGTCTTCCAGGCGTCCACCAGTTCTCTAATGTATATAGACTCTTGATGATTTTTCAACTCCCCCTAGGCTTGAAGAGGTTTTACAATCCATGTTTGCGGGGGGCATTCATCAAGAGTCCACCAGTCTCGCCCGGATCCACACGAAATGCTGACGAAACCGGATCTGGGATCCACCTGAGGTGGCGACTGTGCCTGGCAATCCCGTGCTTGTTGAACTTCGGATCCGCGCAACACCAACACGCGGGCGGCACGCGCATTCCGTGGATAGAGAATAACGAATGTTGATGAACCAAGCCCCCCATTTGGATTGAAAAACATCTTCATCATGGGTGTGTTGTTATCAAAAGTCTACATGATGTCATCGGAAAGAAGTTGATCTGTTCAGGGCGTCTCGCGAGAGCTCAGGGAAAGAAAGGCCTCAAAGTCAGCTTTGAGTGCGTGATGTTGGATGTTTGATGTTGGATGACGGATGTTTAATCCAAGAACTGCCAAATCTGTGAATCAGCAGATGGGATCGGTAGCTGGGAGCCATTGCTGTCTTCGCGACCGAGTATGTTTGGTTCACTGTTTCTCAAAGCAAGCCAACTATATGTGCTGAACAAAGGGCGAGCGATTTGGAGATGGGTCGCACCTGAACACCAAAAGATGTATTTCGTGATGAACCCATGGGTCGCCTAAGTCGCAATGTTCGAATTCCTAAAGATGAAGAATGGAAGGAAAGGAGCTTCTTTTGTGTTTCCCTTTACTCGGCTTACGGGTCTTGAACTCCATTTCTTTTTGTGTTATTGTTTGTTCTGTTCTTCTCTTCTCTTCTCTTCTTTTCTCTTCTCTTCCTTCCCTTTCCTCTTCCTCTTCCTCTTCCTCTTCCTCTTCCTCTCCCTTCCTTCCTCCCTTCCTTCCTTCCTTTCTTCAGAGAACAACATCACAGTTTGCAGCAACAATGAACACACTTCACTTAGGCTCACCTTAATGAGAATGAACCTATCCACCCCATACAAGTCCTTGCAACAAGGCACTTTGCGCAACGCGTTTGGAAACAAGTATTCCTTGCATTTTTTCTTGCAATCTGTGCGCAAATATTGATGTGAGTCTTCAGCTGCCAGGGAGCTTCTCAAAGCTGCGGAGGGCAAAGATACAGGGCCTTTCGATGCCCGGAGTGAGAACTCGACGCCCGAGTGTTCGTGCAAAGCCTCGTTGAAGGAATACCTTTGGGTCCGTTTGGCTCAGAATGTTCCAGTTTCGGGAAAATGGTCCAGAAGGTGGGGGTTGTGAAAACTGGCCGGACTGTATTTGAGCTGGGCTTGAGACAGGTGTTCCGGTCTTGTGCTTTGTCGTGAAAGTCCTGGTTCCATTTGGCATGGATCAATTGAGATTTGTGTTTGCTTGAAGCAGTTGCTGTGAATCAGGGTCTGTCACATGCAAGAAGATTTGCACATGATCATGTATGTTAATCTTCAGAATCCCTCATGTCATGTTTTCTTTCGCCATGTTCCTCTCGTTCTCCAAGGAGGATTGCGAAAATTGTCACACCAAGAAGCCCATCATCAGATGCTCGGGAGAAGGGCCTCCGCGTTCGCACCAGTCTCGGTCTCCGAGTCTCCGGAGTCGAGTCGAACCGCCTACGACTGGACCGCGAACCGTGTGAAACTCACAGTCCGAATCTCGCGTCTGTGTCGGTTCGGTCCGTGATCCGTAGGGCCGTTGGGACTATTGGGACGATTGGGATGTGTGCAGCGGTTGCTTCCTTCGTTTGCTTCCTGAGTCCACCCTGGGTTGGCAGAGTTGTGTGATTCGCTGCCGTTCCAACCTTTGCCCGAGCGAAAGCGGCTGCGCTGTCCAACGCACAGAAGTCTGAGGACGAGCGGTTTTGAACCAGCTGGAAATGTATGCTATGACACGTGGCACTCGAACAGATGGCTGGCAGCTTGTCCAGTTTCTGAGTTCCAACACCAACATGGTGCTAGACGTTTGGAAGTTGCTTTTGAGTTTCTCCACTCCTAGCAAGATTGCCAAAGTCGCTAAGGATTATGTATTACTGTAGTAATAAGGACCTAAGGCAAATGTTATTGTGTTTTCCCTTCCCCGAAGTCTTTCGTGTGAGAGAAACGCTTTGCTCTAACGCTCGGGGATGATTTGGATCACCCATCCTGAGACTGTGCGCTACACATGTTCAGTTGATGATAATTAAAAAAACGGATAGAGCTGAGAGTCAAGCAATAGAATCAGCTGAGAATCAGCCATAGACATCTCCAGATGCGCTAGCACTGGCACGAATCTCATCAAATCCACAACACCTTCGCGAACGGACGAGGTATATGAAGATGTTCAGCATTTACTGCCGGAGGCTTGAGGTGACAATGCCGCACCTTGGCTGTTTTTGCAGTTGTTTTCATGTGCGTTCTCGTTGGGTGAAGGAATCCCTTCCGCTGCTCACAACAATTTTACATTGTTTTGTCACTTGCTGCTTGGCCAAGGCAAGGCTTTCCGTCAATGATGCAGAAGGAGTGACAGCATCCAAAAACACATTGAGAAACAGAGTCTGACTGATGGGTATTCATTCATCCAAGATTGCCAGAAGTACGAAATGAGGCAGGATATGACAAGATTGTCATTCATACATCTTCATACAAAGAAATGTTGTGTTACGCTCAAAGTCTTCAGATGAACCCCTTCTTGGAGAGCTTGGAGAGTTCTTGAAAACCAGCCAGGGATTCTGGAGAAATGCCGCACAGGACTACCGCTGTGAGGACTTCTTTCCCGAAGCCACACGATTTCCACCCGCCGCCGATCAATCCACCACACTGCCGCCGGACAACGTGGTCACGCCACTTGGCGTCGAACAAAATCGGTCGACGGTTGGACTCAAAGGTACATAGGTCTTACATTTATCGCAGAATTGCTTTAAGGATGTTTAAGGGACAATCTACAGGAAACCCCGGGTGTTGGGGCTCGAACTTCTCGGAGGAGTGAGACTTACTCATTGACAGTACGTTCGTGTCTTGGGTTTCAATCAAAGAACCTAAAGAAAGCGAGCAAGGAAGAAAGACCCTTTTCTTTAACCCGTACTTGTTACTAGTAGCTTCTTGTTGCTAGTAGTAAGGCCAGGAGCTATTAGTAGCGTCCTTGCTCCTAGTAGCGATGCCCTTTGTTACGAGTAGTGTCCTTGCTCCTAGTAGCGATGCCCTTTGTTACTAGTAGCGTCCTTGCTCCCAGTAGCGATGCCCTTTGTTACTAGTAGGGATGCCCTTGCTCCTAGTAGCTTCTTGTAACTACTTAAAAAGAAAGACCGCTGCTGAACCGAGAGTTTCCGCGTTGTTTAAGGACGACCAGAGACGTCGCTGCTGAAGCCTGAGAGTTTCACGAATTGGAGAGATGTTTGGTCGGTTTTGTGAGTCGGATTGTCACAGTGGCGTGAAGTCCTAGTCTTGAATCTTGAATCTGATTTTCCTTGCTTGTTGTTGTCGTGAAGTCCGAGTTTGCTCCTTCTCTCTTTCTTCCTTCCTTCCTTTTTTTCTGTATTTGTTTCCCTTCTTTCCTTCTTTCTTCCTTTCTGATCTTTAACCCTTCTACTAAAAAATGCATCTCTTTGTCCGAATAATGACTAGAAACTCTGAACTCAAGGACCGTCACCTAAGTGTTCGAGAACGAACATGCTATAGGTCTCTGATGGGGACATATGCTCATGGATGAGAGATCCGTGCATTTGCCAAGCCCTCAGACTTCAAGTCAAAAAGGAAAGCAGTTATATATATATATATACATGCTATATATATATATATAGGTCCCCTAATAGCAACGGCCTCCAACCTAATAGCGATGGCCTCCAACCTACACTTGAGAAAAGAGAGCGTTCTTGATGTGCCAAGCGAAAAGAAGATGAAAAGCAAGTTGTACCGAAGGGAGGAGAAGGGCGACTCGATATCCAAGGGCTCGGTTTATGGTAGGGGGTGTGATCGTTGCCACCCCCAGTTCGGACTATGAGGCTTGCAACAAGTTGCGAAATGATGCACAATAGATCACAATAGCTACAGCACCCTGTCGCAGTAGACCCATCTGGAGAAGGTTGTGAGAATATCTGTGCCTCCTGGTTTATCATTGACACAATGTTTTCTCTTGGTTCTCTTTGGGTTACCAGCATTGCCGCGCTGTTTCCATCTTGCAGGTGCCACAGTGATCGTTTGTGCTTGGCTGCCCGATGGAGAGGGCATCGGTCGTTGTGTCAAGGCCAGATGTGGGTGATGTGGGAGTTTTCGGGGCCACTATGGCTGTCACATGCACGACAACCTGAGGGAAGTCCCCTTGCCAAGAAGCATCTAATAGCAATAGTAAACATCCTGCAGCACCGGTTCTTTCCTTGCGTTCGGAAGCCGCGATGAATCGGGATGAACATGTAATCCAACTCGTGCGAATCGGTGCTCATCCGGCAGGTGGCCGCGCCGCCCAGTCAATCCCAACGATGTGAGAGCTGCTCAGGGGCTCAGATGGCAGAGCAGAGATGCAAGCCACGAGTTCCTCCGAAGAGCATGGGTGGTAAAACGAGTTCTTCCGAAGATATATGAAGCTTCCGCAGTGGTCTTCAATAGGTATAAAATAACGGAGTTACAGTTTGGCGACCGACCATACATCCACTTCCGTCGAGAATCTCGTCTATCTCCTTGTGGAATTGGTGGACGATCATGTGTTTCTGATGAGATGGACATGTTCAATGCAATGATCCAATCCTTGCTTCATCCATCAGATGGGCACGAGACATCCTGCGACCAACGAAAACACGGAAAAACACACGCCAAAACATGCCAAACCTGCGTGAAACGTGCCCTGACCCGAAACACCCATGCCCTAGCCCGAAACACGGACCGAACCGGGGCACCCTGGATGTATCCTGAGAGGACCCACCGGGGGCACCTCCGATCCGAACCGGGCACCGTGCTAAGGCGCCGCTCTACCGGAATGTCCGTCCGATCCAGTGAGGGAATGCCCTTTGGTGCGAAGGCCCAGCTTCCGAGCCTGGCAGCTGAAGGACATGGATCGAGCATGGCTTCCGAACTGCTTCAGTCAGTTCCATGTTCCACCGTGCCACCACTCCCTTTTCATGTTCTACTTTAGCCCAGTCTGAGTGGTTGGTTCATGTTTTCTTCCGCATGGGTACAGCCTTGGCCGAAGGTTTCTTGGAACCCGGACAGTTCCGGAAAGCGGATCCTTTTTCTGGCGTTGGAGGCCATCGCCCTTAGGTTGGAGGCCATCACTAGTAGGTTGGAGGCCATCGATATGAGGTTGTCTTTTTCCTCTCTCTTTTCCCTCTGTTCTTTGAGGGTGGGTGTGCTTGGGAGAGCACACACTAGCTCAAAACCCTTAGAAAACACTGTAAATACCGTGCAAAGTTTCAAAAACTGCTCTGAGAACTAGGCGAAATGCAATTTTTTTGATCTGTCTGTGCCCAGTCTCCATGCCCAATGTCAATGACAACAAATAACAGCTCTTCGTTTGCCCACTATCAATGTGCAACACCAATGATAAATCTGATCAGGTACATCTCTCTGTGCCCACAATGAATGTAGCATCATGAGCGAATGACTATATAATACTATACATCTCTAGATTCAATAGCTTTCCTCTGGATCTCTGGGAAAGTAGATGTCCTAGATTTTTTGTATTTTCATTGAAGGACAGCTTTTGACAGAAACACTTACATACATACTTATAGCTTTTTTAAAATACCATGACTATTTCCAGAGATCCAGAGGAAAGCTTTTGAAATGAAAGCTTTTTATTTTTTCACAGAAGTGATCAGATCCAGAGGGAACCTTTTGAATTAGAAGCTTGTACATATAGCAGTTTTAATATCGCAATGAGTATTCCAAGGGATTACTTTAAACAAATACTATCTACTCAAAAACATAGTTTTTGTCTTATTCCCAGCACTCCTAGGGCAAAAAACACTGTAAAATATAGGGTTGTGTAACATGTGTGTTCTTAAACTGACTAAACTAGAATTAAAATAGAATTAGGCAAACTTAAATTAGAAGATTTCAATCAAGATCCTTTTTGCATTGATTGTGGAAATTGCTGTTTATTAGATATTAGATTGCAATAAAAATCCGTTCCAAGTTCTCTTAAAAACTCATTGTGGAAACTAGTTCTTACAATTATATGTTAGTTAAAATCCTTTTCAAAGTTAGTGGTGGCTTTGATTTAATATCAGATTGTGTTTAAGATCGATTTAAGATTAATTGTGGAAATTGTGATGCTTAACTAACTTGAATTGTTTTTGTATCTGTGTGCTCCCCATTACAAGGCAACATCAAATAAAAGGACTTTAACTAACATCCAAGTATAAGAATTGATTCCCACCATTAACTGTTAACTGAAAATTCATGTCCACAATCAGTTCTAAAAGGGTCTTGATTGATATCCAATACACAAGCAATTCCCACAATGATTTTGAAAAGGACTTTAATTGACATTTAAGTAATGACTAATTTCTACAATGAAATATAACAGGTTTTTAATTGAAATCTAATTCAAAATCAATTGCCACAATGATCTTGAAAAGGAATTTAATCGAAGTTGAATTACACATTCATTTTTCTATAATTAATCTTGAAGAAATGTTAATTGAAATCTTCTTAAAATCAATTTCCCCAATGATTTTGAAATGATATAAGTGAAACTTAGTTTGTAAAAAAAATCCACACTTAATCTTAACCACATGTCTAATAGAAATCTAATGAGAAATCAACTTCCACCAATAATTCTGAAAGCGTTTTAATAGAAGTCTAATACCAAAATCAATTGAAATCCAATTAGAATCAAATTCCACCGTTAAACTTAAATGAAGCAAAACACTGTGTTTTACAGTGATTTTTGGCTACAACCTCTCCAAAATTGAGGTGTTGAGCTATTTTTTGATCAATTTTGTGAGATCCAAGCCTATCCCAATTTAGAGGGAATACCAAGAAAACAATAAACCAAAAAAACAAAAAACAAACAAAAAAAACAATGTTTGACACAAAATGCAGCCAACATCCAAAAACCAATAGTGACCCGATTTTGACTCAAACATTGTTTTTTTTGTTTTTTTGGTTTATTGGTTTTTGGTTTTTTGGTATTCCCTCTAAATTGGGATAGGCTTGGATCTCACAAAATTGATCAAAAAATAGCTCAAAACTTCAGTTTTGGAGAAGATGGTGCAAGAAATCACTGTAAAACACAGTGTTGTTGCATCATTTTTTGCATGAAAAACATCTCCCAGGAGCACCCGTTCTGTTTTCTTTTGGGTTGGGTCGTGGCAGTCCATGGGTCATTTGTGTCGTGGTAGACTGTGTGGAGACCAGTCACCAGTGGAGCCATGTAGTGATGCCATGACCCACAGTGATGGGATAGTTGTTTGATGTTTTTGTGTATCATTCTTGTTTGGTTTGGGTGTTTATGAAAGATAATCGGAAATATCGGAATTTCTGTTGACTTGGTCCTTTGGCAACCACAGCAAAAAGCATTGCAACACGTGCGCCTGAGGCTCTCTCCATTTGTGCTTGCAGCCTGCTGAGCGCGGGTTGCAATTGGACAGTGGAGCCTTGCTTCAAGAGGTTAGAGATCGGACGGCGCGTTGCCGGCTCACCTCACCGTAGACTTGGGCATCCAGGCACCCAACTCTTAGGGCAGGACACCTTCTCAGGTCACTTCCTGGTAGCTGGAGGTTCTTTCCCTTGTGTTTGTACATGTTTGTACTAATATGCTCGTGATGACCACGATCTGGCAACCATGCACGCATGGTCACTTGGGTACCCTGTTTGGATGCTTTTGAAAAAGGCGTTGGTCTCAAACCAAACTAGCCCTTTGCGCAAGGAAAGAAAAAAGCAGCAGAAACTTGTGGGAACGGTGCATCAAGCTCCAAGCTCCAAGCTCCAAACCAGAACAGTGGTGCTCACTGGAGTTAGGTTCATCTGAGAAAAAACATGGTGCTCATCTTCGGTGACTTTGTCCGCTCAGGAGGGAGGCCTATGCTTTGCGCCAGCATCAGGGCCGACAGGTGTCACGCGATACATCGGTCGAAGGCTTTTGAAAACGAGTCTACAATGAAAACGAGTGACTAGGAACAAGGACGCTACGAACGGGGCTCCTGGCCTTACTACTAGGAGCAAGAAGCTACTAGGAACAACCCTAGTTAGCAGCAACCCTTCACCACATTTTTGGCTGTGACCTCCAAGAAGCCAAGAACCTTATGCAGCAGAGTTTGAGAAGCTACCAGAAGTTGATGGGTTCTATACTTCGAAGCCATTGGAAGACCCAAGAAGTACTCAGGTTGGCAGGCCCATCTCCAACAATTGACACTCCACACTACCCGGCCAAAAACGCAACGTGTTCACACTTGAGAAACCCCAGTTTTCATTTAGGTCTGTGGGTCTACGGTCTACGGCCCATGGGTTCTGAGAGAGAAAGGGTCAGTCCAGGTGTGCCTTGTTCCCTTTGCCGGATCCCCAGCTGCGAGGACAGGATACCAGCACAGCCTCACGCCCAGCATGCGCACGGCCTCAGCCTCAGGCCCCTTTGCGAGTGAGAGCTGCCCGATGCCACGGATTACCAGAATCAGCCCATACTTTGGTGCGGATGCTCAGTAAGTCAAGCTCAGTAAGTCAGCTAGGAGGGTGGTTTTTCATGAGTTGTTGGGGCGCAAAAAAAGCAAGGACAATTGCTGATCAAGCCGCTTCTTCCCATGAAAAACATGGAAAGTCTAATTAAAGTTTCATCAAAGTGAGCCTTTTCTACATTCTATGACTTCCCCAGAAAGCGAGTCTCGCTGTAGGAATGTAGAAATTTATGCAAAAACTCTTGAACACACATCGTATCCCTGAAAGACGATTGACAGAAGAGCAACAGCAAACACCATGAGAATAGCGGTAAACAAACAAACAAACAACTTCAAACAAACAAACAAAGAATCCAGGCAATCATAGGCAAAGGTATGCAAAAGCATGAAAGAAATATCAAGCAAGTTTGGTGAAGGTGGGAAGTTGGAAGCATTCAACCTTGAACTGGGCATGTTCAGGTGCAGACATGGGCTGGAACTCCAATTACGACATCAACCTGACCTTTGCCGCTCGATTAGAGTTGAGTGGTTTTGTTCTCATCCACTTGCGGATTGACTGGGTCATGTCTTTGCAACTTCAAAAGTGGCCGCTGGAGAACTTCGGCAGGAATTTCCTGTCCTCGGGCACGTGCATTCAACGTTCGTTGGTTTGCACCGGGGACCTTCCTTCTAACAAAAAGCTACTAGTAGCGACTAGGGCATTGCTACATAGGGCATTGCTACATATCGCTACTAGTAAGAAGCGACTAGGGCATCGCTACTAGTAACCAAGATTAACCAAGGGCAAAAACTATTAAGAAGCTGCAAGCCTTGGAGCTGGATTTTGCGCCACCTGGACCTGGACCTGGACGACCAACTGGTGGGCTCATGATGCAAAAAAGAGAAGAAACGGCCGTCGGGTTCCTTTCATCTGAACGAAGCCACCGGTGTTTCTCCCGGAGTTTCACGCCGATGAGCCATGATGAGCCATGGTCCGTCCTGATCAGAGGATAGAGAGGATCTTGCCTGTGATCGACTGCCGGATCGTGACCTGCAGTACTCAGACAGTCCACTACTATCCACTACTCAGAGAAAAACCACGACGCCGGAAGACATAGGTTGGCCCGAAAGACCGGAGACTCGTCTTCCGAAACGCCATGCGTGAAACGAACACACGCGGCCGCTGAGCCGCCACAGAGCCACCCATTGTTCGGTGCCGTGTTTCGGTGGTGAGACGTGCGCTACGAGAAACGTTCGGAATAGGAATGGGAATGACAAAGAAAAGTGCTGAGCCAGGCCAAACAAGGCAATGCTTATTGAGAGTTGTGTTTGATGATTTGGCTGTGGGTCAAAACGCGGAACCTCAAAGAATGGTAGGTTTTCACCGTGGTCCCCCAAAACGCTATGCCGCACAGCCATGCAAGCGACCGTGCAAGGATCAGCCAGTGCGATATCCACATCCGACCGATGCAGTGCAAGGTGAGATGTCCGACACTTAACACCCGAGCACTGAGACTTCCAGAATCCATTGGTAGAAGGACCACAAAGTGTCAGAAGAAGCTAGTAACAACTCAAAGTGCTGGTATGTGTGCTTGGCGTTCGAGTTTGATCAGTTTTGGCATATATGATTAATATATAATAGTAGTAGGCGGAGCCCCCGTGAATTGTAGGTTGCCAGGGAACTATCACTCTTCCTGTTGCTCCAAGCTCGCAATGAATTGCACCCCTTCCCCAGAAGAAATGAAAGGTTATGAAGCTCTTTCAATCCCAGTTAAAGCTCCCTTTTGCCTGGCCAAAGATAAGCCAAAAAAACAATATGGCCCTCTGAATAACCTCGCGGACTGGAAATTGGACACCAAAAAGCTCAAGTTGTTCTTCATGCCTACCTGTTTTGATGCTTCTTGATCGCTGCCTGAGGCTTCTGGGCTGCAGACTTGAGGCCGCAACTCCTAACGAACATCAGCCCGTTGGGTTTCGCTTGCTGCGTTTCGACACGTTGGAAAACACGCCTTGGACGCCAGGACGGTCAGTTCTTGCCACCCTTGGCACCGACCAATCGGCGGGCGAGCTTTGTGATTCAGGTCGGGATTTGTGGAGCTGGATGTTTCTCATTGAGCAGTAAGCAAGCCGCTTTTTGTTTGCTTTTGAAGGCAGAATCTGGTGTCAAAGGATGAAACAGCTGGTTTGGACTTGTGAAGCTCCCCCAAAAAAATAGGGCCCAGATACCAAAGATGTGTTTCACACCAGGCATGGCGGAGTGTTTCTGGAGTTGGCGAGGAAAACGATGTTTTTGCTTGTGGCTACTGAGCGGCTACTGTAGAGTCGCTGTTCTCTCAAGAGTCTTGAGCTGCTGAAGAAGCCATTTGTCCTGCCAGTTTCCTGCGAGCAAACGGGTGATGCTCAGCGATCGTGTAGTGCAACTGTCATTAGGCGATGGGAGTTTGTTGTGCGCTTTTTTCGTGAAGATATATATATATACACATATATGGACCTTAGCTCGGGTCTTGAAGTCAGTCTTGAAGAGTGAGGTTTTTCTGCATTTTTCTGACTGGTTGGTACTTGACTGTGCTCATGAACCATTGTATACCATTGTGCATCTCCTTCTCCGGTTGTTTCTCCTGTGGTGCGGTGAATTGGTTTGTAGTCCTCCCTTTGCAGGTTCGGAGGAGTTTTGGTCCGGTCAGAAGCCAAGGGTCGCAGTGAAACGGGGCAGAAGCTTCCACTTCCGGTCAGCATGGAAGTGGGAGGGCTCAACGACCTTCAAACGGGCCGTAGACTGGGCAGAACAAACTCCGGCAATGAAGCCATGTCATGTGTGGCTCATGACACCCGGAACGCGCCCGGAACCTCACCCTAATAGGTTGACCGGTAGTCTGTTCATTCTCGGTGGGTCAAAACCCAGAAGGTCCCCCCTGGTAGGTTGACCTCGCATCACGGCGATTCGGTCGACAAGGCTATGAATGCATGCTCAACATCACACGGGGTGCGATGGTCTGCCACTGAGCCCGTGAATGGACACGTGTCTGACACAAGGGATACACCCTCCAACAGAGGTTGAAGGACCGTATAGAGTATCCCATAGGTACCCCAGTAGGGCGGGCCCTATAAGGTCACTCAACCTCTCTTGGCTGTTTCATTCCAAAGAATGCTGAAGGCAAGGTTTGTCAAGCAGATGCAGCACAGGTGTTTGATAACGCCTTTCTTTGACCGACCAATCGTTTGCATCCGAAGGTGGTGATGAAAACGCAAGCTGTTCAGGTGTAGAATTGCCCATGTTCGTCTCACCAAGAAACCGCCGCCGGCGGTGTTTGTTTGGATGAACCACAGTCCTTCCTTTTCGGCGGTTCCACCAGTCCACCGACTGTTTCGACCAAAGGTGGCAATCCAGGACTCGGTCCCCTGCCTGGAGACCATGAAGCATGTGGTTCGGAGACCCGGAGCATGAAGCAGATTCTGATGTTCTTGGCAGAAATACATAGAGAGAGAGAGAGACGGAGAAGGAGAGAAAGAGAGAGAGAGAGAGAGAGAGAAAAAAAAAACAAAGCATAAAAGAGAATAACAGGCTACAAAAGAGATGTATTTAGGTCCAAAACGCATGATTTACATTGTTTTTTCTAGAGCTTCGATGGTGGGTCTTTGATGTTTGCTGCTGCTGCGCATGGCGCGGACGGGTGGAAAGAGAAAGAAAAAGCAGGAGAATGGCCATGGCAACAAATGGCCTCTTCCTTTTTTCTGCATTCCAATTCTATGACTCCTTACCTTGGGACCTTCAAGCGCAGGGATTCCAGCGTCAAAGTGCGCTGTACAAATCTGCACAAGTGGCACTGGCACTCTTGGTCGGAGCGAACACTCGCCGGCCAACACGCGGCTCCTCCCGCAGGTGTTCATACGTCCCAGCCTCGGTCGGATGATGAATCAGGGTAGTTTCCAGCGTGGTGATTAGTTTGGAGGGTGAACAAATCCAGATGATGAGTGCACTGCCCACTTTTGTGGTAACACGGTAAGACCATACGTAGTCATACAAACCAACAAAAAGAGTCGATCGAAGTACTGCAGTACAAAGCCGCAGGGCGATGGGATTGCGAGCCACATGGTTTGTTTCATCTCAGCCTGTTCCTCTGCTCTCTTCGTGCTTCGCAACCGCCGCATTCGCCCGGCTGAGGCGACAACGTGGCACCCTCTCCCGTGCAATTCGTCCCTCGCACCAGCGAGCTCAACGTGGCCCTCGACCTTTCAGTGGCGTGGCACGTGACACGTGGTAGCACGATGTAGCACGGGGTTTCGAGCGAGCACTGTAGAGCCCGACATGGAATGTGGAGCACCAATATCCCAAGACCCAAAGAGACCGATGGGATATCGCGATTCACCAGCACCGAGCACACCTTCGAGAGCGGAAATTGGGTGACACCGGGTACTCAGGTGGCCACAGTGACTCTCACCGAGCCATGGTTCCTCATGGCCCAAGAAGCGGAACTCTGGAAATTGGACGTCAACGCTGGACCGAATGAGTACACCTTGGCGACTGGGCGGAAGTGAAGCACTGTCCATGTTTGCAATCCTCTAGACTTACTGTAACCATTTGAAAGCATCTGAAACTTTGATCCGCAAAGCTGTGCACACTTACACGCTAACCACTGCCGCACGAGATGGACTTCGCAATTCATTGAAGTCCGAGGTTCGGAAGTTGCCATGGCCTAAGTCCTTTTAGCTGTTTGTTGTTCTATTCTTTTGTATTCTTGCTTTGTCCATCTTTTTCCGTTATTTTTAGCCTGCTCCTACTGAATTAGATAGGCGCCTACCTACTTAATTAAGTAAGGGCGACTAGTTAGCTCCTATAGCTATACTTGGACACTACGTAGTAACTGGACACAGGATAGCTCACTTCTTCAAGGAAGCTCCCCCGCCTGCACTAATGATTTGGAAACTTCACAAACGGTTGCATTTTGTTGTCGCAAGTTGCGCCTGACCAAGGCCCCTCCAGATGTCAGAGTCAGGAAACTTGGTCGTGCCGTCCTCAGAGGTCTTGTTCAAAGACTTGGTTGATCGTCTCCTCGCTTTTTTGAGCAAGAGAAGCCGATCTTTTCTTCTGCGATCTCTGAAGTTATCTGAAGTTGTTAGTTTGTCCAGCTACATGCCCCAGCTTGCTGGCTAGGCTTCCAGTGGATTCAGTTGATGGACATCAGTCACAATTTAGATGGCTGATCTGTTCAGGAGCAGCTGCTCATTCGCTTCGGCACAACGCCACTGGATCCTGACACAGTGCCCCTTGTCGAAACCTGTCAATGTGTGGCACAATTTTCTAGGAAAGGGCAGAAAAGGAAGACACTGGCAGTACGTAGATCATTCTTTCTTGTCTCCTTTCTTTATATACATACTTGCCTTGGTCTTTTGATTCTGCCTTTAAGCTTTTAGGCAGTACTTTCATTATGTTATTTGTTTCTTCTATGTTTCCATCTTCAAAGGCTGTGTTTTTACTCTTGCGCTTGCCAAAACCTCATGCTCATCCCCAAAGGTTGTATCCACAAACACTCGTTCGTAATGCCTCCAACGAGGCATGTCATGAAGTCATGCTGTTCTTCCGGGTTGCCGAGTTGAGGTTTTCCATTCGAGTGCCTCCAGGCCGGCGGGCCTGGCAGTGTATTTTATGGGGCGTCCGTTTCTTCGCTCAGTTGGCAAGAATTCAGACATGACCGAAGGCAGAGGAGACTAATCTTCAAGACTGTTCCTGTCACCATGTGTTCCTAGGACTCTATGAGTTGTGGGGCACTCTTTGCCAAGGACCTATGATAGCTGCATCCTTTACAGTATGAGTGCTCCTTGAATAACACTTCTCGGATTTGAGCGAAACAACCCTGTGACATTCTGAACTCAACTTTCATCGCTTTTGAATAGAGCGTTTCGGTTTGTGGACACCCTTCAGCCGTGTGTCGGCCACCGTTTGTCGCCGAGCTGTTCTGTGCCGAACTCCAGACGACCGGCAGTTTCATCAGCATGGATTTCAAGTTTGTGAATAGAGTGGAGGCTACCATTGAAATCCATAGACCCCATTTAGAGTGGAGGCTACCATTGCTACGTCCCTCTTAGACCCCTCTGAAAGATCTCATGCCTTTCCATTCGAAAACACTTGGAATGCAGTGATGAGCTGGTCGAAACCCTCATTTGCAATAGCTTACCCCGAAGTAGCTTGGTTTCATGAGGCTGGGAATTCGCTCTGAGTCAACCCTGGTAGATTGTCCTTCCTGGTATTTCCTGGTAGTCTATTCTGTTCATCCACTCGGTGGAAAAAGACCAGCTACTAGTAGCTCCTAACAAGGGCATTTCTACCAGTAGCACGAAGAATTCGGCACCTTTCTCAGAGACGTCCCGCTTGGTTGATCCATCCGGTCGAGGTGCCTTGATCGACCGCTCGAACAACCCCTTCGCCGGCATTGAGGTGGGCGACCGAATGGATCAATAAAGAAGATGCAAAAAAAAGATTAAAAACGAACAAGAATAGACAGCATTGGAACATACAGATTCACATACACTCCAAAGAAACCATGTTCTTCGCTAAAAGATGCTCAAATGATGTTTTGTAGCCGTGTCCGGCCATGTCCCAAAGTGCTTGAAGGGCCGAGTCAAGAACGCTCAATCCTCGCCGACCCCCAAAACCCTTCAAAGTGCAACCACCGGACGCCTTCAAGCCAAGAAAGAAGCCGGATGCGTCCGGGCCTGCCAAGTCCTGTGTTTGTGTCAGCTCCCAAGGAGTCGGGCCTCCGCCGGTCCGGTCCAGACTCCTCTCCCAGCGCAGGTCACGGACTGGTCCTTCCGAACGGCCGTGGCGGTGGGGCATCGGTCCTAGAGTAAGATGGTCGGTGCGCAGAGAGGAGCACCGGGTCGCTGCGCCAAAAACCGAAGCAAAAAGGAGGAGAACCTATGTTTTGTGTGGCCGATGTGTTTTGAGTTGCCGCTTTCGGGCAACTAACATCCATTTTGGACGTTGACCATTTAAGGGTGGTGGGTGGAGAAGAAGAAGAAGGCCTTTCAGCAAGTGCGATCACAGGCGCAGCTATTCGGCCATAGACCTGTGTGGCAGCCGTGTGTGTGTGTTGAACAAAGTCTCCGCAGCCGTGTTTCAGCAGGAGGTTAGAAGGGATAATCGTTTTGGCGTGAAGCAAATAGATGCACCTCCAACCTAGTAGCGATGGCCTCCAACCTAATAGCGAACAGACAAGTTTTAAATGGTTTTAAGAAGTTTTAAATGGTTTTAAGTTTTGACAGATGAATTGTTTTGGCGTGAAGCAAAAAGATGCAACATGGCGAAATGAGATGTTTTGTTTTCGTATTTTCGCGGCCAGGCATTGTGGTGGGAGCGCTCGCACTGGTTGGGAAACGTGGCTAATTTTTGCATCGAGCTTTGCAACGTACTGCTCTTCAAAAGAGCGATTCCTTCAAAAAGATATTGTGTTTGTTTTGCTTCTTTGAAAGCTTGCTGCAAGTGCTCTAGGCCTCAGCAGTAGTATAGCTCAACAAGTTTTTTTTACACAGATCCTCAGGATAATCTTGCTATGCTTTTGCATCCAGCGCTACAAGATCATGGCACAGTTCGAAGCACTGCTGCATTTATCCCCAAACATGCCAAAACTGTTCGTGCTTGGTCAGAGGAACGACTAGACCGCATGCATCAAACACACATGTGTATGTGTATATATATATATATGCTAGCCCCCAAAAAGAAAACCCACCTAGGCCCTGGATGCATTCATTGGAAACATGGATGTGTACCATGCAAAACTGCTTTTGGGGGTACCATATATATATATATATGGACTTATGTGTTCCCCCACATCATGGCGTCCCGCGTCGGAGTCCCTCGTGATGTTGGAACCGCAAGCGTGACGTGGACGTTCGTGTATCATCTTCGTACCGACCTTACAGACCGCCCCCCAGGCGGCGGGGAATCCACAGAAAAGGTCGAAAAAAGAGGAAAGAAAACGGTGTCCATCCTGCATCATCCTGCCATCCTGTTTGCTGATCTTTTCCTTCTGACGGTCTGCATTCCTGTTCTGAATCGGCTTCTTTCAGAAAACGACGGCTGTCAGGATCGCAGAGTGAAGCCAATGGAGGGGACGAGCACGCCGAAGGCACGACGTTCTCGATTCACCTTTCTGCTTTTGAGCCGTTCTCAAAAGTGGGGAAGCACATGGAAGCGGTTGGGGGAAGTTTGGAGACATGAAAAGACCCGCCAAGAATGTCCGACATGTTCCCTTTCGTGATTGCTTCAGGCGTCGCAAGTCTCAGCCCTTCAAAACGATTCTGCCGCTTCTCCGCAATCGAAACCAAGGGAAAGTCCTTTCTCAATACACGAAAAACAGCGGAACCCACTGAACTTGGGCTTCCAACAAACGTCGGCCAGTTCGAACTGTTGCGTCATGCTGATAGAGTCATCCACCAAATACTGTGGAAAGCAAACTTAAAGTTTGTTGAAAATCACGTGTGAAGGGTTCTATTGCTTTTGGGATTGTAGATTGAAGAGCTTTGTTTAGGCGAAGCGACTTCAAAGCATGCACATCCCAGGAACTCCTGCCCAGCAATGAGAAGTATTGGGAAAAGGCTTTGGTACGGACGAAGGTCCTGCAGCCTGCAGAGTGAAGAGGTTGTAAGAAAGGAACTGAAAGAGAAGCGTCCAATGCAAACAAGGCAAGTAGTAGCTTCCTCCTAGCTTCCTTGCATGTAGTTATGCCTTCCTTTGGTGGGCTTGGCCCATGTAGTCATGGATCTCAGACTATTGCCCAGACCTTGCTGGAACGTACCGAACTTGCTGGGAAAAGGAACTCAGCAGCCAGGGAAGGGAGGAAAGAAAGGAAGAAAACGGAAGACCGTACTGGGTGTAGCTGCTAGCTACTTGGCTGCGCCAGGAATTGCCAGGATCGAGTGACAATGTGGTGGATGCTCTGGAGGTGACGACATACACCTCACAACGTAGCTAATTGTTTTTCTTTCCGTAGCTAATAAGCTAATCTCATTTCTATGTTCTCCTTTGCTCCTTTCTTTCCTTAGACCTTTTGGCCGTTCTCTCTTTTCTTTTTTCACCATATCTTTGTGTGGGATTCTTACTTGGATTTGCATCCCCTCGTCCGCCCGTTGCCCGCCCACCCGCCCGCCCTCACTCACTCTCACTCCACTCTCACTCACTTGCACTTTCACTTACCCGCACTCTCTCATTGCGCTTTGCTTGCTCCCAAGAATATGGGAGGTTGTGCTGGCGCGCGCGTGTGTGTGTGTGTGTGTCGGCTTGGGGTTTGGGCGCTCTCACCTTGTGTTTCCTTGCGGTGTGCTTGCTAGCAGAGACAGCTGCGTGTTCGGCTCAACCAAGCAAGCTTGGACTCCTTTGTGTACACAACACTGGAAGGAGTTAGTGTTCGACCCAAGTGTGCACCAAAATATGTGGAGGCTGTTGGAAGCAGAAGCACAGATGGGGCTTCCAGGGGTCGGAGGGGGCAGCTAAAAAAAGCTGCATGTGACAGAGCTCGGTTTTTTAATGTCATGGACTTCTACCAGGGTTACTTGCGATTGCCTGCTACCTTTCGTTCACCCCCTCCTCTCTCAAGTCCAAGCAAACAAATGTGGCACGCTTTTCACTGAAACAGATTGGCCGCTTCAAAAAACTTAAGACGAAGTGCAAGTGCAAAGCGAAGTGGCTCGATGACGTCCGGTGGCTAGAGGCAAGCGAAGTGGTTCGGGATCAATGGTTGCAGTATGCTGAGTCGGGACCATCGGTTTTAGCTGGCGCAAACGTAACTTTGAGGCTCTGGAAGTGACAAGAAAGCTAAACAAATTCCACAGCTCTCAAGCTTCAAGCCGCTGCGGCGTGCCCAGAAAAAATATATAACATGGAGGGAGGCCTTCGTGGCAGACGCCAAGGGGTGTGGATCAGTTTACTGATGTGGCAGAGTGTGTTTGTAGCGATGTTAGAGTTGATCAATGTCCGTCGCCCCCGACGAATTCAAGGCATTTCGCAGGTTTTAGCTCTATGGTCTTTTTCGGTCATTATCTCCATCACATACAACATCAGAAGCTATATCAGACAGCGCGTCGACCGGGGTTCGCACACTTTAGCTCTGTGGTTCTCTTTTGGTCATTATCTCCATCAGAAATAATTCAAACGTTATATTAGACAGCGCGTCGCTCGGGGGCTCGCACGCTTTAGCTCTATGGTTCTCTTCTGTCACTATTTCCATCAGAGACAACAATATCAGAAGTTATATCGCACAGTGTGTCGCATGGGGTTCGCAAACTTTCGCTCCATGGATCTGTTTTGTCTTTGTCTACATCAAATACACTGCCAGAGGTTGGGTATATCAGTGCAGGCGTTCGTTTACACGTTCCTACGTTTTTGTTCGACTTCTGTCTAATTTGCTCGAGAGCGCGCATACCTTCCTCTTGTTTCATGTTGTCTATATATATATATATAGGTTTGAATTTCCTCATCAGCTTGCTTTGTTCTGTTTCATTAGTTCTTATTCTTTTTCTGTCTTTTCCACGGGCTCTAGGAGTTCAAGGGTGAGCAGCCTTCAGCTCTATGGTTCTCCAGATGCAAGAATGTCAGAAGTTATATCGCACAGTGTGTCGGGGGGTTCGCAAACGTTCGCTCCATGGTTCTGCTTTGATTCAGTCTACTTGGTTCTAGGGCGAGGCGTCACTGCCGGCGTCGCGACAGCTCGCGTTCCTACTCACGGGCTCAGCGGTCTTCAACGGTCTTCAACGGTCCATGGTTCTGCTTTGCACCAGTCTACCTTAAGTACAATGTCAGAAGTTGTGTCAGTCGAATCGCTTCCGTGTTCCTACTCATGGGCCTGTGTAGCCCAACAGACTTATCGGTTTCAAGGGTCTTTGCCACCTTTACCTCGATGCTTCATACTTCCTAAACATCACGCATCAAGAGATCGAAACTGACGCCTTGAGCATCAAACGATCATGGTTATACTATGTTGTACTGCCTACTGCATGTGCTGTTCATATCACATCATGTGCTGCTCTTATCACGCCTGGCCACCTCCATACCACCCACGGTCGGACCTGGCCCAAAAAACGGCCCGACCCCACAAGACTTGAGCTTTTAACGCGCCGGCGCGAGGCATGTACCTTTTTGGGGCCACCTGACTAGCCTGTGTCTCAGGTGGACCGTACGACGCACACGTATCTATACTTACGGAGTGTTTCTATAGGACGTAAGCCAAGCAATTGTTCCATGGATGAAGATGCAACCTGGCAGCGCAAGAAATGGCTTGGGTGAGTGATATACGCTACATTGATGACTGATTTGCAACGGAATGAAAAGGTTGTTGTGGATGGTGCAAGTTGAAGAGTTTGCTGGCCTTGTCAACAAGCGCCGCGCTGACCACCACCCATGTGTTTGGGCGGCGTTGGCAATCAACTTTGTAAGCAGCCAAAGTGTGAAAAGGGTCATCATGAGCTCTTTACATGAAGGTGTCTAACTCATTCTTCTTGCCAGTCACAGTCACATTCCCACGCTCACTTCCACTCATCCGCTGAGCTGTCATTCCTGTTCCTTCCGCTTTGCCTCTACTTAGCTACCTATAAACACAAAGGCTTCGCACGTGTTGGTGATCCGGTCCGTTTGTTTTAACTGCGCTCACCTAAGCGGACACTCCAAGCCCAAGCGCCCCAGCTGTGTCCTCAGGACTTGCCATTGACATTGCCTGGAGAAGTGAAGTCAAACAGGCAAGGAGAGGCATAGTTTTTGGATGGGTACTTTAGCATTTTAGCATATTTGCTGGGTTTCCACAAACCATTTTACGGCTGCCTGGGGTCATGGAGGAGGGACGTGCCAAGAACGTGTTTCACTGCGGCTTTGTCAGGCGTCCTTCCAATGCGACGGGCAGCGCAAGCATTTCAAATCAAAGGCTGGGTTGCTGCGGTTCTCATTTTGGTGTCACTTGAGCAAGTTGAAGGGCACATTTGTCAGGCGGCCATCCAATGCCAGTGCTGGCCACCCTTCGAATCAGAGGAGAAGTTGTTTTGGGACCAATCAACAATTTTGGCTGTGGGGCTTTGGCAGGCGCCCATCAAATGCCCCTGCTGGATTGCCAACAAATCAGAGGCGCGCCTTTCTTTTTGAGAACACGTCGATTTTGTTGTGGCTCGACGATCCACCCCACCTACTGATCGACCCAACAACATGTGAAACTGCAGCTTGCTCGGTCCATGTAGTTGAAGCACAGCTACATCCGCACTTAAGACTTAAACAAAGCTAGGCTGGAGATTTGCGATGCAGGCGACCTTCCAATGCCAGCGCCGATCATCCTTCAAACCAAAGGCAAAGTGTCTTGTGGCAAGACTTTTCGACCTTCCTTTTTCATTAGACCTTGGTCTCTATTGTGGTTTGGCTCTTCTGACTGTGTTTGCTTGATCGTAGATAGACCTGAGGAACCCATTTTCTGCTGCAGGCAGGGTTTTCTTTTGGCCTGTGGTGAACTGAAGTGGCAGGCGGCCATCCAATGCAAGCGCGGGGGGGAGGCTCGTTCGTGTTGGTTCTTGTCCCAAGGCACTCTGGATTTTCTCCAACACGTCTCTCAACAATTTGACGAAAAAGCAGACATATCCTTCAGATCAAACCGAAAAGGCAAAAGTTGCTTTTTGCTAAAGTCGGCTGGTGAAAGAGCTGAAAACACAGCTGCCGGCAGACGCCCTTCCAGCCTTGTTGAGCCCTCAAATCAGAGGCCGGAATCCCACTGTCGAGTTTGAGTTTGACCAACAGAGACGAAGTCAAACAAGTCCTCTCAATGATTGTGTTTCAGAAGAACCGCATCCACTTGTGCACTGAAAGGAATTAGATGGAAGGTCTGCAAGTCACCCAATACTTCTTTCTTACAGGCATGGGTCGAAGCACAGTGCCGGAGGTGGCAGCAGGTTGGGACACAGGGGAGAGAGGTCAACTCGGGAACGGCTTTGGACGTGAACGCAAGGTAGTGGAATGCTCAGCTGTCCACTCCAGTGTCCAAGCAGTATGCTGCAGTATGCTTCACTGGCATGTGTCACGCCTGACATGTACAGATGACGCGGCATGCTATGCATGGTTTCTTTGGTGACACGCCGAAGCTCAAACACTCTTTCTTGCATTGCACGCCCAGGAGCTTGGGCATTCAACCCGACGGAAGAAGCTGGGAAAAGAAATTCAGACACCACATGTGACAATGGTTGACCTATAAGCTGAAGTAATGAAATGTGCCCAAAACGATGGCAAACTAGATCTGTCAGGAGCCCAAACCTTGCCTAAGTGCGTTCATGTGTTCCTGACAGTGCTTGTTGGTGCAGCAGTGGTGGTAGTGGTGAAGGGATTCAGCAACACTTAGTGGGTTACAACATGAAAAGTGCGACCAATCATGAACTGCATGTATTTGGTTCTGAATACTTGTTGCGGCCCATGTCGAGCTTTGGAAATGATGCTGTTTAGGTGTGGAGCGGCAGTATTCTTATTGATTCTTGTTTTGAAGAGTCCTTTTCTTTTGAAACCAACGAGCATTTCAGCCACACCTTATCCAAGGTGTTGGCGTTGGCAGCAGAAGCTTGGGTGTTCCACACCAGGTGCAATTCTCTCTTGTGTCCAAGAGAAGATCATGTAACTGCACTGCTTGGAGTGTCGAGTTATATGTTTTTTGTGCGTAAATCAATTGGGCCGTGAGTGCAATGACCTAGGGTAGAAATGGCAGGCTTTGACTCCAACGTCGAAAGGTAAGTCTATGAGCAATCTACAATTTCCACTTCAAAATGTTAAAGGAACACAAGACATCACAAGACCAAGTCCTTCGGCAAGAAGCGAGTGTCAACACCTAACTTTCAGTGCTTCGGCGTGTGCGCGTCTTTCGGATGTCGCTGGGACAGGAGAGGAGCCGCTCTGTGGATGGCGGTGTGAGGACCAGCGTGGGTCGTGCGTTTTCGTCGGAAAGTCAACACTGAAGCTTAGAGCTTCGATGGCGCTGGCACCCAACGGGAATGGTGCCATCTACATCCATCTACTCTTAATCCAATCGAACTCGAATGAAGTTCTTTTCCGAGTGGTTTTCTCATGTTTCACCGGGTGCTTTTTCGTTGCAGTTTTGGCCAAAAACGACAGAGTCAGCTCGTGTCCAATGTTTGACAGAAGTGCCACGCCGCGACGAGTCATGTCTAACCTCGAAAAACGCTCGCTCGGAAGGAGTGAAAGCTTACCGGGGCGAACCCCCGACGAGTCCGCGAGCTTGGCAGCATCCAGGCGGAGTGAAAAGGGAGGTCGATTGGAAGAACGAGGAAAGCACATGTTGTTTTCCTTGTTCTATATTTCACTTGGATGGCCAGAGGAAGAGGAAAGCTGCAATAGTCAAAAACATGAGTTGTTTTCGCTTCCAGATCCACAGGCGAGCCATGTTGGGCGCTGGGCCTGCCACGCATGAGGCTGAGAGACAACAGGCCTTCATTTTCAGCACCTCACCATGGTCACCATGCAGTTCATGCTTTGCGCCACGAGGTTGTCAAAGCCAACAACACCTTGCCGCACACCTGCCCCAAGGCCGGCTCAGAGGATGGACTTGTTTTGATCAGACCTGCCCTTCAGATCACCCACCGCAACCTTGCCTCTAAAAATCCACAGCCGCCTAGTCGTACACTCGTTGACCCTGAAATTCAGGTTGAGCATACGACATTACATTTTACCTTCATTAGTCATTTTCACCACAATGGCTGTGGCACGGATTGAGACAAGCTATTCTTTGGGACTGGCCTGTAGATCTAGATCTGTCAGCATTGGGTTTTAGGAGCTCCCGTTGTCATATTGCACTCCAAAACAATAAAATTAGGAATTTTGAAGTGTCACCGAGGCAAATTGCGACATAACCAATGAAAGCTCTAAAAAGCGATTTCTTGCATTCAAGAATACATAAGAATGCAATTATATTCGTTCTCATCGCATCAGAAGTTGTACCATATGAACCCCTTGTAGTGAGTTCAATGTATATCCGTGCATTTGCTTTGTTGCTGCGTTGAGAGAATGTGTTCGGATTCAAAGTAGTAACAGGGCTGCTTCTTGTGGTCTCTGGTATTTTTATGAATAAAGTTATGGAAATAATAGGTAGAGTGTCGATTTCGATATTTATTATTTTTTTTAGTATTGTTTTGGAATTAGGATGTGTATTTTTTTTCAAAATAACAATATATATAATTATAATTTAACTATAAATGAATTTGTATTATAGGGAAATGTTCGTTTAAGTACCATTTTCGCTTAGATTCGGTAGCTATTACGAAAGCTAGGCAATAGATTAGGTTGGGGTTGTCGATGGACGAACGAAATGAATACAAGGGGTATGGGGGGGATGGTGACGTGGTTTGTCCGGCAGGGTAGGGCGAAGCTGGAGGCTGGTGGGGGAGAGCTAAAAAATATGAAAAAACGAGGTGGTCCGGAAAGTAATGAAAATGATTGAACATGTATGGTTTTTGGGGCGTTGTGATGCGAATAATGTAAATGACGTCGAATAATATTGTAAATTAATAAAATTAAAATCCATGACTACACATAGGTCATAAATAGAAATGATTTTAGGATATACATATGTTTCTATTGATCGTATTATTTGAAGACGTTGTCGAATTATAGATTGGGGTATCTGAAATATATACACAATTCTAGTATCATTGTCGGAGGATAAAACCATGAAATCCCAAGAACCAAGCATACTAGGGCGTGACGAACGTTGATTTTGTGGGTTCTGTGGTTTTGTGGCTTTTGGGTTCTGGTATGATCTCGATTTTTGAGGTCGGACTTTATAGGGTGCGGTCGGAGAGCCCTAGAAAACACAACCCCAAATGTTAGCATATAGAGCTAATTTTCGATCTTTAGGGATATAATTGTTATATGAATATAAAAATAATGAGAATAAATGTTAATATAATTAAAAATATAATACGTAATTTGATTTCCGAAATACGAATATCGATTTTCTAATCTAGAAATTCGATTTTCGATTTTCATGTTTTAAATCTAAATTTCGGTTTTAATTATCGTTCTTCGAATTTCGGAATTCGATTTTCGAATAAAATATAGATATTATATTATATAAAATATTCGAAATTAAATATTAAATAAATTATTTGTTTTCGCAACAATATATTTAAAAAACATACAAAAATATACAAAATAATTCGCGAAAATCATCCGATCGACAAAAAGAACAACCTGCCCCCTCCTAATAAATTCTCAATATTTACCCAACCAAATCGCCAAATATTAGCCAATAAATATAAATAATTCAATATAAATTAAAATATTAGACGACAATTGGCCCGAGAGCGAGACATGTAATTGTCTAGCACTGTCGAAAAGATGTATAGAAAGAGAGGATGGATGTGAAGGAAAGACAGTGTGATGTGCAGGTGCGATATAGATCTGTAGATGTATGGAGGTGGAGAGGGTAGATTTGTGGATATGAGCGTGTGAAGATATACATGCACAGAGACGAAAGAAAAGATATGTAGAAAGAAAGAAAGACAGGACAGATGTGAAGGAGCGACAGTGCGGATGCGTAGATGTGATATAGATGTGCAGATGTGTGGGTGTGGTGAGGTGGAGAGGTAAATCTGCGGATGTGAGCGTGTGAAGTTGTAAATATAGAGAGGTGAGGGGGTGTAGACATAGATGCGTCGATGCAATGGCAGCGCAATGTCAACCTTAGTTGTGCAAGTACAATGCTGAAGAGATTTAAAAAGAATTGAAGAATGGACATTTCACAATGAAGTTTCCACGAACAGGGCGACCTGAGAGTAAATGACGTCACGATTATGACAAGCGACTCGTGTATTTCAAGCGAACATCATTTGTCGTGAAGGTGAAATATACCCATACTAACGTCACGATGATTCTTTTGTGGCAGCCACTGATGAGTAAGCAAAGTAGCTAAAATTTGTCAACCTCTCAAGAGAGCCGGGTGGTCGGGAGACATGACTCAGCTGCAGGGGCGCCAGAGCAGCCGCGAGAGATGACTCAGCCGCGAGAGATGACTTATCCGCATACTAAAGTTTGTACTACAAAGTCGCCAGTTCTCAGCTTCCAGCTCCACAGCTTGCTTCGCGTACTACAGTTGTACTATAAAGTCGCCAATTCTCATCTTCCAGCTCCCCAAGATACTCCGCGTACTAAAGTTGTACTAGAAAGTCGCCAGTTCTTATTTTCCAACTCCCCAGATAGTCCGCGTACTAAAGTTGTATTACAAAGTCGCCAGTTCTCAACTTCCAGCTCCACAGACTGCTCGGCATACTACAGTTGTACTACAAAATCGCCAATCAATTCTTATCTTCCAAATCCCTAGATATTCCACGTACTAAAGTTGTACTACAACTTCGCCAATTCTCATCTTCCAGCTCCCCAGACACTCCGCGTACTAAGGTTGTATTACAAAGTCGCCAGTTCTCAGCTTCCAGCTCCACAGATTGCTCCGCGTACTAAAGTTGTATTAGAATGTCGCCAGTTCTCATCTTCCAGCTCCCCAAATACGTGCGTGCATAGGATTCATCGCTCTGTCGCCTGCATTTCGCGCACTCGATACATACGATCTCTGCAGAGGGTTGCGCCGGACAAAACCAAATCCCATTCTCGCCTGCATTTCGCGCACTCGACACGCACGATCTCGGCAGAGGGTTGCGCCCGACAAAACCAAATCGCACTCTCGCCTGCATTTCGCGCCCTCGGCACGCACGATCTCCGCAGAGGGTCGCGCCGAACAAAACCAAATCGCACTCTCGCCTGCATTTCGCGCACTCGACACACACGATCTCTGCAAAGGGTTGCGCCCGACAAAACCAAATCGCACTCTCGCCTGCATTTCGCATCCTCGATACGCACGATCTCCGTAGAGGGTTGCCCGCGACAAGGACAAATCGCACTCTCGCCTGCATTTCGCGCACTCGACACGCACGATCTCCGCAGAAGGTTGCCCGCGACCGGGACAAATCGCACTCTCGCCTGCATTTCGCGCGC